GGGACACAGCCCTATGCCCCATAGCGTTCCCAGCTCCCACTCTGGATTCAGCTTCTACGTCTCATAGTTTATTCATTTGCCCCATTTTTTCTTCCACTTGCATGCTTCCTGAGTGGCTCCTCCTGCCTGTGGGACCAGAAACTTCCCGAGTGCAGGGACTATAGCTTTGCTTCCTTTTCTCCTGCATCCTCTCTGAGGAGCATCACTTAGATGTGAGGAAGGCAGCACAGTGGGACAGACATGGAGGCAGGATGTGAAGCACGTCACAAGGCTCCTGTCCTGAGATCCACACCTGGGATCAGCTCCCTTTCCTGCCCCTCACCCTCTGCTCGTGCCCCACACCCCATCGCCACACCATCACTCAGCACAGGGCCATGCTTTCCACCTGCACAATAAGTCTAGGCTATCAGGTATAAGTTTTCTCAGCATCCTGCCCCCAAGTCCCCTTCAGAGCTCATCCTGCCACCTGTAATCCCTGCACCCCACCTCTACTCCCTTCTCCCAAGACCTTGATACATTTGCTGGTTTGCACCTCTCTTTCTCCACCCAGTACCTTCCTGGAGACTATCAATAGGCACGATGATGCGCTCATTACCCTCCGCTGCTGCCCTCCCGCTCCCACTTCCACAGGCCTCAGCCCCGCTCTCCCCTGACCCCCCTCACTGGGTCCACAGCTGTCTTTTGAATCTTGCCATTTCTTGGTTTTTCTGCAATATTTGTTCCTCTTGGTCCTTTTCTTCTTCCTGAGCATTTTTTCCCTCTTGATTCCTGAAGCCCCGCTCCTGGTTCTCCAAGCATCTCTCTGCTCACTCCTCCTTAGTCTCCTTTGCAGGATCCATAACCTGGAAGCTTTTAGAAATACAGACTCTTAGGCCCCGCCCCCCGGACCCACTGAAGCATAAGGTGCATTTTAGCAAGATCCCCAGAAGATGGATATGCAAATGTCTGAGAAGTATTGGTCTAGCCAAACCATGCATACAACTCTTGAGTCCTCTGTAATACCTGTCAAGAGTTGTTGAGTCTGTTCTTGACAGTTCCAATAATGACAAACACCCCATCGCATGCAGCAGGCCACTCCATCCGGAGAGAAGTTTACACCAGTCCCTCAGGACAGGTCCCCCCAGTTCCCCCTTGTCCTCAGCTTCTCCACTCTCCACTCCCCATCTCTTCCTTTCACCTGATCATGGCTCCAGGGCCTTATACCTATAATCAGCACCCCAGGAACGCACCTCAATCCCAAATGCCACAGAAACCCATTCAGAAGTTCAAGGGAGATCCCATTTCCGTGACTTTCCTGCCCTATTTTCATTGATCTTCCTGCCTGATGTCTTTTAAGCCTGGGTTTCAGCTACAGACTCTTGTCCTGGAACTGTCAGAAGGCAGAGGGAGCCCTGCCAGAGAGCACTGCAGAGGCCCCCCCAGTCTTCCAGGGCCTGGGCCAGGGCCCCCTCCTCTGGGCATGCACCTCAAGATGACGCAGCCGGGTCCAGGAGCTGCTGGCTGCCATGGACTGGAACATGCACGTATCTGAGGCCTAGGCTTCAGGCGTATCTGTCCCGTCCTGCCAGATGGTGGGGAGCTCAGCCCCAGGCCAACAGGCCAGCTTTCCTGATGCAGCAGCGTGAAGAACTCCCTGACTTAGGGTGACACTTCATACTTTGGGGTGCTCGTGAGCAGGCCTTTGCCCTGCTGGTCCTCAGATTGGGTTTGGGGATCCAGCAAGAATTGTTATAATTGGTAGAAACAAGGAGACACGGATCTGGAGTCAGAGGCCTGGGCCAGGCCCCATCACTTACCCTCTCTGAGCCTCGGTTTCAGTACACGTGAGGGGGCATTGGACATGAGATTTTCCAGCCCTGCATGTGGTCCTTGGGGGTGGGGGAGATGAAAGCGGCTGAGCAGCAGAGGGAAACCAGGCCATACATGATTCAAAGGGCACCCAAAGCCCTGTATCCTCCAGGGAGAGAGCAGGACTGGCTCAGCTGTAACTCCGACTCCCAGGGCCAGCCCCAATGGGACCCCCAGGAAGTTGGTCTCCTGCGCTGCCCCTCCATCAGGCCTCCATTCCACCCTCCTGCCAAAGGCCGCTCCACCCCTGGGGGGGAGGAAGAGCTGTGGGCCTCAACCCTAGCACAGTGTGAATGCGAACCTCTTTTCGTCTGCCTCAGATGTCTCCAGAGACCCCGTGTCTTCCCTCTACTCCTCCGGGGCTTCAAGGAACCAGAGGCTCAAGTGGAGAGGGCTGGCTGGCTGCACACCTCACGCCCCATGGCTTCGCAGATGGCCGCTGCCCCGCCTCCCCTCTCCTGCTGCTACTGCCCCAGCCCCCGGAGTCACCTCAGGCCCCACCTGCACCCACTTCTGCACCCCACAGAGTGCCACTGAATGCTGTAAGTGCTCACCTCCCCTCTAGTGTCCGGGGTCCCCTCTGCTCTTGACACTACCCAGGTCCCTGACTTGCCCGCCTCAGGGACACGCCTCCTCACCCATGGGGGAGACAGTGGTGTCCCCGTGGGTGTGTTGGAAAGAGCACAGGGCTTTGGAGTCCGAGCCTGGCTTGGCCCCTGACAACATAGGTGACCTCAGAAGAGGCCCCTGCCCCTCCCTGGGTCTCAGATCCTTCACTGGTGGAATAAACAGAGCAGTTCCAGCTGTGCAGCACAGAGGGCATGCACCTCGGGGCATCAGGGCCCTGAGAGGACTCATGGCCCCACCGAGCCCTCCTCCACATTCACCCCATGGTCCATCTCCTCCTGGACACTGCCAGGCGGGAGGAGCAGGCAAGTGGCAGCACTGCCAAGCACCAACTCCCGTCTAGTCCGAGCCCTGCACCCACTCTCCACTCAGCCCCCTAAAAGGCAGGCAACACACAGGGTGCCTCTGGGATCCTCTCTAGCCCATGGTGGTTGTAGATGGGTGGGGGATCTGATCCTCAATTTTTTCATCTGTAAAATGGCAATAACAGCAACCCCTCACTCCCAGGGCTATTCTCAGACAACAGGTGTGAAAGAACTTGGTCAGCTGTAAAGCCACAGACAGACACCAATGAGAGAGGGCAGAGTGCACCACAGCTGCCTCCACCTGTGGCCGTGGCAGGCATTACTAATCGATTGTGCCGTTTTCTCCCTCTGCATCTAGACACAACCACAAGATCACCCTCTAGGCCAGTGCTTCTCAGCTCTGGGTGTCACTAGAATCCCTTCGTTAAGTTTCAGAATATTCCACTGAATGCAAGGCCCCGCCTCAGGAACCTGTCTTAATTGGTCTCGGGTGGGGGCTCAGACATCAGTATCTTTTAAAGTTCACAGGTTATTTTTCAGCCTGTGTAAAGAACCCCTGCTCTTGGCAACCACAGTCAAATGACCATGTAGACTCATGGAACACAGTGGCCACCCTTCCTCCCTGTTCTTGTCATTAGTCTCCTTCCTCAGAGCCCTTTCTTGTTCCCAAAATCATCCGCCAAGTCCTGCCTGGTGTATAATCCACGCCACCCAAGACTTCTCACTTGGGGACCCATCAAGCTGATAAGTCAGGTCCCTACCGGGGGCCTCAGTGTGGGGCTCCAGACTGTCTCCTGCCGACACTCCGTCTCCAGAACCTTGATCTGCTGCTCTAGAAAACAGACTCGAAATCCAGGATAACCGTGCCCACCAGGAGATCCCTGTGAGCCCTGGGGCACAAGGGGCTGTGGGAGAGTTCTTCACTCCCTCCCCAAATCTGGGTGATAAACCAGCAGCATCTAGAGATGCAGCCTCCAGCCCTACATTTGAGAATTAGCTGTTTCTTCTAAGCCTCTTGATGGGTAAGTTCTTTCTACTATCCCTCCTCAGTCTTTACTGCTGCAAAGGGAGCAGGGTAGGAGAGGCAGCAGGTGTGTGTGGACTCTGCTGAGGAAATGGCAGTGTCTCTACCCAGTTCTGGAAACACACACACAGGTTTGCCTTGTCGACCAGGGAAGCAAACTGGCTCTGAGTCCTGATCTGCTGGCCCTCCCCAACCCGCACCTGCTGAATGTGGTGTTGACTTCCAGGTTGAGGGCGGCCAGGAGGCTCTGGCTGATGGTCACCTCCTGGGTGTTGAGGAGTTCAAGCCTGGCCCTGCGGCCTTGCCCTAAGCCCCGACCACCACTCTGAATGTTCTATCCACCAACCCAGCCCATTTGCCCCATCCATCAACCCCTCCACCTCCATCTTTGGAAGCCCCTCAGGCCCCCATGGACTTCCTGGCTGAGGTCTGCTGGCCCCTGTTGGTCACTGGGGAGTCTGATTTTCTGTCCTCCTTACACCCCTTCTCACCACAAGGCAAGACTGGCCACCACCACAGTGGTTCCCGGGTGGACAGGCGTCTGGGGAGGTGCCAACTGCACAGGGACTGAAATTCACATCCTGGCCCGAACCCCCACTCACCCCACCCCAATTTCCAAGCACTTGTTCCGTATCTTAGCTTTATGGCAGAGAGACCCCACGAGCTCCACCCCTCCTGAGCGGCCCCCCAGGAGGCCAGGCCTCTGAGCAGAGAGGAAAGGGTTGAAGAACTGTGGGTACCTCTCCAGCCAGCCCCCACCTCCCCTCTGGGAAAGAGCCACCTCTCAGGAGTCCAGAGTCCCTGTCAGGAGCAGGACCGTTTCTGTCATTGGGCACAGTTAACGCTTCTGTCGAAAGCCGCAGACTAGGCTGCATACACACCTGCTCTATGCATCTCCTCTCTTCTCTCTCCTCCCCGTCCCCTCCCTCCTCCCAAAGTCTGAGTAGAGTTTGGAGGCACTTCATCTCCCTGCCGCCCAACCGTGCTCCCAGCCCCTCCACCACGTGTGCTCCGAGAGCTTCTTCTTCCTCTGCTCTCCAGAGAAAATGGACCTAGAAATGTGGATGCACTGGTGATGCGCAGTGGTGTGTTGTGTGTGTCCCGGTGTGTCCATCCGTGCAGGTGTGCGGCACCTGCTCTCAGGAGCATCTGAACGGAGGTGCGTGTGCACACCTTGAACACTCAGAGACCGAGCGTCAGATTGCGCTGTTTATTGAGGATGCAACGGGAGGGGCTGTAAGAAGAAAAGAGAAGCGAGCGAGCCTCCTCTTCTCTGCTTCTGGGTGCAGGAGGGGAGATAGAGACCCCGAGTCGTGCTCGGTCCCACTCAGAATGAGCCGTGAGACGGAGCCCGGCTGGGGCGGGGACTGGCCTCTCTTGGCAGTTTGTCCTTCAGTCCTGCTTTTCTTGAACACAGAGCCAGCTCCCAGCACGGGCAGGAGCCGGGACAAAGGCCCCATTGTGAGCTCAGGAGGCCAGACACAAAAGTCAGCAACTGAGCCAGAGGCTGGGCAGAGGACGGAAGGCTGGGAGCCAGGGGCCGAGCTGACTACAGCCAAGGAGGTGAGCACCAGGCACGAGCAGGGAGGAATTTCACCAAGCTTAGTCACCCACACCTGTCCAGGCCCAGGAAGACTCAGGCTGGGAGAAGTGGGTGACCAAAGCCAGCGCCCGAGGTACAAGAGCAGGGCCAGCAGGGTGGGGATGGGGCTGACAGCGGCTGGGGAGGGTGCATGTGGGAGCCAGAGCTGGGGACACGAGGGTGGCAGGGGGCACAGGCAGCCCTCTCTACCGACTGGCTTTCTTGGAGGGGGCGCTCAGGCTGGAGCCCTTCCCCAGCGTGTCCTTGTAGTCGCTGGCACTGCCCCGGCTCCGGCTGTCCCCGCCACGGACGCTGCAGACTCCAGAGATGCAGCTGCCGCTGTTGGCCACGTAGCCGCCGCTGACCGAGCTGGGCCGGAAGCCATAGCCACCGCTGCCGCTGGTGCTGCTGATGATGGCTGCAGAGGGAGAGCAGGTCAGCACCCCTCGGGCAGAGCTGGGGTGGAACTAAGAGGAAGCCACCTTCCCCAGGACAGATGGGGCTGTCCTTGGCGTGATGCGTTATGTGGGGGCTCTGGTCACAGCTGCCCCCCTTCGAGGGGAAAATGTCCCAGAGACAGTTTCCCCCACGTCCTGCTCTTGGCTTGCCCAGCTTACAGCCAATCTGGCTGATTCTTAACTCTCAGAGGCCCATCCCTTTGGTCCACGTTCCAATGCAGGCATCTGTCATTCTGGACGCCCACCCACTGCCCCTTCTATTGGCATTTTTGCTAAACTTCCCAGCCCCCAACCCCTCCTTCCTCCTAGCTGTCCCACAGATGGCATCTTTCGGAAGCTCTGGTTTAACTCTCTTAGCCCCACTGAGGAACCCAGAGATCCCACGCTGCCAGCTTGACCTCTGAGGTCCCCCATCACTCGTCCCCTCTAATCCCCCAGCCCAGGGCTGACTACAACTTGCACACCTGGCTCCCCAAGCCTCACACACACCCATACTCAGTTTCTTGCTTTCCCCATCCCCGTGGTGACAGCCTTCCGGGCTGCCATCCCTGGGACCAGGGAGACAGAGTGATAAGGAGGAAAGAGGCCTGGGCTGGGAGTCAGGAGGCCTGATTGCTGACCATGCCTCTGCCAGCTGGCTGTGTGATCTCAGTCAGTTTTTGCCTCTCTGGTCCTTAGATTGCACATCTACACACATAGGGTGTGTGTGATCAAGGGCCTTTCCAGCCCACAAATTGTACTATTTTAGGTCCAAGCATACAAGTACTTACAGATGCTGACAGGGGAGGGAAATTCTCCTGACATCCTGTTAGGGCGAAAAACAAAATAAGAGCAAGCAGTCATCCAACCACAATCTATTAACCTCACAGCTAGGGCCCTCACTGGCCTGACGTGGGTTTCTGAACCCAACAGCCACCTGGGGAAATTCCAGGGTTTCTTGGGCATAAGCAGAGCTTGAGAAGAGGTGGGGGCCACCCCTGAATCTTTGGGGTACCCCGGCGACAACCCAAGTCAAACAGTAGTTGGTGTGAGGTGCACATGTGCGGGCAACGTGCACACCTCCCCAGGACCAGGCCTGGCACTGAGCCTTTCCATCTCTGAGAACACTGGGGAAGCTGGAGGGGCCATCCTGGGACATCGCTGACAAGCTTGTGACTTGCTGGACGGGTAGGGAAGATGGAACAAGAGGTCTAATGTAGCAGAGGGGTTTTGTGTGGTTTTTGCGATGGTGGGGGCGGGGATAGGTATTATTAAGTACTTATTATTTCTGTCATCGCCACCCCTTCACTCCCCAGGAACTCATCTTTTCTGGATTAGGATGTGTTAGGCTTTCTCCTTTGGTCCTTCCCAAACCCCTGGGGTCTTCCTGCCGGAGCCCATCCCCCTCACCGGCACTCCTCGCTCTCCAGCAGCTTGCGGTAGGTGGCGATCTCCATGTCCAGGGCCAGCTTCAGGCTCATCAGCTCCTGGTACTCGCGCAGCATCCGGGCCAGCTCATCCTTGGCCTGATGCAGGGCGGCCTCCAGCTCGTCCAGCTTGGCCCGGGCGTCCTTCAGGGCGTTGTCCCCCCGCTGCTCGGCATCAGCGATGGCCGTCTCCAGGTTGGAAGCCTAAACAAAGAGTTGGAGACATTGGAAAGCTGGAAGGGGTGACTGGACCCATTCACATCTAGATCCTGCTCATTCTTTGAGATTCCGGGGCAGAGATGCCCACCTCCCCACTCCTTACACCCTGTGCTCTCTTCTAGATTGGAGACCCCTCTGGAGCTGGCAAGTCCCTCCTTAGCTCTAACTCAACTCCCTGCGTTTAGATGGTGGTGGTGATGAAGAATAGCGCATCCTGCCCTCCTGGGATGATGGCCAACCCAGCACCACTTCAGTTCATCGCAAAGACATTTACTTGGGCACCCTGTGCCGGGGATACAAAATGAGTAAGATTGGTTCTCTGCTCTTGAGTTGTTTAAAGTCTGGGAGGAGAGATCATTGGAATACGATGTTGCAGGTAGGACAGTGGTTGCCCAGGTGCCTGGGACCACGGAAAAGGGGCGCAGGGAAGGAGATTCCCCAAGGCCAGCTGTTATTTCCCAAGCGCTTGCCGTATGCCGGGCCCTGCCCTCAGCCCTCTCCAGGCCTCTTACAAACCTTAGCTCGTCTGGTCCTTACAATGCCCTGTGCAGGGAGGACAAGGGACCTGCCCAGCGTCACAGAGCTGCTAAGTGCTAAAGCCCATGGGAGAGTGGAAAGAGCACTGGACGAGGAGTCAGCAGACTTGGTTTAGACCTCGGCTCTGCCACTTACCAGCTGTGCAACCCACTGAACCTCTCTGAGCCTCCGTTCCCTGCTCTGTGGCAAGGGGCAGTGCTCGCCTCACAGGGTCTTTATGAGGACCCAGCGTGCTAAAACGAGAGGAGCTGCTGCCGTTTTATTACACATGTGCATCTTGTCGCCCACCTACTAAAGCCGAGACTGCAGCCTATATTCCTTGGAGCAACTCCGAGAAAGGCCTTAATAAATATCCACAGAAGGTACTTCGAGGGATGCTCTCTGAGCCCACTTCTCCTCAATCGTTTAATAAACAGATGTTTACTAAGCTGCTGCTACGTGCCAGGCACTGTACCAGATGCTGGGAACACAGTGGGGACAGCGCAGCTGCTCCCTGCGTCTTTCACATCCATAGAAGAAGGGACAGACCAATGTAGGGCAGTGACAGAAGTGTGACAAGTACCGGGAAGCACAGGTGCCAGGAGAGCACATTGATTAGGGGGATGCTGTAGGGGATGCGGTCCAGCCCAGCCTGGGGGATGAGAGGAGCTCCCTGGGGCGGGGAGGGGACCTCAAAGTAGAGGTCTCGGGGTGAGTAGGAGATGAGATGCACCAGGGACGTCTGCTTTAAGCGTCTGAGGCAGTGACTTCCTTGGCCCCTTTCCTCTCCTGGGCAGAGATTTGGGAGGCCCACGTCCCCGGCCAACTCCTCTCCCCTCCAATTGCGCCCGCCCACCTCAGGCGCCGGACGACCGGTCCCTCACCTGCTTCTTCACGTTCTCGATCTCTGAGCGGATTCTCTGGATGAGCCGGGTGAGCTCGGAGATTTCGTTCTTGGTGTTCTTGAGGTCGTCGCCATGCCGGCCTGCCGCCAGCTGCAGCTCCTGGAACTGGGGGCCCCGAAGCACAGAGCCATCAATGAGCATGATGAGCAAGTCGGGGGCACATGACAGCTCGGGCTTGGGGATGTCATGAGGGAAGAGCACGCTGGACGCTTAACTGGCCATTGCCTTTGGTCTGGGAACGGCCAGGCCCAGCGCTCATGCCTACTGGGGTGCCCGGCCCGGCCCACCTCACCTTGGTCTGGTACAGGGCCTCAGCTTCCGCCTTGCTTTTCAGGGCGATCTCCTCGTACTGGGCGCGCACCTCGTCGATGATGCTGTCCAGGTTCAGGTCCCGGTTATTGTCCATGGACAGGATGACGGACATGTCGCTGATGTGGGACTGGATCTGAGCGATCTCCTGCAGGGGAAACAGGGATGGTCTTAGAACTTGACTGTCTGAGGCTGGCAACCTCCCCCAAGCCAGGTGGGCAAACCCCGGCGATGCCAACTTAGAGGCTTGACCCAAGGCTCTTGCTTTCTGAGCGAAGCGAGTTCCCTCCAGACCTCAGATGGATTCCTGCCACCATGGTTCAGGGCCTGGCCCATTTCCTTCCCACCTACAGGGTGCAGATGGGAGCCTCTCAGGGCTGGAATGGGAGATGAACGGCTAACCAGGGTGGCCCCTCTGGGAGCAGGACCCCAGTGCCTCACCCAGCCCCCAGAACAGAGGTTTACCCACTGGCCGCCCTCAGAGGGGTCGAGTGAGAGAGGGACTTACGGCTTCGAAGAGGCACCTGAAGAACTTGATCTCCTGGTCCATGGAGTCCACCTTGGCCTGCAGCTCCACCTTATTGGCATAAGCTGCATCCACGTCCTGAAAGATGCCCCAGCCATGCTCCAGTCACTGCCGGTACAGCCAAGGAGGCAACACCCACCCAGCCTGGGTGCACTGCACTGGGAAACAGCTACCCTGTCCTCTTTGGAAGGCTCATGGAAAAGGAGGAGGAGGAGCAAGAGGCCCCGGCTGCACCTTCCTGAGAATCTGCTCACTCAGCAGGGATGGGGTGCCCCTCCAAGGAAGGGAGCCCAGCCAGGCTGCTGTCAGTCCTCCCTGAGCCCGGACCCCACAGCAACAGGGGGAGCCCCTGTGTGTCATCCTCTGCTGCTCTTCACTGTGGACAACCCTGTCCATGTTAAACACTAGGAAGGTCACCATCCTCCCGCCTTTTTATTCCTTTTTCTGGGTAGTCTTTCATCGTGGTCTCCCCTACCTTCACCTCACTATTTCTGAGTCAGTTCACTTTCTCTGAGAGCAGAGCACATGGGCAGGCTCGGCTCCGCCTCGTCCCAGGCCACCCTGGACTCTGTGCCCGCCTCTCCTCTCACCTTCTTGAGCAGCACAAACTCGTTCTCTGCAGCCGTCCGCCTGTTGATTTCTTCCTCGTACCTGCAGGAAAGCCAGGGCTCGATGGGTTAGTAGATCTCACTGAGAACCCTTATCTGCCCAGGGAAGACCCCGAGTGCAGAGCGGTGTGCCCGTGCTGAGGGGCTTCAGAGGACTGGGCCAGTGGGGCCAGCCAGGCAAGGAAGGCTTCCTGGAGGAGGGGACATGGTAACCAGGTTTGGAAGAAGGAGATTGTTGAAGATCCAGCTTCAAAAATGAGGAAGGAGCATGTGGAGCGAATGTCCTGTGGGAAATCTCTGAGGAAGCAAGAGATAACCTCCTCCCTCAAAATCTGAATAAAGCCTACAAATGGACGGGAGCATTTCCCTCACTTCTCCTCACGGCAGTTCTGGGCGGGGCATGGATTTATTAAGCCCCTTGTCACCAATGAGGACACAGAAGCTCAGGGAGAACACGAGTGGTTTACCCAAGGTTTCCCTCACCCCAGAGCCAGAGATATAACCCTCTGCCCACTGTCCAACTAACTGGGTAATTGTCCTACATGCCAGGCCAGAGGCTGCAGGTGCAGGGAGTAAGTTCCAGAGTTTTGTTGGCGTGATTCTACCTGGTATGACGAGGAACACCACCCCCCACCTCCAAAAGCTTTAAGCTGGGGTAGCGGCGGCTCCCCAAGGGGCCCGCCCCTGCAGGACGAGCTCAGAGGGACAGGGGCGTTGTCTAGCTGCAGGGGGTCCCCTCCGCTCACCTCTTCTTGTAGTCCTCCACCACGTCCCGCACGCTCCTCAGCTCCGAGTCCAGCCTCACCCGGTCCCCGGACAGCGTCTCCAGCTGCTTCCGCAGGTTGCTGATGTAACCTTCCAGGATGGGCTCCAGGTTGTTCTTGCAGTTGTTCAGGTCCAGCTGCTGCAGCAGCTCCCACTTGGTCTCCAGCACCTGGTTCTGCTGCTCCAGGAACCGCACCTGGAACCCAAAGCCCAGAGACGGTTGAGCCCCCACGGAAACAGTCACGCCTGTCACTCGCAGGGCACTGTGCGTTTTCTCCTTCACCCCTGACAACAGCTGCGTGAGGTGGGCGAATCGGTAATCCTGTTTGATGGAAAGGAAACTGAGGCATGGAGAGGTTTAGCCTCTTTCCAAGGTCCAGTGGTTTAACAAGTGGTGGAGCCCAGAACTGAACCCAGACATGTGTCCCCATAACCCAGGCATGAGGTCACTCAACCCAGCAGGGGAAACCAGCTCAGGGCAGAGATGTGCCTGAAAATACCAGGAGAGACCCAGGCTGGGTCCATCTTTGGGAAGAGTGGCCACTGTAATGAAGGGAGAGTCTGCGCTTCGTTTTATAACATATCAAGTTCAGTGAGGCTCCACGGTCCAAGAGTTTCTGGATATTCCAAATTCCTGCGTCAGGCCCCAACTCCATCTCTGCTCCTGGCCTCTTCCACCCGCCCCTACCAGTCCTGCTCCTCAGAACCAGCTTCCTGGAGCAAGCCTGGCACACGGGGCGAGACGGACAGATGGAGCCCCCGCGCCATCACGGCCTCACCGGGCCGGGAAACGACCGCGGGGGTGGATCTGCGTGTACCTCTCTTGTTTGGTTTTAGGGAGCACAGATTTGAAAATGTGACTTCTCTTAATCCTCATGAGCACAACTGCTGTTTAAATAAGGTTGTGCTCCCCAAAGTCAGAAATACAGGACCTTAGAAAACTGTCTGGGGTCCAGTGTTGAGATGGGATTAGCCACCAAACAGCTAGCCGCCAGCAGGTCCTCCAGCATTTGGTTTGGTTTAACCAATCCCGACTTTCTCATGTTTATCCATAGACTGAGTATTAACCACCGAGGAACCCTACATCCAGGACACCACCATTCGCATCTGGACCACACACGGACACATCTGGATTGCTGATAGGAGGCACCATCTTCCCTGGCTGCCTGGGATTATGGGATTGTCCTCCTCTAGAGACTAAATTTATTTGGGAATCACCCAGGCCTTTGAACCTGTTCCCCCTCACCCTGGGCAGACCACCTTTTCTCACAGACATGACTGTCTTCATGTGCATCTTTCTTTCCGTGTCTCTGGACTTTACCCCTGAATGGGGTTTGACAGCCCAGCCGAAGGTCAGTCTACTCCCACCCCTCTAGACCCCAAACCTCAGAACACTTTGATCTTCCAGATGTGAAGTGGCTGAGAGGAGTAAGGAGCCACAGAGACGGCGCTGCCCCTGAGTGAGCGGGCACAGGGAATCCTCTCAGCAGGAGTCTAGAGGCGCGGGGGGCAGGCTCTGACGGCCACTGACCGTCTCAACCACAGGCTCTGTCCTGGGCTGACCCATCCTTATGCAGCCAACGTGGCCCTCCAGTCCTCAGCACTGGCTCTGGAGGCAGGTGGCTGAGAGTCCGAGCTCACCTTCCCTCCCCCAGATGACCTTGGGCGTGACAATTCCCACCGTGCTTTTGCTGACTCATAAAATGGGAGCAGGTTTCTTATCTGAGGAAAGTCAGAGGCCAATCTGGACCAGAGGATCCCCCGAGGCCTCTTCCAGGCCTTTCATCCCTCTCCATCTCAACACCCGTCTCGTAGCTCTCCAGAGATAAAAGTGACAGTAACAGTAACCACCGTGTGGGGAGGACTTCGTATGCGGCAGGCACTGTGCCAAGATCTTCACATGCATTTTCTTTAATAAACCTGACAACGACCTCAAGAGGCAGGTCATTATCTCCCTTGTAGAGATGAGCAAACAGAGGCACAGACAGGATAGCTAACTCTCTACACAGCCACGCAGGGTCCAAGCCAGGTCTGAGCCGTGTGGAGACCTCTTCCCCACTGCCCTGAGTGCTCAGCCCACAGGAACAAATGCCCGGGGATGAGCCCCCATGAATGACCGCACACTGATGCTCCTGATCCATCGGTCAAAGGACCAGCGCACGAGAGTGGCTCGCAACAAACGGGAGAAGGACGAGCCTCCCCAGTTATTCTGGGGCAGATGCCCTCTCACTGGCTTTTTCTGCACACAGCTCCATGGGCCCCAAGCTTAGCAATGGCACCACGCTGGCCCTCAAGAGTAAGAAGCAGGGGTCTCCCTTTGGAGACCCTGACAAGCCTCTGCCAGTAGAGATTGACCTACTTGTCTTCTCTGAGGAAAGACCACGCAGGGAATCTTACATAAGTCACCCTGATGGTAGAAAACACCTGCCTTGTCCACAGTAAGGGCCTCCTCATCTCTAACCTCAATCTCTTCTGCTGTAACAAAGCTTATGTTCCAAGAAGAGAAGAGAAGGGCTGTGCACAGGTTCCCCAGGTCCTAGCAGACCCACCTTGTCAATGAAGGAGGCGAACTTGTTATTCAGCGCCTTGATCTGCTCCCGCTCCTGGGCGCGCACCTTCTGGATCTCAGGGTCCAGCTCCACGTTGAGGGGGGCCAGGAGGCTCTCGTTGACAGTGACCTGATGGATGCCTCCAGGCGGGCATACAGTCGGGCACACGGGCCCCAGGGCCACACTGCCAAACATGCTGCCAGCAAAGCCACTGGCCCGACCCCGGCCAAATCCATACCCTCCACTCTTCCCGGTGCCACCGGCCACATTGAAGGAGATGCTCCGGGCGCCGCCCAGGTTGTAGAGGCTCCGGCTTCCGAAACCCCCGCTGAGCCCTTTGCCCCCTGCACGGTAGGAGGAGGAGCTGCCCCCCGAGAGCACTGCTGAGCAGCCGCTGAAGCCCCCCTTGGCAGCAGCTCCTGGCTTGCAGGTGAATTGGCGGCTCATGCTGCTCGTGGTGATGGAGCTCAGGCGCAGGAAGGACGAAGGCAAAATCCCACACGGGCTCTGTAGGGTGCACTGAGGACCAGCAGGTGCCCTTCCTTATATGTGCTTGGCGCTGGGGCTCATGGATGGGCCGTTGAGAGCTTAATTCGTGGGTTTGGCTTGCCTGGGAGCAAGAAGTCATTTTCTCCATGCTGAGCTCGAGATCAAGCCCTCCCCACCTCTGAAACAACATGAAACCTTCAAATTGCTGGGCTTGCAAGCCTTGCTCATGTAATTTGGGGCTTATCTAATTAACCTGCTGTTATAGGGTAATTTGCCCCAGGCCCAGCCTCTCCAGGGGGACGTCACTGGCACTGCACCGTCCTTGTCCTGATTAATCTCCTCTGGCTTGGGGGCTTCCTCTTGGGGGATCAGGGAGCAGGGAGGTCATGGGCTTCCCTGGACAGGGCAGGCGACTGGGTACCTGGGGCCCCAACTATAGCTGTGTCTCCTTCTTTCTCTGACACGGCCGTTCATCCAGGCGTTAACCTCTCCCCTGGGCCTCCTGGAGGCACACCCCACTGACGGCCTCTTCTCCTAACCCACAGAGGACAGCAGCTCTCTCTGCTGAAGTGTTGGGGTAGAGTGACCCTCTCCCCAGCATGGGACATGAGCAGCCCAGGCCAGAGCCAAGTGTGGACACAGGAGGCCAAGTCCATCTCAAGAAATGGGACCCCCACCCTTCACCTCTCAAACTCCTGTGATAAGAGAGGCTACAGGCTGTGCAAGGGACAGTTGACGTCCAGCCCTTCCAGCACTGGACGGAAGGAAGAGAACGGAGGATGGAGTTGGGGCAGGTGGTTGTGAAATTCAGGGAATCAACTGGAAGGAGGTATGGAGATGACAGAGAGAGCCCCCCCCCCCCGGGCCTGGAGTTCTCAAGGAGAGACTCCTGGGCGGTCCGTTTCCTCATTTCTGTCTTCTCTACAATGTGTACCTGCTAATGAGACCAGGAGCAGCTTGAGGACAGGAGCCCTCTGTTTAGAGCTCAAATAAAGGAGCTGCTGTTGAGGTGAGACGGAACTCCTCCCACGCCCCTCCAGACGCCTGCGAGCCAAGGAGACAGGCCGGCCGGGGCCCTCCCAGGGGTGCTGGCCTCCGCAGGGGGTGGGCCAGTGAGCACGGGGCCGTCCTGCTCCAAACAGCCCCTCGATCCTGCCCCAGAATCTGCCTGCCGTCCGCTCCATCCTGGGTCCCTGGCTTCTGCGAGGCGCTCCAGGCCTCCCCCATGATTGCTGCTGCTGTGGCTCCTGTTCCACTCGTGGCCAGTTCTCTCCCTGGAGACTGCCCTTGCCCAGAGGTTCCCGCTGGGCTCCATGGGGGGCTGGGACTCTTGGCTGCGTGTGGGCGCAGGAGGGAGGAGGACCCGGAGCCAGGCTGGTATGGGGCTTTCTCTCATTTTGTTAGGGGTTGACCTGGAATCCATTCCCTCCCCCTCCCCTGCCCTCCTCCCCACCTGCCCCCTGCCATTCTGTCTCCAGGGTTCACCAGAATGTCTGTTTCCCTCCCTTCTCTCTTTCCCCACTTCTCTCTCCACCCCTCCTCTCCAGCTCCCATCCATCTTTCCCTCTCTCCCTTCACTACCTCCTGCTCTACTCTCTCGCCATCCTGCCCTCTTCCCAGACGTCTTCCTGGGTCAGCACAGCCTGGTTCGGAGCTCCCCTTGTCTCTCTCCCTTAGCATATTCTTGGCATGTGCTGAAGTACCATGACACCACGGGCAGCTCCCACGAGGTTCCTCGGAAGGCTGTGTCACTTGCCACCTCAGTTTTCCTTTGTAAGGAGAGTAGAAGGTCCTCCAGATCAGAGGCCACCTAGCATACTCCTCCCTCCCTCACTCTCTCCCTTCGGCAGATCTCTACTGAGTGCTCACTGTGTGCCAGGCCTTGTGCCCAGCACTGGGACACAGGAGCTCATGATGCAACGCCAAAGGCCCTTCACGCCCCTAGAACCCAGTCCTCACACGGTGGTCCCCTCGATGGCTTTGCTGGCTGTATGTTTCTCTCACGTGCTTGGCTGCCCCCCCAGCCCAGAAGTCAACGTCCCTGCAACTGCGGCCCTGCCCCTGCCTCTTCCCGCGACTGCCCTCCTCGCTGCTCCTTGCTCCGGCCAAGGCCATCTCACGTGCAGGCCTCCTCTTCCAATACCTCCAACATTTTGCTGAACTATTCCTCCCCAGCCTGGAACACCCTCTCTCCGCATCTCTTCTGATCCAAATCCTTCTACTCTTTCAAATTCCTGCATCAAACCCCGGATTTAGTGCCATCTCCTCCACTGTGCCCTGGATGCCTCTGTCCGCTGACACCTGTGTGTAGGCTCCTGCCTTCCCTCGGGCTGGGGCCTGGATGAGGGTTCCATGTCCCGCGGCCGACTCTTCCCTCTGTACCTTCCCTCAGGACCCGGGCCCAGCTCCTGGACATCCCTTCCCAGGTGACCGAGGACTGATGGTTGTTGGAGCAGCAGCCACTCAGGGACAGTGCATCTTCGGGGAGCTCCCGGGCCTGCAACCCCTAGAATGGCACCAGGTGGGAGCCTGGCCTCCAGGGGTCGGAATCTCACTCCAGCACCGGGTAGTGCTCCCCCTCTCTAAGCCTCAGCTTCCCCAGCTGTAAGTGGGATCATAAACTCATGGGGTAGTCGTGACAATTACACATGTCAAGCGCTCAGTAAACGCCTGGTACACAGTCGATGTTCAATAAATGCTGTCAATTACCAAAAGTAGAAAGTAAAGTGGAATTCAAAAATCGGCCTGTCTTCTCCTCTCCTTCCTTCCCCCCTGGGAGAGGGTGTCTGGATCAGCACCTTCCCATACAGTGTCACCTGCTGTTGGGGAACACGGAGGGCTGGTCCTCCCAGTGGTCCCAGGCTCAAGGAATCTCCCCCCTCAGACCATCTCTGATAATGAAGAATTCGCCACTAGAAATAATAATAATAAGAGCCGCTGTCTCAGAAGAGCTTGCCAGGTACAAATCTCGGCAGGAAGCACGTTTCAAACATCGAGTCTACTGGTATTGATCCATTTATCAAATATTTATTGAGCACCTACCAAGTGCTGAGGAGGGCAGTACAAATTATCCTGCCCTCAAAGAACTTAGTTTCTGGATTCCCTCCAAACGCAGGTGTCCCTGGGAAAAGCATCTCAGCGAGCTATTAACAAGTCATTAACACCCTAGCGTGAAATCGTTCATCAGATACTGGCCTTCAGGAATGAAACACCCAATGTTGTTGATGAGGGTGATGATAGAAGAGGAAAGGGGAGCGTTCTGGGCCACCCACAGGAAGGGTGGGCCCAGGTGGAGCTCCTGGGGTGCTTGCGTCTTTGCTGGAGGGAAAAAGGAAGGGACTGAACAATCCAGGACTGGGAGCGGCTCACCAAGGTTATGAAGGCGCTGCCCCAGCCTTCACTGCGATCCGCGGAGGCTCGGGGGCAGGAGGCCTCTCCAGCTGGTGGGGGAGACAAGATGTCATCTACCGCGTCCCACGTCCCAGCTTCACCTCTTCCCCTCACATCATTTGTGGTATTGGGATGGCCCTGTGTTCTCAGCGGGAATTAAATCCTGAGTGACGCTTGGCCAAGCACAGATGTCTCTGAGCCACAGCATCATTCCTCTGTGAAATGCGGGGGGACGTGTGTCAGATCAGAGACTCAAACCCCCGGCACCGGGAGGATCTCGCTTGTCCGTTCAAGGAAAATTTACGTGGCTTCTTAAACAAACTACATTTATATGGCTCTTGGTTTTGTAACCAAAATGTTTTGTTTGGTTTACACAAATCATTTGTAGCTTTCTTTGTATTTTTGTTTCTTCCTCTGTGACGATGGTCAGTCTGACATGGTCATGATGATCCCATGGCCTCAATTAGGACCCCTTGGCTCCCCACTCTCAGCATTCTGGGGTCTGAGAAGCCTCCACAGAAGGCCCCAGAGAGAGAAAGGCAAGAAAATCTAGTACAATCTGAGGGGGTAATTGCTGGGTGAGAGGAAAGGGGAACACACAGAGGAGAGGCAGGATCTGGGGACACTGAATCCGCAGGGGCTGCCTGGAGAAGGGGGTTTTAAGGGAAAAGGGCTTGGGTAGACTGGCAGTGAGGAATGGTGAAAGCAGCCCAGGCTGGCAGGAGGAAGGGCATTTGTGAGGAAAGGACCCTCCAGGCCAGAGAAATCACAAGTGAAAGGCAACTGTGGGTGGAGGGACCCCAGATCCGAGGCTGGGCATGTGATAAGGCGAGTGATAGGGAGCCATTGAGGGCTCTGGAGCTGAGCCGAGCCTGAACAATACGTGTTTGAGGAAGCAGAATCCAGCTGCTGTGTGAGTAGGAGTCGGGGTGGGGAGATGCTGGAGGCACAGAGAGAGGGGCAGGTGGTTCTCTGAGCAACTAATTGTCTCCAAAATTAGAGAGAATGAGCTGGGCTGTTTGGATGACATCGGCTCGAGTCCTGCCAGCTCTCCTCAGCAGACGGGCCCAGGAAATGAGCATGGGGTCTGTGACTCCCCACAAACCCCCTCCTCGTACCTCTATATCCTCCTGTGGTTTCAAGCAGGCGGGGCCCTCAGCCCCAAGCCAGCTGGATGGAGCCCAGTCCCTGGGGGTCTCGGCCACAATCAGAGCCGCTCATCTGGGGGCAGGATAGCTGTTCAGCAGGTTTGCAGCTGGCAAGGCTGACGGTGAGCTCACCCCAGAGGAGCTGGTGTATAAAGGACGGGGGAGGGCTGTCCCGCCAGGCACTCGACCTGCTCCCATCCTGCCATATGGCTGCCAGAGGTACCCTCCAGGGAAGCCCTGGCCCCCTCGCCTCCTCCTCGCTCAGCTCCGTGGCGGGGAGCACCTCCTTTGCACTTTGCTGGCCACCTCCTTCCTCCAGCCCCACTTCAAGCCTCTGGCAAAGTGTGTGGACTTGGGACTCTGAGGACTCAGGTCCTGGCCCTGCCGTGTGACCAGGGACAGGTCTCCCAATTTCCTAAGCCTCTGTTTCCACATCTCTAAAAAGGGGGTACTAACGCCCGCCCCACCTACTCCCCCAGGTAGATGGGAGGCACCTGTAAATAATAATAATGACGGTACAGTAATAATAGCTAACACATAGCGTGAGCCCTGCCAGGCCCTGCTCCAACGCTTCACATGTATTAACTCCTTTCATTCTCACAGTCCTAGGAGGCGGGCACTGTGATCATCCCCGTTTTACAGATGGAGATACTGAGGCACAAGGAAGTTGAGTAACTTACTCGAGCCCGCACAGCTAATGAGGAGCTGAGCCAGGGTTCGACCAGCAGCCTGGCTGCAGTCCACGCTCGCAGCCTCTACACTGTCCTGGCTTTCTCGTGTGCAAGTGTCCCTGGCAGATGCCTGCCCCATTCCGGGGGCACACGCCACCTCCAGCCTCCCACAACCTCCTGTTCTTGTTCCCTGCTGTTTGTCTTCCCAAAATCTGAATGACAGTGTGAAGAACTGTGCTCACCAGGACTGGCCTCGCCCACACTCTTCCCTTCCTGTCCCAGACACTCCGGCCAGCCGGAGCCGACCCTCGCTCCCCTTCTCTGCCCTCTGTGCTCTTTTGAGGAAAATCAATGTGATTTCTGGACCTAGGTAAAGATGGGGTTGGGGTGCTCATGAGATGATTCCATGTAACTCTCACATGCATCATGCTTCTCCCCGGTGTCGCGCTCTGCGTTGTTCTCCCAGTCTCCTGCCCACTGGGGCAGGCTTGTCCTATCCTTTAAGACAAACCAAGGGGCTGGCCCCGTGGCCGAGTGGTTAAGTTCGTGCGCTCCGCTGCAGGCGGCCCAGTGTTTCGTTGGTTTGAATCCTGGGCGCGGACAGGGCACTGCTCATCAAACCACGCTGAGGCAGCGTCCCACATGCCACAACTAGAAGGACCCACAGTGAAGAATATACAACTGTGTACCCAGGAGGCTTTGGGGAGAAAAAGGAAAACAAAATAAAATCTTTATTAAAAAAAAAAAAAGACAAACGAAGACACACCTCCTTTGAGAAGCCTCCCTGATTTCCCCGGATTTCCACCCTCCCTGTCAGGGTCGGCTGTACCTTTCTGCACACAGCCCTATTGCCCCAGTGCTGTGTGCATCCTCCAGCCTAAAATCATCTAACAGTCCCTCTGAGCCGGGCAATGCTCTCCGCTCCTGGGGCCCAGGTTCCGGGGCCTGTGACAGGAATTGTGAGTGCTGCTTGCCAGCTGACAGACGTGCTCCAATACACGTCAGAGGACGTGTGTGGGCGCACATTTGTGTGTGAGTGGTCGTGAACGCTGACATGAGCAGAATGGGTGTCCAGCCAGTAGGGATTGGCATGGCTGTCCTGATTGTCTGTGGCTGACAGCCACTGTGAAGAGTTAGTGACTGATTGTACCAGCTGTTAAATATTTTCGGTATCTTCCATAGACCTGAGCCTGTGAGCCAATGAGCACGTGTCTATGCGTGTGTACACGGGTTTCTGGTGACAATCCACCTGACGATGGGCCCATCTTGGCTTAGCTATCACTTTCAGATCTCCAGGACTCCATTCCTCTCCACTAGTGGCACACAAGTGGGAGGCGCTTATCTCATTTTCATTATATTCTTTTTCAATAGCAGCCGTGGGGGATGGGGTGACTCCCAGTTGGTGACCAATTGAGGGAATCAAATTCATCCATTCATTGACTTGTTCTTTCAACATCCCTGAGAACATACAAGCAGAAGAGGTTCTGACGAGTTGGCCTGAAGAACATTCCTTCCCAGGGGCAGGAGGACAGACAAGGGGACTTCTCAAGGTCACAGAGCATCAGTCTCATGAGACTTTCTGGACCAATGACAATGGCTGAATCAGTTAAAGCCTTGTGCTGCGCCAAGTTTGGAACCTAGAGAGGATGTTTGTAAAGACCAGAAAATGGAAGGTCAGAGGCAGAAGGAGGCGTGTCAGGCAAGAGTGGATGAGGCCCTAGGAGACAGGGCACAGATGTTCTGACTGCCATCTTCTGTTGCATTTGGTGATTCAGTCACCAATTACTGAGCAACTGCTCTGTGCCAGGCATTTGCCACACACCCCAAATCCCCCAGGCTTGCCCTTGGTCAGTCGAATGCAGGGTACGTCGTCTCCTGCTAGCCCAACTTCTCTCCTTGTCTTTATCCCAGGTTGCTGTTTGCCATAAGGTGGGCAAGGCTGGGAGCAAAATTCAGGGACACAGTTTCTCTGGCCTCTTCTCTGCTACCATCCCCAAGTTCTATTTTTTTATCTGGGTGAGATTCACATAACTTCAAATTAACCATCTTAAAGTGAACAATTCAGGGGCATAGAGTACATTCACCATGTCATGCAACCACCACCTTCCTCCAGTTCCAAACACTGTCATCAGTACCCATTAGAAGGCACACACCATTCCCATACCCCAATTCCTGCAACCACCAAATCTCTATGGATTTACCTGTTCTGGACATTTCATACGGATGGAAGCATACAGTCTGTGACTTTTGACTGGATTCTTTCACTTAGTGTAATGTTTTCAAGGTTCATCCCCACTGTAGCATGTATCAGCACTTCCTTCCTTTTTATGGCTGAATAATATTCCATTGTAAAGTGTATACCCTGAGTGTTTTTTATCCATTCATTTGTTGATGGACATTTGGGCTGTCTTAGTCCTTTCAGGATGCTGTAATAAATACCACAGATTGGTAGCTTATAAACAGCAGAAATTTATTTCTCACAGTTCTGGAAGCTGGGAAGTTCAAGGTCAAGGTGTGAGCGCAGTCACCATCTGGAGAGGGCCTTCTTCCTGACTCACAGCCGGTGCCTTCTTGCTGTGCCCTCATGTGGAGGAAGGAGGTAGGGAGCTCTGTGGGGTCTCTTATATTAGAACACTAATCCTATTCGAGGGCTCCGCCCTCATAACCTAAGTACCTCCCAAAGGCCCAACTCCCAATACAGCATCTTTGGGGGTTAGAATGTCAACGCGTGAATTTTAGAGAGACACAAATCTTCAGACCATAGCAGTCTGTGTCCACTCCTGGCTACTGTGAACAGGCTGCTACGAGCATACACGGACATGAATTTCTCAAAGCACCTGTTTTCAGTTCTTTTGCATATTTACACCTAGGAGTGGATCAGCTCGGTCAGATGACAATCCTATGTTTAACTTTATGGGAAACTATCCAACTGTTTTCCACAATGGCCGGACCATTTTACATTCCCACTAGCAATGTACAAAGGTCCTAATTTCTCCACATCCCTGCCAACACTTTTTATTTTCCAGTATTTTCTATTACAGCCACCCTAGAGGATGTGCAATGGTATCTCATTGTGGTTTGGATTTGCGTTTTCCTGATGACTAATCACGTGGGGCATCTTTTCATGTGTTTGTTGGCGGTTTGTATGTCATCTTTGAAGACAGGTCCATTAAAATCCTTTGCTCATTTTTTAATTGGGTTGTTTGTCTTTTTATTGCTGAGTGGTAAGAGTTCTTCATACGTTCTGGATACTAGAGCCTTATCAGATAGATGATTTGCAAATATTTTCTCTCATTCCGCAGGTTGTCTTTTCACTTTCCTGATAATGTCCTTTGATGAACAAGAGCTTTTTAATTTTGATGAAGTTTAATTTATCTATTTTCTCTTTTGTTGCCTGTGCTTTTGGCATCATATCTAAGAATCTTTTGCCAAATCCAAGGTCATGAAGATTTCCCCCTATGTTTCCTCTAAGAGTTTTATGGTTTTAGCCCTTATATATTAGGTTGTTGATCTACTTTGAGCTAATTTTGCACATGGTGAGAAGCAAGGGTCCACGTTCCCTCTTTTGCATGTGGGAATCCAACTATCCCAGCACCATTTCTTTTTTTTAAAAAAAAAGATTTTATTTTTCCTTTTTCTCCCAAACCACCTCCCCCCCCGGTACATAGTTGTGTATTTTTAGTTGTGGGTCCTTCTAGTTGTGGCATATTGGACGCCGCCTCAGTGTGGCCTGACGGGCGGTGCCATGTCCGTGCCCAGGATTCGAACCGGCGAAACCCTGGGCCGCTGAAGCGGAGTGCGTGAACTTAACCACTGCCACTGGAGGGGCCAACTCCTCCCAGCACCGTTTCTTGAAGAGACTATTCTTTCCTCCACAAATGGTCTTGGTGATCTTGTCAAAATGGCCATACTTGTGTGGGTTTTACCCCTCAAAATTTTGAAAAATATTTGTGCTAGATAGTAAGGGCCTAGGAACACCGTTCTCTGGGCGTCTCTGTCGGGTGAAGCTCTCTTGCATGTTGACTAATTGCAAGTCCCAGCAAAGAACAAGGCCAGTCCTTGCCCTTGGGACCGCCAAGTCTGGTGGTGATGGAGTCAGTGACACACAGACCATCTCAATCACATGTGGAAACAGCACGGTGGGGACAAGCACCGGGCACTGTGAGATCCTAGAAAGCAGGCACTCAGCCCAGCCCGGGGGGTTCAGGAAGGCTTCTAGGAGGAGTGGGAACCTGAACAGAATCTCCAAGGAGCAGTGAGAGTTGACCAGGTAATGAAAGGTGTGAATGACAATCCATGCGCAGGGACCACGGGAGCAGGAGCATCGCCCGGCGGATGACTCAGCCCCTAAACGGACCTTCACTGGGGGTCTACACAGAGCAAGTGAACTGGACAGTGGGGGTGCTCCCTCAGTGCCCTGGGCTGCTCTCCATCCAAAACTCCCACACGCCCCCATTCCTTCTGTCTCTTTGCCCCACGTGCTGAAGTCTGACTACAGAGCTGAAGTTGTCGCCACTGGTCCTGTCTTCAAGATTTCCCCTCTAGGGCTTCAAAGGAATCTCCAAACTGAGTCCTGAAGTCACCCCGTGCACTTCTCAGGATCACACATAAGCTCCAGATGCCGAGGAATCTCTCCATTTCTCAGGCGGACAAGCTGCAGCCAGGGCGCTGCCCCTCTGCTCTTCCCAGCGCTCCAGCACAAGACACACTCCATCCCCCAGGATCCCATTCGCCTAGCCGCTGGGACCTTCACCGTGCATCCGGGCTGGGCACCGCACTCAGGCCCCACAGTCCAGAGGTCAGAGGCACGCCTGCACTGTGACCCCGGAGGAGGCAATTCTGCGGAGGGCTCATGGATTCCGCTAAAGGCTATTTCAGGTTGTGGGTCCCCTCCACCCCATCATCCCAGCCCCTCTTACTGCTTCACCGGGAATTTGGTCTTTTGGGGAGGGCAGAGCATCAGTGCCGGGAAGGGCCTTAGGGGTATCTGGTCCTGGGGTCCATGACCCGGGGAGTCCACGGATGGACCTCTGAACACACAGACATGAATCTGTGCACTTTTCAGGGGGAAAGGTGCACAGCTTTAAGCGGCTCTCAAAGCGGTGCATGACCCGCTCACGAGGTGAAGAATCTCTGTTTAGTCTGAGTATAGCAGGTGACTGGTTAGCGGTTGAGCTGGAACAGAACCCCGTAACTCCCAGGGTGCTACTCCCAGCACCACAGAGACGACAGCAGTGACGTCAGAGGGAGGCATTTGGGCAGAAAGCCCACCAGACTCTTGGGTTCCTGTGCTTCCCAAGGTTTATTGCCTCTTGGCACTCACAGAAGAGGACCCTCAACACACGAAAGGGAAGTGAGGCCAGTGGAGGCCCCGCCCTCACAACCCCCCTGACCCCGTTGCCCTGAGAGCTGTAGGGGGAACCGTCTCCAGCACACCCAGAACACAAGATGATCAGAAGGCTGACTCGAGGGCTCAGTTCTGCAGGCCAAAGCTGAGGGACTTGGAAACCCATCCAGGCCCACTACCAACTTCGGAAAATCTGAGGCCTCCCACCCCCAACCAAAATAGGCACAAAGCCTGTGCCCAAACTACTGTGATGGCGTGTCTGAGTTCTCTCTCCAGGCGTCTGTGCCCATCTTTATAGGCCGTGGAGGGGCTGAGTTGCACACCCCATGCACCCTGTGTGTGCTGTGTGTCCAGTGGGAGGAGGTGTGGGACCTCCCGTCAGAGGGGCACACCTGAAGGGATGTAGGGCAGGTTTGTTGCACACAGAAAAAATCTGAGAAAGAGGAAACCTGGGTTCCAGTCCTGGCTCTGTTAATAACCAGTTGAGGATCCTGGGCAAGTCACTTCCCCTCTCCAGCCGTTTCCTTATCTGTAAACTGTGGGAGTCAGATGAAATACGCTTGAGGCCCCTCCCAATTCTGAGCAGGGTGTCAGCTCTGAGTGCAGGGGTCCTGGGGCAGGATGGGAAAGAGGGGCTGTGGGTGGCTGAGGGGCTCCCGAGCCCAGGCAAGGGAGATTTGCTTTTTGCTAAAGAGGGGGCTCCAGGACCTCCATCACAGAGGGTGAAACTGAGCCCCGGCGTTCTCGGTGGAGTTGCTGCCCACCTGCTTCTTCACGTTCACAATCTCACACTGGAGCCTCTGGATGAGCTGGCTCATCTCTGACATCTCATTCTTGGTGTGTTTGAGGTCATCCCCGTGCCGGCCAGCCGCCAGCTGCAGCTCCTGGATCTGGTTTCCCAGAGATAGGAAGTTGGTGATGAGACAGAATTGCCCCCAATCTGAGGTGGGGAAAGGGTCCTGAGCAACCTCTTCCACCACTGGGGCCCAGCCAGAGGAGGTGGCTCTGGAGCAGAAGGTGATGGAGCTGGGACCCGGGCGTCCTTCCAGCTGTTTGGTGGCGGTTCTGACCTAGAGGTCCACCTGCTTCTCCAAGCAGAACCTATTTGCTAGCCTACCCTCCTTTCTCATCACCCTGCCTGACGTCTTTCCTGGGCTGGATAAAGGAAAGATGCTGGTCGCATTTATTGAGCACTTCCAAGATGTACGAAGAGCTCCGACTCTCTCCTCTCATTTGGCGCCTCTTTATAAAGGCATCTTTTAAAGGCCAAGCACTGCCCCAGGTACTGAGGATACAGCAGCGAACAGGATGGGTGAGGTCCCTGTCCCCATGGAACGTGTATTCTCGGGCAATCCTTCCTCTATGATGGGAGGGCCAGGGAAGCCGAGGGCCGCGTGTACCCTTGGGGCTGGGATTGTTGGCTCAGGACTTGCAGCTCAGCTCTTCCCCTGTCCCCTTGCCCAGTCCTCCAGAGACGGGGGGATGACAGGGCCATGGACAGGGAACAAGGAGCCTGTGATCCTTCCCAGTGGTGAGATTTAACGAATGTGAAAAGGAGCGCCAGAGCGGGGCTGGTGGGAGCCCTGGAGAGTGCCCAGGTAAAGGGTTTCTCAGCGACCGGCCCAGAGTGTTTTACTCCAAAGCGTAACTCCCATCACCCAGAGGGCTCCCTGAATTCCACTTCTTCCTCTTGGAAGTCCTCCCACACGCGTCAGAAAAGAGCTCGTGGCTTCCTCTTCTTCACTCCCTGCCCCACCTGGGTCACCCACAGCTACTCTCTTCCATGTTTATGACTCTCCATCGGCCCCAATCCCTGGAAATACATTTGTTTTATAGCAAGAACACCTTGCTGCTTTCCTCCATCAGACGACTGCCCATCCCTCAGTGCTGGATATGTCACCCATACCAGTTTTTTGATTTATCTTTGAGAACAGTCTCTGCCAAGAATTCTTGAGTAGAATGTCATTCAACCATTGGCCATAACCATTCTCTCAGACAGCACATCTACAAAGGTCTCTCTCGCAGTCACTGGTGGAGGTGTCCCTCCCCAAGAAAGGAGGGGCTGGTGGAGGAGGAGACCCACCCGGTGCCCACCTTGCTCTGGTACAGCACCTGGGCCTCGGCCTTGCTCTTTAGTGCGATCTCCTCATACTGGGCACGGCCCTCATCGATGATGCTGTCCAGGTCCCAGTTGCTGTCCATGGACAGGATGACGGAGGTCTCGCTGGTGTGAGTCTGAATCTGAGCCATCTCCTGAGTTGAGAGGTGACGACAGAGTCAAGGTCCCCCCGCCTCCCTCTTCTGCCTGTCAGTCTCTGGCCCTGTGGCTCCTGGCAGAAAGGACTAAAGTACAAGGGAAAAGTGCCTACTGGAGCCAAGGAGGAGTGCTCCCAGGGGCAGGGTGTGCCTCGCACGGGCAGCAGGCAGAGCACTTCCTACAACTCACAGAATCAAGAACCTGTGCTTTAGTGGGACCTCATGGGCTCATTTTTTCCCGCCTGCAGGCAAGGTCACTCTAGTGGCTGGGATGGGATTGTCTCCTGTGTGATGGCCTCCGGAGACCAGGATCCTACACTTCCATGGTCTCCCACTGCAGGGTTTTGCACCTTTCCATGAAAACATCCTTCATTCTGTTTCTCCTAAATCCCTCCTGTTGGCCCCTCCCCGGCAGAGCCCGGTGAAGCCCTCGGCTGGAGAAGGGGGTGGGGGGCAGGCGTGTCCTCACCGCATCGTACAGGCACTTGAGGAACTTGATGTCTTTGTCCAGAGAGTCCTGTTTGGCCTAGAGCTCCGCCTTGACTGCGTAGGCTGCATCTGCATCCTGACGAGAGGCACCCGGAGCCGTCGGTCAAGACAACCCTCATCCCGTCAGCTGCCCTCTTCCTGCCCCTAAAGGCATCTGATTTCTTATTTTTTGCCCACAAAGGGACGCATGTTGATAAATAAAATCACTCGATATTGTGTTTCTCACAGACTTACTGAATCTTTGGGAATAGGGAAAGAGGAATAGGGCCTGCTCTTCTTCTGTTACACCTGGAGAAAGCAAAGCCCAGAGAGGTAGAGTAAGTTTTCTCAAGCCGCACAGGAAGGCTGAACTGGACCAGAGTTTCACAATTCCCAGACCAGAGCTCTCTCCTGTCTGTCTCTGTCCATTTCCTGGGTTTGTGCCCTGCCTGTCCAACTTGCTAGAGGCCAGAACCATGACTCCATCCCCATTCAGGCTCCAGCCCCTCCCCAGGAGGCCCCAGCTGAAGTCTTGAGCAGAGATGGTTAGGATGGGGGCGCAAGAGAGACCCGAGTCCATAGGCTCTTCTCTCCCCTACCTTCTTGAGCACCACAAATTCCTTCTCAGCTGCTGTGCGCCGATTAATCTGTACCTCATACCTGTGGACAAGGAGAGAAGACAGCAGAGGCCTCAATCCCCTCGGCCAAGTGATCTCCTCTTCCGCCTAGCCGGGCGAGTGCTCGGGACACAGAGACCCTGCAGGATCTCCTAGAGGTGAGCCCTCAGAGCCTGGTGGTGGCAGTGCTATGTCCCTAAGTTACTTCATTTACATTCCACCTGCTGGATCCTAGGAAAATATCCGGGTGCCTATTAGCCTCCCCAGATCGGCCACTGAACCAATCAGTGGGTCAACGAGCACAGAACTCCTTCCTCTCGGCCAGGCAGGACGTTCTCATCAAGCAAGGGAGGTCCTTCCCCCACAACCAAGGAGCAGGGGGAGCCCCTGACCTGGTACTCACTCCATCCCCTCCTAAAAAGTGGCACAGAGATTCCATGAGCCCAGGAGCCTCTGGGAACATGACCCATGACCTTTGGCGGGGCCTGCTCACCTCTTCTTGTAGTCCTCCACCACGTCCCGCATGCTCCTCAGCTCCGAGTCCAGCCTCACCCGGTCCCCGGACAGCGTCTCCAGCTGCTTCCGCAGGTTGCTGATGTAACCTTCCAGGATGGGCTCCAGGTTGTTCTTGCGGTTGTTCAGGTCCAGCTGTTGCAGCAGGTTCCACTTGGTCTCCAGCACCTGGTTCTGCTGCTCCAGGAGCCACACCTGGAACCACAATGGATGCTATCATGACCCGCAGACATACACCATTAACTCCCTGGGTTATCCAGATTTTTCTAAAGTCATTTGGCTCAAGTGCTGACTCTCCACTCGTGGAATTCCACGCAGACTAGACCCTTTGCAAATACTCACTGCAGAGCCTTCTGGACAAATCCAGTCACTGAAAACTCACTGAAGAAGGACATTCCAGAGCTTTCTTCTGCTGCCTGGCCCAGCACCCGGGAGATGCTCTTCCTTTTGTCTCCCCTGAGCGTTTCTTCTGCACCATGAGCCCTTCCCTCTGGAACAATGCTGATTCTATCAGCCCTTCACCCTCTTTAGAGAGCTGAGATCCATCCACCTGTCCTCTGGAAACCCATCGCTTCTTTCTACCCTTTACCCAGTTTCCCACCCTTCTCTGTAAAATCCCAAAGGAAGCAATACATTCATTGATGCCTTTGCACCATCTAGCTCACAGGTCTGCTCTGCCCCTGTTATGATCAGGGAACCCACCCTGAGGTCCAGCTGCAACCCTGCCATCCACAATGGCCCGTCCACTCCCAGGCTGCGGGGAATTGCTTATATCTCACTGGACTGTTTTATCCTCTTCCCGTGAGACCCACCTTGTCAATGAAGGAGGCGAACTTGTTATTCAGTGCCTTGATCTGCTCCCGCTCCTGAGTGCGCACTCTCTGGATCTCGGGGTCCAGCTCCACATTGAGGGGGGCCAGGAGGCTCTTGTTGACGGTGACCAGGTGGATGCCCCTGGGTGGACACACAGATGGACATGCAGGCCCCAAGGCCATGCTGCCAAAGACGCTGCCAGCAAAGCCAGTGGTCCGGCCCCCTGCACACCCAGAGCGAGGCCGGAAGCTGTACCCTCCAGTCCGAACGCCGCCACCAGCCACATTGAGGGAAATACTCCGATTCCCTCCAATACTGTAGAGGCTCTGACTGCCAAAGCCAGCCCCAGCTCCTCTGCCAGCTGCACGGTGAGAAGCCACACCGCCCACAGCCTTCCTGAGCACCACTGCCGAGTGCCCGCTGAAGCCACCTTTGTCACCACCAGACTTGATGTTCAGTTGCCAACTCATGGCGGGAAGGGTGGCGTTGACAGAGCTGGAGAAAAGCAGTCACCAACGGATGGAGGACACTCTGATGGGGCACGCAGAGCACTGCCTCCTTTTATCCCATCCAGCCCGGGACACCGGAAAGGGCGTCTCTCCGCTATCTCTTTTCCTTGTGCTGGAGGGCCAGGGACCATGGATGATTGTCAGAACAGAGATCTCCAAGCCCTTTGCGGCCACAAAGCGCTCCTGATAGTGAGTGGAATACGCTGCCCTTGCAGACTGCAGCGGTCTCATGGGCCTTCATCTGAGCTCCTAATGAGGGACCCAGAGAGTTATCCCCTTCAGGGATCTCCTCGCTTTATTTTTCCAGGTGCCTCCTTCTTGCTTATCTATCAGCAAGGAGCAGGGGAAGTGCCTGGCTCTGAGGGCTCACCCAAAGCCCCCAGCTTTCCTCCCAGGAGAACCCGTCTCCCTATTATCCGGTCTTGTTGAGGAACTGGGGTGTTCATGCCAGGAAGAGGACTCAGAAGGGACACGATGTTGTCTTCAAAGATCTGGGCCCGAGAAAGAAGTTTCGGGGCCTCTCTTTGGGTCACTCTAAGGACCACAGCTGTCCAGCAATGGAACGGACCCCAGGAAGAGAGTGGGAATGACCACCTAGAGCCTGCATGGCCCCCCAGCAGGGGTGCTATCTGGAGCTTTCTGTACGGGGCAGGGCCTGCGTGGTGGTGACCTTGATGTTGACTTTTCAACAGTGGGAATCTCTTCAGGCAGCTGGCAGTTCCTGCAGCCGAAGTTTTTCTCCTGGATGAGGTTGCCTGCCCCATCCTAGAGGTCAAGCCGTGGAGCTGCCTCAGGAGCTGGCACATTGGCTCTTCTCTGCCTGGGAGAAACTCTCCCCTGTGCTCCCTGGGGTAACACACCGCGCCCAGCGATGAAAGCGCAGCAGCCCCTGAGTTTCACGCCTGCCACTGTGGGCTGTTCTGCCTCTTTCCTGGACACCTCAGGAAGCCACTCAGTCTGGGGACAGGAGAGACCAGGCCTTTATAGCTTAGGTAGTCCTGGCGGTGTGAAATGTTAAAAGATTATTCCAAAAACAAACATCTGGTAGCTGCCCAAGGCAGGACTCTGATACTTTCTGTAACTAAGCTGGGGAGCCCTGACCCGTTTGGATCAGCCAGAGGTGGTAGACAGACAACTGTGCCTGCTGATGGGGAGGAAAAAGGGGGAGCCTGTGAGCTGGGCAGTGGGATGGATGGAGCCTAGGCCTGGGATGCTGCCTAGGGGGGTCTTCCCCTTACACGGTGTTCTGCTCACGGTTCCTAAGGCAGCAGTGGAAGCTCCTTCTCCAGGACCCTGTCTCCCAACCTCCCAGCAGGGCCTAGCCCAGGGCCTGGGAGGGCATCCTGCAGCGGTTTCTCGTGGCTTTCTAAGCCAGATTGCATGCATTCTCTGTAGCAGAGGAGCAATGTTGGCAGCAATAGTAATCGCGACGGTAAGTAACGAGAAGAGTCAGCACTGATTGTTTACTTCACGTGTGCCAGGCACGGGGCAGAGCAAGGATTTCTAGTTTAACTCTCACATTACTAACTTCACTTTGCAGTTGAAGAAACTGAGGCTTAGAGATGCTAAAGAACTTGCCCAAGGTCACTCAGCAATTAAGGCAGAGCTGGGACTGGATTTCGAGCATGTCTGGTCTCAGAGTCCAGGTTCCTGACTATCACATTACTTGACAGAGATGAGAGGTAGAGCCAAAGATGCCCAGACTTTCTGATGCACGAGGCAGGCACGGCAGCCGTGGGCTCTGAGTCCCTCCTGCTCGTGTTTCTCTTATGTCATTGAGACGAGTTGATGACACGAGAAGGGGAGGTTGCGCCTGAACTGGGGGCTTATGCAAGGTCGTTGCTCTAGATTAGACACCACTCTGGGGTTCAGAGAGAAAGTCAGCCAAAATGGGGATGGGCAGAGGGAAGAAAAGACTCCCTTTCACACCAGGCTATTTTATTCTAGAATCCCTATGAGCTGGGCCTTCACTAAGGGGCTCCAAGGGGAAAGAAACACGGTTCTGGTGATTTGAGTCTCCTGGGCCAAGCTTGCACCTCTGCCGCCTGGTGAGTGTGAGCCCCAATCTGCCAGAGGAGCTGGACCTCTTACCGGAGACGTCAACCAAAGAGCAGGAAAGGAATGAGGCTGGAGCTTCAAGGCTGGAGAAGACTGAGGGAAAATAAAAAGTAGGCTTTCAGGTGTCCAGGAAAATGCTGCAGAATGAACTGAGCCCACTCACACCCAGAAGTCACAGCCGGGGAGAGCTGGGAGTGGGCAGGGCTCCGGGCACCCTTTGTATTCGTTCCACAAGCACGCAGTGGGTGCCTCCATGTGCCGGGCTCTGTGCTGGGGGCTGGTCAGGATGGGGCTAGTGATGGTGGTGATGGTGATGATGGCCATGGTGGTGGTGGTGATGCAGAAGGAAGAGGAGAAAGTAGAGGGGAATTTCCTGATGGCCGTGCTGTGACCGTGCCGCACACAGGGGCCCCTCCTGACTGATTCCTGGGGAATTTAATTGCAGGGAATTGTCCATGGCCTCTGACAGTTCCAATCTTCACTGTGTTGGCTACCCTTCAATTAGTCATCACACTCCACACCCCAGTCCTTGAGTTTATTGGACTAATGAGTGTCCCAAGAAGGCCTGAAGAAATGGTTCATTCAGTAAGTGCAGTCATGTGTCACTTAACAACAGGGATACATTCTGAGAAGCGTGTCGTTAGGCAATTTTGTCATTGTGTGAACATCACAGAGTGTACTTACACAAACCTAGATGGTAAAGCCTACTACACGCCTAGGCTATATGGGACTAATTTTATGGGGCCACCGTCATATATGCCGTCCGTCATTGACCAAAACATCGTAAAGCAGCACGTGGCTTATAAGATTGAGTGTGTCCTGTGTGTACTGCTCTACCCTAGACAGACAGAGAGACATCTAAGACACTCTCCTTCCCCTCGAAGAAATTCAAACTGGAAGAGACAAAATATAAGCACACGAAAGCTGTTTTGCTGTTGTTATTGCTGTAGTTTAACTCCATGTGCCTGTATGGGAGTCTGTGTTGAAATGACTGATTGAGACAAGGCGTTATTGAAGTTCTGATTTTTAAAAAAACTTAGGATAAAATACTTCGGGCTTTTGGAGGTGGGGGTTGGGAACTGGGAAGTGGGCTGGACTGGTCAGGTGCACAGGGCATCTGAGAGGCAGTGAGCCGCCCAGGCCATTGCAGGGGAAGGTTTGACTTAGGGAGTAGAGATTAATGGGAGAAACATGTGGAGCTGGCCAAGATAGTTCCCTTCTCCTGGCAGATAGTGTGGAATCATGTGAGGTCCTGGGGGAAGAAATTTCGAAGAGCCAGTGCTTTAGGTTAAAGAACGTGTACCCAGGGAGCCACGAGGGAGCTGAGCCCGTATGCACCATAATCTCCTGCCATCTTGGTTAAGGATACTCCTGGAAGGTAAGAGTCCCACTCTGCAGAGTACATCACACTGGAGGTAAATAGAGAGAAGTGCCCCGAATAATCCCAAATGGACATAACCAAAGTCGTGTCTGCTTGGTTTGAGAATGGATCCTGAAGGTCACTCTTCTCTAGTCCATTGGCCTTCTGACTACTCCTGGGCACAGCCGAGGGAACCAGCGTTCCGTAAATCAAAGTCACTGATGGAGAGAGGAAGAAGCTTAAGGGATTCTTGAGTTGGACGAGACAAGACTTGGAGGCAAACCACAGCGTCTCAGAGTTGGAAAGGACTTGAAACTGAGTTCTCCGATTTCCCTTTGAAAATGAGCTCAGAGCTGAACCCTAATGCTCCCTGCCTGTCTAAACCAGTTTGAAAGCAGCCTGTTCATCCGAGTTAGCTCTCTCAGACAATAGAGTGCATCTACTTTTTCCTCATTCTCTCCACACCCCCTCCCCACACCCTTCCTGACATGTAGTTCTCTGGGTCCTGGAGAGTCAAGTCCAACGTCAGAGGGGTATGCACCCAAGAGGTGGGGCAGAGCCCACTGCTGCTATCTGGGGCTCTAGACACAGGGCTGGGGCAGGGTGGGAGAGATGTTGGGGGAGGGGAGCAGAAAGTCCTGTGTTAGGAAGAAGGACTGACTTACATACTGTTTTGTAGGGTGACCAACTGTCCCAATTTGCCAAGGACTGAGGGGTTTTCCAAGACATGAGACTTCAGAGCTACAATCTGGACAGTTCTGGAAAACCTGGACCATTGATCACCCCCAACATGACCCACCCTATCGCAGAGCACAGAGTACCAGATTCTCCAGTAGTTTGCAGGGGTCGCTGTAGTGACATCTCCCCAAGTCTGTAAAACTTGAATACTCCAGCTGTTCGTCCCTCCTAGTCCCTGTCCCTCCACCCGTGACACACATATGTTAACATGAATTCCCCAGATTATTAAGAAGGCAGGTAGCTGGGTGACGTGAAATTAAATTCAATTCCACTTTCCTTTGTTGCATGCCTGCTCTGTCATAAGCCCCCAGGCTGGTGAAATCCCAGACAGGCGGTCGCCATGGTCGCAGTTCCCATTTCTTGGCGCCACATTACTGCAGAAGACGTTTGCAGCAAGCGTCTATTTATTAAAACTTAGCAGAGGATGTTGGGTGACCTGAACCCTGGCAGTGGTTCCCTTATCTTTGCTAGTGTTAGAACTTTCCACCATGCTCCTCAGTGTCACTCCACAAACACCGTCCTCTGGGTCCAGGGCCTGCCCCAGGACCTCTCCTCAGCATTAGCATCTCTTCCATCTGCCTGCTGCAGCCCAGCTCAGGAGGGGCACATCCCTTCCTTCCTACCTCAAGAGAGAAACGTCAGAGAAATTCAGCCAAGTGGCTGCAGGGTTCACATGGCACCTTTGCGCCCATTAGAAAGAGGCACCCCTTCCTCTGGGCAGATGCAGCCCTTCTCCTGGGTGCACAGCTGGATTTCAGTCCCCACTTGCCCCTCCCTGAGCCCTAGTGCTGGGCACAACCCACGTGGCCCTTGGGGCAGCCTGGGTGGCTCGCCTGAATCTCGAGGATAGGCTCTCGTTACAAAGGTGAGTTGGAGCCTCTGGCCAGAATTCTCCTTCCTCCCAAGGGGACGGTCATCAGCCTGGCTTCCCCTGAATTCTTGTTTACTTCTCAGGGCTGGTTGAGCTCTGTCTTCTGGTCCCCTGGACCTTTTCCTCTCTGAGCCTTGGGGGAAAGTGATGTTCCCCCGGCTCCCACCTCACCAGGGCCCCCAGGGCTCTGTCAACAGGAACTGCCTTGCCCAGCTGCTCTCTGGCTTGGGGAGCTGCAGGCCAGTTCTCCATTTTCCCAGCCTGAGTGTCCTTCTGCCTTCAGCCCATCTGGACTGCATCTCATGGAGCTCCTTCATTCTCATTTCTTTCTCTCTCCTCCTGCTCTGGCTCCTTGGCTGTTAGGACTGGACAGACCCCCAGGCCTTTAGTGAAGATCAAGCCTCTTTAGTTCTCTTTCTTCCCTCTTTTTAAAAAGAAAAGCTCTCTGCACTCTTCACAGCTCCATTCCACCACCTACCTAGTCATCACACGGAGCTCTCCCCTGAGCTCAGAAGCACAGAGCTGTGTCGGGACAAGCTCGGTCTTGCTCCGGGAAGGCATATTTTCTTCCATTTCCTCATTTCAAAACACCGGCGGGCCCCCACTCCTGTATTATTTCATCCATCTCTTTCCCTCAGACCCCTCCACCCACAGCCACGTCTGGAAGAAGTTGCTAAGGCATCTGCTGACCCCCAGCCCCTTTACTGCGTGATTCTTCTTTTGAAAGAGAACAGAGAGGCTGGGAGAAATGCCTTAATCTTTCGATCGTGACTGTGAGTTCTGATGCTCGATCTGCCTCTTCCTCTCCCACTTCCAGAGCAAACAGGCCTGGCCGCGTGGCAGGCTGTGATTAAGCCAGTCATCACTAATGACATGCTCGCTATCTCCCATCAGAGCATCGTGCAGCCCTGCCCAAAGAGGAGGGAGAAGCCCATCCCCACCCCCACCCCTACCCAGTCCCATAGGGAGGAGCCCGAGTTGTGGGCTGGGCTTGGGGGCACCTGCCTGAGGGGTGGGAGTAATGGCCATCCCCCTGCCCTGTGCCCACGTTATAAGGGAGCCTGCAGGGTCCTGGGAACAGGAGTTAGCAACGGGGCAGGAGAAGGGAAGAAACACCCAGAAGGAGAGAGAGAGAGAGAGTTCTCAGAGGAACCCCCTTGCAGCCAGGCAGGGCTTTACACACAGCGCAGGTGGGGCCGGGGAAGGGTGTGCTGAGGGATGGGGGCTCACTCCCAGGACCCCTGAATCAGCACCAGATTCTCAGGTGCCCGTGGAGGAAGAGTGGTCTGAAGGCCCCCAGTCCTCTGACGGGACTGTAACGCCAGCATAGAGGAGAGGTCAGAGAGGAGAGGGAGGGGAGACAGGAGATGGGGCCTGGGCAACACGGAGGCTGGGGCCAGCCTGGGCATGTCTGGGAGCAGAAACGCATCTCCTCCAGCTGGCAGCTCCGCGGTGAGCACAGAGCCATTCAAGATCATCCCACAGCTCCCTCCGTGGTGGGAGGAAGGTGCGGTACCTGGAGCTGATGGCAGAGGGCAGTGTGTGCACAAAATACAGGCACCAAAGAGTTATTTTTCCTGTCTGGAAATTAGCCGTTGGTGACTGGCTGGCAATGTGCTCCGGTGAACAGACCCAGTGCCCTCCGGCCCTCGCTCGGCCCGTCTCAGCCGGGTCTCTGGGCACAGTCCTGCTGTGGATCGACGGGTCGTGGGCCTGTGTACAGCCAGCGAACACAGGAGACCCCATGAACATGCGTTAATTATTAGAATAACAACTGACATCTATTGGCTGCAAACTGTATTCCAGGCACTGTGTTACTTCCATTAACCCTTTTCATATTCTCACCTCTCCTCCAAGGTGAGAACTTTGTCAGGGAATGAGGTGTCACAGCTGGAAGCATGGACTCTGGAACTGCCATTCAATTCCCACCTCTGCCATTTACTATCCATGCGATGTCGGGTGGGTCATTTAAACCCTCATGACCAAGATGTGTATTATTATAATCGCCCCTTATAACAATAAAACCTAGAAGGTTGTTGGGAGAATTCACCGAGTTGCCAGACATAAGATGCTTAGAAGAGTTTTGCTGGGAAGAGAACCCCGGACAAGGGAAGAGCTCTGTAGAGGCCAGATGGTATCGACCCCACTTTACAAGGGCAGGATCTTGCCCTGGGCCACAACTAGCCATTCGAAGAGCCAGGATTTGAAGGCAGGCCTTTTACACTGAGCCAGTGTGCTAGACCTGGGGGGCCTTGCCTGAGACCATCTGGGCTATGCCTGTCGTCCGAGAACCAGTCTAGCATGTGCCCCAGTTTGGTTGATAAATTATATAAACTGCATACAAACGGATGCATAGCAAACACAATTTTATTAACACAAATGTGTCTCTTCATTTGCATGCCCGATCATCAGGACACATGTGTGTACCTTGAGCTCTTTCTCTCCTGTGAGGGCGGGCTAGACTAAGCTATGCATTTCTGCAGCAGACTTGTATTGAGCGCCAACTGTAAGCTAGATTTGAGGAACCAGGGACAAGGGGCTGGGAGGGGATGGGGTGAAGGGACAGATGTGTGCAGCTAACACAGCACCAGGAAAATAAAGGACCAACTGTAATACAGATTGGGGATGATGCCATGGGTGTGTGGGGCTGTGACCTTGGGCAGTGCACGTAGCCATCCGGGCCTTGCTTTGCCCCCCTGTAAAGAAGGGGGACGGGAGAGTCGTTGGGCGGCAGCTCTAATGTTCCTGCTCATTTAACGCTTGATGAGTTAACAGCATCCACCCAGAGGCACCAGAAGACACGTGAACATCAGAGGTGGCATTTCAGCTGAGCCACAAAGGATGGGCGAGCTTTCAATAAATGTGGCATTGAAGAAAGAGATTGGAAAATCATATTTTCGAAGGTCCTTGCATGTGAAAAGTCCTGGCCTGCTGGAAGAAAGGCTGCAGTGAAAGGATAGGGAACAACGTGGAGGAGAAGGGGCCATGGGCACCTCAAATGCCCCCCTCAAGTGAGGCTCGTCCTTGGGAGGTGGTCTTGCCCTTGAGGACCCGGTTCCCTAGCACCGTGCTCAAGCCAACGCTGCTAACCACCCCTGAGAAGACATACACGCTTGCAGAATCACATGTGTGCCTCGAAGAGCACCCCGGAACCCCCTGCTTCTTACTCCACCAACTTTGCTTCGCGGCGTTCATCACTGCTTGACAGCGTATTCGCGGTTTCTCTGTTAGCTGCTTATTTCACTCTCCCCGTCCCGCTGGACCGTAAGCCTGTGAGCACAGGTCTGTGCCCGGTGGTTCACCCCAGTGCTCCCAGTGCCTGAGCAACGCCCGGCTCACTAAAGACTGGTCAGTGAGCCCCTGCCACACGCACACAACAGATACTGAGGCCTCCACAAGCATATATACATGCAGGTCACAAACTTTAGGGTGGAGAAGAATTGGCTGGAGAAAGAGGAAAGCAGGGCTATTGTCGGGGAGCAGGGTTGGGGTAGGTCGGCCGGAGAGTGAAGAGATGAGGAAAAAGAAGGACCAACCACTCTGGCAACAAGAAGCGGCTAGTGTGTGTCAGTGGGGGTGCTTTTGAGAAGCCACGCTGAAGCGCGAACGCCTGACAGTCCTGGCGTGACTTGGCTCCTTGCTCACAGCGGTGGGAGCCTCTATAACGGGTGACAATGCCCGTCTCACAGCTGCCACGTGGAATCGGCACCCCGGTGCAGGGGACGCACCGAACCTGCCAGGAGGCACCTCAGCAACAAATCCTGGCTGTTTACCAGGAGCAGCGCTCACCCAGTGGCCACCTGGCCAGAACCAGACGGCCAAGATCCACGTAAGGCCAGGGACCCGAGGGAAAGCAAGGGTGAGACCCGGAAAAGTCAGACAGGACAATGCAGATATGACATCCTAGGCACAGATTCAACACTGAAACTCAAATGGCACTGACGCTTTATTGTGGGAGAAGCAGAGAATGAGACATGACCCCAACCAGAGGACAAAGAGAGCCCCTCGGCTGTGAAGGCCCAAGAAAGGCACGGGGACAGAGGGGCTGCACCTGGCTGCAGGGAAGCATCCTGGGTATGTGTATTATGTCTGCACCTGGGGGCAGTGACCCAGTGAAAGGTGGCCAAGGAGGAGGTCACCAAAGGTGCCCACAACTGGACTTCCCGCATCAGAGTGTCACCGACTGAGGACAACCAGGAGAGGGGATGGGACTGGGAGTCTGGTGACGGAGGAAGCACTTGCTGACTTGGGAGGGGACCCGGGGTGGAGAGGAGGAGGTGGCCGTAGCTTCCTGCTCACAGAGCCCCCCGCCACCTGCCCTTCATCGGGAGGCCTTTTTGGTGGCACAGCTGCTGCCCGAGGCTTTGACGAGGGGATCCTTGAACTCGCTGCCACAGCTGCCTTTGGTTTTGACATCTGGCGCCGCGGGCTTGTAGCTGTAAGAGCTCGAGGCGCCAAAGCCCACACTGAAGCCAGCGCCTCCGGCCCCAGCGCTGGTGCTGCTGACGACGGCTGGAACGAGAGAGAAGACCCTGGATCCGTGGGCCCTCCTGGGGCACCCTGGCCACTCCCTTCATTCTCGCTCCTGCTCTGGCTTCACGGGTACACAGATGCTCTCTGTTGTGTATTTTTAGTTTACTAAGAGATTTTCATCAGCACCGACCACTTTTCATATACTTGGCCCTGTGTATTTGACCTTTTCCTATGAGTCTGTGTCAATCTAGCAATATCAGGCTTTAAGGCTCTGTCAGTGAATTTCCCACGAGTGGGGCCAAATGGAGACAGGCAGTTCCCGGAGGCCTTTAGGTGCTGCTAGAGAACCGGCCGCCGGGGTATCCCTTCCTCTCCTAACAGCACCTCCCCTGCACGCTCGCAGGCTTCTAAACCCAGAGGAGGGGCCTCCAGCTGTCTTGTCCCATCATTGCACCATTCAGGCTCCCCTCAACCCCTCTTACTGCCATTCTGGGCCTTTATTTTGGTCTGGCCTCAACAAAAATGGAATGTAGCCATTAAGCCTGATTCTTACAATAGACTCTCGGATTATACACTGTTGGGTATCAGCCAAACTTTCTATAGGTTACCCTTTTGTATTTCGTATTATTATTTTTCTCCATCCACTGCTTCTCCTTGCTTACTAAAGCCAGCTCCCTCCTTGTGCCCCTAAGCACCCCCTGAACCCACTCTGGCGTTCTGACTTCTCTTTGGTGTCGTGGAATTAGAGGGGCTTAGACTTCTGGTAGGTGGCCAAGGGCAGAAGCGGGTCCTGCAGGTACTTACAGATGCTCATGGAATTGGGGTATTCACCAGACATCCTGAAGAGGGAGAAAGACAGCTGGTAAACTCCCCATAAACCATCACCCCATCTGTCCAGGGGGCCACCTCTGTGAATGAGCCTCTCCTCTCAGAACGTGCCACCTCTCACCCCAGCCCAGCCTCCTTTCTTCCCACACACCCAGGGGGCCTCTCAAGAAATGGAGAACTGAGATGACAAGTCTGCTACAAGGAGTCAGCTCGCCATCAAAGAGGCTGTGGGATTATCTGATTATCCATGTAGAATAATTGGGCCCCCGCTTCCCTCCGGTTATGCCATTGGTCTTAGACAATTAAGAGGAATGAGCTCACATCCTCACTGGGCCCCAGCTTTGCCAGAGCAACCTTGAACTTAGAGGACTCTTGGTGGCCATCTGGTCCCTCCCCTCACCCTTAAGAATGCACCATGAGGGGCCAGGGATAATCTGTTTCTCAAACGTCGCTGACGTTCATACTTCCTCTCCTACCACCTTTTTGAGATTTTTACCACTTAGTCTTTCTTGTTGTCTAAGTTTGGTCTTTCTTACTGCACCATGTCAAGCCCACTCTCTCTAGTTTCACCTCAGTGGGCCCTCAACAGAGCTACACAGCTTGTTTTCAGTCTTTCTGCTAACGCGGAGACATAACTGATCCAGACAAAGCTATCTGCTCTCACCGGCACTCCTCGCTCTCCAGCAGCTTGCGGTAGGTGGCGATCTCCATGTCCAGGGCCAGCTTCAGGCTCATCAGCTCCTGGTACTCACGCAGCATCCGGGCCAGCTCCTCCTTGGCCTGATGCAGGGCGGCCTCCAGCTCCTCCAGCTTGGCCTGGGCGTCCTTCAGGGCATTGTCGCCCCGCTGCTCAGCATCGGCGATGGCCATCTCCAGGTTGGAGCACTGAGGGGCAAACAGATTCGGAGCTTTGAGTCAGAGCACGGTTCTGAGATCTTGCTCAGACGGCCTCCCCTCATTCAGTCTTGACTGACAGAAGACGCTTTGAGGTCCTCCTGGTTTCTCCAGCTTTGGACATCACTGGAGGTGACTGTGTCTTTGCCCTGACTCCAGGTATTGTTCACCCCAGCTCAGGCCCTGGCATGTGAAGGATGAAGCATCCTTACCATGGGAGAGAGGAGGGGAAGGAGAGAATGTGGGCAACCTGGGACGTGGCCTCTGCCCTTCCCTCCCGTCTGTAACATCAGCTGTAAGATTGTAATGCCAACCCTGAAAAGTCTCCGGATAGCTGGCCTTAATTCTGCCCCACAGTGCAAGGCTGTCTTGAAAGATCCCGTAAATTGTGAAAAAAAATGGGGGACTAATGAAGTTCCTATTAATAAAATGTCTGTCGATTAAATCTGCGGCACTGAGAGTCTCTGAAGTTCCACAGAGAATCATGCTATCTGGCATCAGCCTCACTTTTACATAACTAACAGGTCTTACAAGTTTACCGAGGTCCGGCTTCTGGAAATAAACATGTAACCTGCAGGAGGAAACTGCAGATGGGGCTCTGCGTTTGCATGGTGGGAGGGCTGCTCCATGGGCTTCTTGAGCCTTGGGGTCTTAGGTGTGTGTTCCGGTCGCTTGGCTAAGGTTTGGGTGGGATCTAAGTATCTGGCTTCTCTTTCTGGGATGTCCCCTTCCTCTGGAGTCAAATTTGCTTCACCCCAAGGAGAGCAGCTGATCCTGAAGCCAGATGGAATTCTAGGCTCTTGTCCAGCTGGTGCCACTCTCCTCTGCCAGTTGGGGCCCCCAGCCAGAGCGTTCTGGGTGAGCAGCTCACAGCATCAGTGGAGACACCTAGAACCACCTAGAACCCAGCTGCCCAACCACGGAAAACCATGCCCCATCCTTGAGACTGTGGAGGTCTAATTATTCATGGGATGGCAATAAACTCTGTGCCCTGAATTCAATCAAACTGCCCTCCATTCTTTTTCACTACCCAAGATCCCAAGGGTGAACCTGGGGGACTCCAAAAGCTTGGGTCTTGTGAATGTGGTGTGAGTTGAGAGAACACAAAATTTGGGCATCCTTTGAAACAATTATCATGTGAATTCTGGGGCCACTGAATGCCAAGAGAGTCTGCATATGAAACTGTGGGCTTCTTAGGTGAGGGGCCAGAAGGGCAGGAAGGCACCTCAGCTGAGGGCCCTCAAGAGAGGGACCACGCATCAAGAGTCATCCACATGGAGGACATCTTCCCTGACCTCCAAAGCATGGTGGCATTCTGATCGCAGAAAGTCACTTTCTGGTTCACGGTAATAGCCATGAACATGTAGCATTTTATCAGATAAACATTGTAATCAGATACTGAGGTAGCTTCAAACACCTTGATTTTCTTTCATTTATGCAAAACTTGATTAAGTAAGAACACCGTGAGCTCTCATTTCTTTCTTCTTCCCGTGGCCATGAGCCTACTGCACAGAGGAGCTCTGTGTGTACATGTATGTGTGCATGTGTGTGCAAGGTGAGGGAGAGGGCGGTAAGGGGGCAGGGCAGGGTGATAAGGCGACTTAACTTGTCCAGGAAGCTGAGACCTTACACCCTCACACGGGCCTCCACAAACTCTGGGAAACACACGGGTTTGCACGGGAATCACAATCACGGCCCCAATAAGGCCCTTCCAGGGGGTTCCCGGTGCAGCACCCCCCACAGCACAACCACAGGGAAGGGCAAACACAGAGCAGAGCCCCAGCCAAGGCTACGGTGGGGGCTCTTCCTTCCTCACTCTCTTCTGAAATCCACTGCCGGACCCTCCTTCCTCCAGCATGGATTCATCATGTGAAACCTCCAACTAGCTCCTTTTTACCTACTGCACCGGGTCTAAACTCTACTGCCCAGCTTTGAGGGTGTCCATAATCTGCCCCTTGCTACCTAGTGGTGTTCTGCTCCCTGCCACCCCACCCATCGTGGACCTTCTGCTCTGGGTAGGTGACTCTCCTCCCTGTACACATGCCAGGCACGTGCCCACCTTGGATCCACGGCTCCTGCTGGTCCCTTCAGTACCCCTTCCCCTCTCCATGTAATCCCGCATCCTGCAGACAGCCTCACTTGGGTCCTCATTCAGCTCGAGCCCGCTGGACTCCCACAGCACTTACGAGCATGCCGCCAGTGGCGGGACGCTTCACCCTTCCATACGACTTTAGACCGAGCTCTCTTCATGAATTATAAATGCCCTAAGGAGCGACAGTGTCTTACCCCTTTTCCATAATTGGTCTCATACCACTTGGTGCTCAACGAACCTTGTCAGCTGGTTCATTTCATAGAACCCACCTGCTTCTTTACGCTCCCTATCTCTGAGCGGATCCTCTGGGTCAGCCGGTTGAGCTCCGAGATCTCGGCCTTGGTGAGTTTGAGGTCATCCCCATGCTGGCCTGCCGTAACCTGCAGCTCCTGGATCTGAAGTTCAGTGACAAGAGAAGAGGAGGACAGGACAGTTGGGAATTTACCTCTTAAGTGTGTTCAGCATGGGGAGGCGGGTGGCTACATGCTGTTCTCATTATCCAAGCTTTGTAGACAGCAGCGAAGGAGGGAGGGAGGGAAGAGGGAGGGAGGGAAAGAGGGAGGACAAAGGTCGAGGAGAAAGACAGCCCTTTCCTTCTGGAGAGGAAGGCCCTGCCCCAGTTCACAGCATCCTTGTGTTCTCAAAAGTGGCAGCCTTGGTGGAGTTCGAATTTCCTGTCCTCATTTTGACAATGTTGGAAACAAGAAGAAAAGCCAAGATGTACAGATTACCCACAGAAACGGTGTCAGAGTCTTATCAGAGTTGTGGCTGGTGTGGCCTCTACTGTCAGCAAGGGCCATGGCAGGGGAAAGGCCAAGCCCATATACGTTCCCAACATGTGCCAAGACTGTGGTTGACCTCCCTGGACCAGGGGGAGGCATTTCCACAAGGCCCAACTCCAAGATGGAGGTCTCTGCCCAGCCCAAGTACACACGCATGCACACAAACAAGCACATACATGCACACACGCATGCATGCATGATGAGCTGTGGTCACTGGGCCTCCACACAGCTGACACTCCGCTCACCTTGCTGTGGTACAGCGCTTCGGCCTCCGCCTTGCTCTTCTGGGCGATCTCCTCATACTGGGCGCGGACCTCGTCAATGATGCTATCCAGGTCCAGGTCCCGGTTGTTGTCCATGGACAGGATGACGGACGTATCACTGATGTGAGACTGGATCTGAGCGATCTCCTGGGGGGCAGTTAGGGGAGAGGAGCCATTTAGGGTTCCCCTGGTGGGAGCCCATCTCCTCATCCTCCTTGGCAAATCCCCCACTGCCCCTTTCTGCCCTTCTTTGGGGTTTGAGCCCTGCCTTCAACCAGTGTCTGCCGGTGTGAGATGAGCGCACTGGGCTTCTAGCCCCAGGTTGGCTGGCCCTCTCCACGATGCATTCAGGACCTCCCCCACCCCCATTCCACGCTCTCTGCAGCAATGGCCACCTTCACCCATAGGACCGTCTGAACTCCTTACCTGGCCCTCAGCGCCCTCCAGGGAGTCACCAGTGACCTTCCCTGCTCCAGGCCCCTCAAGCTCTAGCACAGCTCGGGCCTCTGACCCTCCACTCGTTCTGCTCCGTCAGGCCGGATCATGCCCCTCCCAGCACCCACGCAGCCTCCCTTATCTTTCTGCAGGATGTGTCCCTGACAGCTCGGGCAGAACTCGCGCTTCCTTCCTCTGCAGTCCCAAAACTCAGCTACGAGTGGTTTTCCCTGTCGGATTGTGAATTCCTGGAGGACAGGGGTCATTTCTTCTCCATCACGGTCCCATCAAAGCCCACCTCATTGTTTGGCACACAGTAGGGCCTCAGCGAATGTCTGCCGCCCTGCGTTGAAAGACTTCTCTGCTAGCCTTTGGTCCACACAACCATCCTGGCCAAGGGCCAGAAGGCACTTGGAAGAGGAGCAGACCACACAAGTGAGGTCAGCGAGGTCCTCACCCCTTCATAGAGGCACCTGAAGAATTTGATCTCATCCGTCAAGGAGTCCACCTTGGCCTGGAGCTCAGCCTTGTTCATGTAGGCGGCGTCCACATCCTGGGGAGCATGGAGAGGGGCTAGCTGACTTCCCTCCCTCCCTGCCACAAGGAGCCCCAGGTCCCCTCCTCGACCCCCTCCCCTTACCCCATGCTCCACAGGGAGGCCTGATCCAGGAGAGCAAACCAGCTAATGTGCAGCGGGATGGCCAGCCCGGAGGGCGGCAAATGCCTGGAGTCTAAGCCCCAGCCAAGGGACTGAGTGACCCACGGGGTCTCTTTCCTCAGCCTGCAAACATCACCCTGCCGGGTGCTCAGGGGCCCTCTAGCCTTCTTCCAGCCCTTCCTGCTCCCCTCTTGCCTTCTTAAGCACCACAAACTCATTCTCAGCAGCTGTGCGTCTGTTAATCTCCACCTCGTACCTGCGTGGGGCAAGAGAAAGGAGAAAGCGTTGCCAATGGGATAATTCCATTCTGCGAGCACTCACTGAGCAGTTAGCGCTCACCCCTGTGCTGAGAACTGCAGGGCAGCATCCACAAGCTGGGGTTCACGCACCCCTGGGACGTGCATAGCCTCCCTAAAGGCGATGAGACAAGGACAGGTTTGAAGGAATCACCTTCCAGCTCCGCAGTTCAGAGGCAGTCTGCCCTAAACGGTATCTGCCTGAGGACGCACCAGGGATGGAGATGTCAGGCGGGGTCTTCTGTCCCACATCCCTTCACAATGACCCCCTCCCGTGCGACAGCAGGAAGACACACCCCCTCTGCCATCTGGCACCTGAGTGCAGTGCATCTGCCCAGGGCACAAAAACCTTCCAGGCACCAGACAAAACACCATTCCCACCTTCCAGCTCCACGTTATACCTGTTTCTTAGACATATTTCTGTTCCAGGTGAAGCAAGATCTTAGAGATCAGGGGTTTGGAAGGGGCTGAGATGTTCTTAATACAGACATACTGCAGAGCAGATGGGGGTGGGGCGGGTAAAATTACTTAATCCCATTTAAAGACCTCGCTCTTCCATCTCTCTGCCACGTTAGTGAAATGGGTTATTTAAAATTCGACTGGAACACTTTCTGAGATTGACAGATTTTTCTAGTTACACCAGATGAAACACATAGGAGACAGTTTGTATAATTTATCTCAGATTCCACGTGTTATTCAAGAGATAATTGAAAACTTTTTATCACATTATGTTATGGAATAGTTGTTTCTGTTTCAATCTTTATCTCATATTATCTTATAAAATATTCAATATTATCTACCTCCTATTAACAAAAATAAAAACATACGTTAGTTATCAGACCATTTAGTTTTTAGCAGTTTATATCTTTCTATTTCATAAAATATGTAGAAAAAATTTGATGATGATGGCTATCAAAATTAATGACACTAGTTTGTCACATATAATTTTTCATTATTTACTTCTAGAAACCAAACACTGGAGTTCAATACACACATACACACATTTACTAAGAAAACAATGCATTTTATAGTACTACTGACTTTATAAATAACTTATAACTTAAAAAACACATTACAATGCACAATTAAAATTTAAACCACAAGAAAGTGCATATTGATTTCTTATTTTATAAGATAGATGTATTAATTACATTAAATCTACATCACTTTAATCTTGAATGTTTTCAATAACCTACTACGCAAGATACAGTCCTCAGTTGATTGCTGAGTGGGTTTTATAATAGTTCCCAAAGTGCATATTTATATTTTTATTTGAATTTAGAAATGAAGAAAATTGGAGTTCAAACAAGGAAAGGATCAAAATTCACAATTTTTACAGCAGAGCTTGTTCATTAACTTTTTAGATAAACGATGGTGGGTATTCAATTGCCATGAATATATATGCAATTGGATACATTTAAACGAGCTGATATAGCCGTTATAATATTAAATAGCAACATATATAATATGCATGAAAGTATGTCCTCTGCAACTACTTAAATTTATGATAAATAATTTTATATCAATTTTTTAATTGTGGGAAGATTTTTTTACATTGTGAGTTTGAAGTAATTATTTTAGAATGCCTGTGAGAAAAATCTAGAAGACCACTGCCACAGGGTATACAATGGTGCTTAAGACATACAAGTTGCCTCTCCTCTGGAATCTCATAGTTTTACAAGAAGGTAAATACATGGAAAATTCTAACACAGGCATGATGTATGATCTCTTATATCATGAGAGAGGTACCCAAACAGCGGCTGAGGACCCACAGGTGTGAAAGATTAGTGATAAAATTAATTTTTAAAAATAATAACAAAAGCAGCCCATATTTCTTACACCCCTTACTACATCCTAGAACACTGCGCTAAACTCTTCACCGACATCATCCCTTCCAATCCCCACGACGGCCCTACGCAGCAGCTTCTATTATTATCTCCCAATTCTGTGAACGAGGTGAAGCCTTGGCCGAGGTCATAAAGCTGGTCATTAGTGAAGCTGGATTCATTCTCAGTGTCTAGAAACATAGCAGATTTTTGAGTATTGATTTTGTATCCTACAACTTTACTGAATTCCTTTATGAGTTCTCATAGTTTTTTGATGGAGTCTTTAGGGTTTTCTATATATAAGATCACGGGAGTTTTTGACATATCGGCCTGGGCTTCCTGCTAATTTGAGAGGTGGGAGCACTGAGGCTGGGTGCTCTGGAATATCATCTAAAGAAGGGATGTGGAGCTCCGGGCTGGTGGGAACTGGCCAGACCAGTTATACTGAATTCTGAAACTCCATTAAGCATGGTAAATTGAATCCAGGTGCCCCCGCTGATACAGCTTACCAGGGAAAAAAAATAGGGAAGCAAGGGTTCAAATTCAAGACTTCTGACATCAGGGTGACAACGCCTTACATTGGTCTGCCACTTTGGCTCTTTTAAGAGCTGTTAACGCATTACTATCTGGCATCACCCTCTCAACAGCTCTTCCAGGTGGCAGGACAGGTATCTGATTTTTCCATATCTGATTTTTATAAATATTAAAACTGAAGTTCACAGATGACCAAGAGACTCAATCGTGGTCACTTGACTAGTGAGTGGTAATTCAGGAACACCTGGCCTTTCCAGTCTGAAAGGCCCAGAGACAGCACGGCCCCCAGATGCCCCTTACCTGGACATCTAGGCTGTGCCTGGCAGCCCCCTCTACTTCCCAGAATCCTGCTCAAATTTCCATTGGGCTCCAATTTCCATCTTAATTCCAGTCAGTGTCAATTCACACCACATTCATGTCCATGGACTGAGGGCTCTCCGAAAATGTTCTTTAAGCCTTCCCCCAAATCTGTGTGCCTTGAGAGGCCAGGGGCCATGTCACCTCCTCCCTCAGGATCTCCATGCAGACTCAGGCCAGAATTCTGCTTTGAGGGAACTGCAGAATAGGGATGACAGGCAGATTGAAAGAGGAGCAAGAGAAATTGCTCAGCTCTGACCATCTCTACCCCTTGAACAGTGAAAGAAGTCATTGATCCCTAGAAATCTTGGCACCTAGAAACTTCCAAGACCACACTGAGCCTGGATTTATCACTCTCTCCCCATTGGCTCAACTCGGAGGCAGAAACCATCTCTGGTTCCATGTACACTCTCAATTGTTCTCTTTAATGGTGGGATTCAGCAACACAGATATGCCGCAACATAAAGGTTTTTAAAATTCATTTTTGCATAGCTTTAAGATTTGTTCTGGGATTGGTGGGGTGTCTCATGTTCTGGAAACTCCCATGGAAAACTCACTTAGGAGGAGCTGAAAAGCTATTTGGGTTGTCCATCTGGTTTTGAGAAAATTCTTTTCCCCCCATTCCTATGCTTCCAAAGTTAAAAATTGAGCACACCATTTCCTAGGCAGTTCAGAGCACCATTTGGGGTAGATCTTTTCTCTTCCTAAATCTCATCCCATCTGGATCTCTCTCCTCACCCTATGGAAAGGGAAATAGCAATGGAATCAGCACAGGATCTAAGAAGGTAAAAATGCTGGCTCCAAATGGAAACGTCACTGTAATCAAGACCCTGTATTCTCTGCCCCTCTGCTCACCTCTTCTTGTAGTCCTCCACCACGTCCCGCATGCTCCTCAGCTCCGAGTCCAGCCTCACCCGGTCCCCGGACAGCGTCTCCAGCTGCTTCCGCAGGTTGCTGATGTAACCTTCCAGGATGGGCTCCAGGTTGTTCTTGCAGTTGTTCAGGTCCAGCTGCTGCAGCAGGTTCCACTTGGTCTCCAGCACCTGGTTCTGCTGCTCCACGAACCGCACCTGGAACCCAAAGGTGCTCATAGCCCCATGCTGTTGCTTCTCAAGAGAGGGGAGAGGGCCCCAGAAATCAGATGCAATCATCCTGAGGTGGGGGGTGGGGGCAGGAAAGAGCAACATCAGAGAGTGGATTCAGCCAGGCAACATGCCCACCTGGGTCTCCAAGACAAGAAATAAGATCCAGTCTAAAAGAAACCAGGAAGTGCGTTTCAGCAACGCCCTGTCTGCCACCCTGAGTTACCACGTGAGTGAGGTAGCTCCTTTTGCTAGAAATGCTCGTGTTTTCGGAGTGAAGGGAAATGGGAAGCAGGAGAACAGTGGCAGGGGCTGGCTCTGGAGGGCCACACTGGCGGTCGGCATTTCTCTTATAGACAGTCTAAACTGCCCTTCATTGATTTGTTTCTTTGGTTTTCAAAGTGAATTATCACATCTTTACAGGTTTATTTCCTACTGGACCAAAGGTTTCACGTTTTTGGACTAAAGAGCTTCAGGTCCTCTGCCACCCACTCCTTCCTCTTCTCCCCTGTCCCTCTAGCTTAAGGGAGAGAATGAGATAAGCCAGGGAAGAACAGACCAAGGGGAGGAAATGGCTGTCTTCTGGGACGGCAGCCCTGCTCCTCTCCTCCAGCCGCCTCACCTCCTCTTCCCCAGCTCAGGGGTGAGGGACACCGGCTACTGTCGCCTCTCCCAGCAGCTCGGGCACCTTTCCTAGCCTCCCTCTGTCCTAGTTTCCTCGTCTGCAAGGCTGACCATGGGCTGATAAATGAGAGCCACTTGGAACAGCACCAGGCACTGAGGAATGTCAGCCATTACTCGTATTATGTCCCCTGTCACTCATGGTCCAGACCTTCTGCCCCAGGGGTGAGACAGGTGAAGCCCAGTCCTTGTCTCCTCCCCATTCACTGGGGTCACTGTCTCTGATTCTCCAGAGACAGCTTCCCCGTTACTCAATTTCTGGGCACGCACACACACACACACACACACACACACACACGTGTAACCTGCCATGCCCTCCTTCTGAACCGTCTCCTTTCAGCCCCACCCTTCAGTTTCCTGGCTCTTTTCTCTCACTCCTCTAGAAACCTTCTTGGCTTACACCCTTACCCCACTTCCCACGTTCCAAGTCCTCCCCCATTTGCCAAGCATTGCGTCCTGTGACACCCCTGACCTGTGTCCCTCTAATGCCCCTGTCCTGAATGTGTGTCCCCATCTCCTTGTCTGATATTGAGGGCCCTCAGAGGGCCCATTCCCCACATCTCCTGCCCCTGACATGTTCCCTCCTTTCCAAGAGTCTTGTCCTGGCAAAGAAGGAATGAAGCTCCCATTTATAATGAACTCCCGAGTGTGAGCCAGGCAATTTAAAAACAGGCAGCTCATCCTCATTACAACCCTCTGGGGCAAGAGGCGCTCTTGGGCCCATTTTCCAGATGAGGAAGGGGAGGCTCAGAGAGGATAACTCGCTGGACCCAGATCCCGCGCAGCTGTCAGTGGCAGGGCCAGTATCCTGTGTACACTGCTCACCAACGCAGGGACAGGCAGGTGCTGGAGGACCCACCTTGTCGATGAAGGAGGCGAACTTGTTGTTCAGCGCCTTGATCTGCTCCCGCTCCTGGGCGCGCACCTTCTGGATCTCGGGGTCCAGCTCCACGTTGAGGGGGGCCAGGAGGCTCTTGTTGACGGTGACCTGAGGGATGCCACCGGGCGGACACACGGAGGGACACGCGGGCCCCAGCCCGGCGCTGCCGAAGACCGTGCCCACGAAGCCCCCCAGGCGACCGCCGCCGGGGCCCGCGGAGTGGCCGAGCGCGTAGGCACCGGGTCGCCCGGCCGCGACGCTCAGCGCCAGGCGCCGGCCGCCGCCCGGGCTGAAGAGGCTCCTGCTGCCGAAGGCGGCCGTGCCCTGGACGCCGGCCCGGAACGAGGCTGCGCTGCCGCTGACCCGGCCCGCGATGACGGCCGAGCAGCCGCTGAAGCCCCGGCGCTCGGCGCCCGCGCAGTAGCGCAGCTGGCGGCTCATGGCTGCGGGGACCGCGCTGCGCGTGGAGCAAGAGGGGCGCGGGGCCGCTGACTCGCCGCCCTCGCTCGCCCCTTAAATAGCTCCAGCGCGGGGCCGGGCGGGCTGGAGTCAGCCTAATTTGTAGGTCGGGGACATCTTTTAGGCCACATGGGGCCTCTTGGGTTCTTCGTCTAGGAAATTACCATGCCCTGTCTGAGATTTTTGTCTCTTCCACCCTGAACGCCCCATGCATCCCCCATAAAAGGCCCAGACCCTTTATTTGCTTTGCTTACCTCCTGCACTGTAATAATTTGGCTCCCTTATCTCCACTTGCTGCCCTGCAATTACTGGGGTTATCACTGCCAGGATCTCCATGGAAGCTTCCAGCAGGTCTGGCCTCTCTGGGGGTGTGTGTGGGAGGGTGATACAGGGAGCAGATGTCCAGGCAGGTGCTGCTTCAGAAGGACATGAACAGGGTCAAGAGGATTCCAGAGAATCATCCGTAGCCTGTCCTGGCTGCGTCCCCAGGCTTGAGGATGGCTCTGTCCGGAGTCCTGGGAGGCAGTCGCGAGGGTGGAGACTTGTGGCCCTTCTGCAGGGAACTCTCAATCTGTTGGGGGAGGCTGGGCACAGTGATGGACTGAAGGCCACTGAGAGCTCTGGCCACAAGTGTGAGGCCCCAGTTAAAATGTTTCTCCAGGCGGGCGTTTCTGGACCCAGTGGGGGAGATGCCAGCTGGGAAGGAGGGAAGAAGGCAGCCTGGGGAGATGACACAGGAAAGCTTTAGGTAGATGTCTTTCCTTGTTTTTGTTTTGCTTTTTAGTGGCAGAAGAGGATCATTCATCCAATCCAAGGAACCTTGATCAGGACATTTGCTCCCCTGGCGTCTCTGATTCTGGGTCGAAATATGACGGACTCTTAGGAACAGGTCAAGAAGGGCCAAGGAAGGCTCCTCGGATCTGAAATTAAGAACTCAATTCTAGAACTTCGTTCCATATGAGCTCAGAAGTATCTGTGTGCGATGTAACCCGATTTTGTTTTCCCCAACTGAAGTTGCCTTCAGCTCTTCCATTCCGAAGGCAACAGCCCCTTCCTGTACTGCCCCTTGGGCTTCCGGGCGGAGTTCTATTTCACTGCTTTTATTGCTCAGCCTGTCTGAGTCCTGGGGGTGGGTCCCATTCCCCATCAGATGGACAGGTCCCTGTGGATTACCCTTCCCTCCCCTGCTCTGCCTGTGCTCAGACCAGGCCTTGGTCCCAGGGAGATTCAGAATGAATGTGAAATAGATGGGTGCTTGAGATGGGGCTCGTTGATGTGTCCTCAGTTATACCCTGGTGACTGTGCTCCCCTGAGACCCTCATGGGGTGGCCGGATGGCACCCGGGGGTAATTGGCTGGCAGAGCCTCCGCTGAACAAATCACAGAGCATAATAAGAGCCAAGGTGTTTACTGCATGGGTGAGGGGTGGAGATGGCGCCGGCCACAGATGAACAGATAGAGTCGTCTGGGGTGTCCTGGGTGGGGAAGTGGGTGGGCTCTCTGTGTTGCCTAAGAGGAGATGCCATAGTCCACTGCCTCTGGAGAAGGGAGGGTGAGTGTCAGTGAGGCTGAGTGGCCAGCAGGCCCTACGGGAAGCTCAGTGTTATGCTTTCCATTATTCATGAGATTCCTCTCTCCACCCCTTAATTTTTCCCCCCAAGCCCAAGACTTTATTAGTTCTGGTCACTGAGGATAGAAAAGGGTTTAAATAGAAATAGGAGACACTTCCTTAGGATTGGCTTTCAAAGGGAGCCTTTGAAGTCTCCTTTTTTCTGGAAACTTTCTAAGAAGCCGAGACACCCATCCTTCTGGGACCAAGGCACTTCTGCTGAGGGTTAAGGATCAGGTAAGACGGACTTTCCTTATCCTCCCGTGAGGGGTTGACCGGCTGGATGAATCAGGAATTCCTCAACCCTTCAGCTCGCCTTTCTTACAGATTTTGAAGAGACAGAGTGACACATCCAGCTTCCAGAGGCATTAGATGTGTGGACACGCGGGCAGACGAAACGGTGGCTGAGGCGTGGGAGGAGGGCTTCTCACGGCGGCTGCCTCTGACAGCAGCTTATTCTGTCACCTCAGGCCCTGGGGGCCACCTCTGCCATTAATTCTAGGTGAGAGCAACCCCTGGATTGGTAGCCAGGTCGGAAGCATCCCCTCTGAAACCGGAGCTCAGCAGCCTACGCTGGATGACCGCTCCAAGCGAGGGTATGTGAATGCGTTGCCGATTGAACTGGGTGGCTTTTGCCCTGGAATGCTAGTTCTTGGCGAATTCATAGGTATCGCTTCGAAAAACAAAGTGTATGGGTGCATTCCATGCTGGGTTTAAAGAAAAGTTCAGCAGCTATCTCACTGCGGGAATTCTTAGATGCATTAATGTGCCTGGTGCTGTCGGCTGCACCAGAGAGCAACACAAAACTCTGTGTTTTCCTCACATGGTGACTGGGAAGGGGGATTATGAATAATATTTATTTTTTATACTTTCTAATATTTCTAAATTTTCTAATACGAGCATATAATATTTTTATAAATGTTATTTTTTCAAAACTAGAGAAGAAGGGGCGGAAGGATGATTCTAGTGTCGGAAATAAAGTGCTTGTTCTTGTCAAAAAATAAACCTCGGTGCTTTCTAAGTTTGTTCCCCTTTTTTGGCCATAAAGCCCTCTCTTTGGCCAAATATCTTATAGGAACCAGGTTTCAAGGAATGTTCTTTAAGGAACACTGAACAAAGCATTTCCATTTCGCCATTAAATAGACTTAAATGTCCCAAAAGCAAACAGATTTACTATATCTGCTAAAAAACATGAAGGAGATCTAAATATAATAAATATAACGTGCAGCCTGATCCAGTTTGTGGCAACAAGCTCAGGGTTACATGGTCGAAACCAAAGGGAGGCTGTTCGCACGGACTAGAGAACATGTGCCAGCATCATCCTGCCTGCTCCAGGGAGAAAGAATTCTCAGGCTGGTGACGGATGTCGGGTGTCTACACTGAGGAAGTTTGTGCCAGAGACTGCCAGGGCTCACTGAGTATCCTTGTTCTCCTCCTCATTTCCCAGCCTCCTTTGGGGTTCACTTGGGGCTTGGAGTCATGTTGGCCAGTTAAATGTGAATGGCATTAAAGTGTGTCACTGCTAGGGTGAGGCAGTTGACAGCCCGTGTGCCTCCTCTGTCTCTCTTTCCCCCGTCCCAATAACCTTGGAGGCCACGCGTGCCGTGTGGCAGGCTACCAGACAGAAGAGCCCAGGTCCCGGAGACATCCTCTGGGAGACTCATGCAGGAGGGCTGGCCTCACCTGTCTTGGGCTGTGAGTGAGGAATAAATCTCTTTTGTGTTGAGTTGAGCCATTGGGATTTCAGGGTTTGTCCACTGAGGCAGTCAGTGTTAATTATCTGAATCCAGGCATAGAAGTTGGATGGTACAAATCTCTCTTAACAGCCAATGCTCTTTGTCCTTAATGTTCATCACATAATCTTCTGCTGGCTATTGACCTCCTTACTTCTCACTTAGGCTTCTTGAAAGAAGAGTCCATCCTAATAATACTGAGTGCTAATAGTAAACATGACTTAATAGCAACTGTTTCTTGAGCACAAACTATGTGCCAGGCACTGAATTAAATAATTCTCGCATACTCTTTCATTAAATTTAATTCTCATGGCAACTTTATGAGGGAATTGCTATTCCTAACTCCTTTTTACAGATGGGGGAACTGAGGCTCGCGGAGCAGAAGTGTCTAAGTCACACAGTAAGGGGCAGACAAAGACTCAGTCCTGGGTCCATCTCACACCCAGCGTGTTAGCTCATCCTGCGAGCTCGACAGCATAGAATCCCAGCTGCTTAGCAGACTTGAGAGGGCCTCTCTGATCTGGCTGCTGCCTGCCTCCCCAGCTCCAGCTGCCACTGCACCCACCTCTCCACCTGCGGGACGTCCTCCAGCCTTTTGCTTCCCGCTCCCGCAATCGGGCCCTGTTTTCCACCATGCTGGTGCCTCCAGCCATGGTGCCCAGTCCTCCCCCTTGTCTCTCTAGCAAACTCTCTCCTCTGTGAGGCCTCTGTAACTTCTTTTGCTGCCAATATCTCACCATGTTGCAGCTTCATTTCTTTGTGATTATGTCTCCATCAAGGACATGGACCAGCTTTATATATCCCTGTATTTCCAACACTAATGGAAGCCAGGCACATCATAGACACTTAATAAATATTCATTGAACTGACCACAATTTCTTTACTGGCCCCGAGAATGTGTTCCCTGAGACTAGTTATTCTGACAGCCAGTTCTCTCTTGGGCAATGAATAAACCAGCATATAGTTTATACGAGGGTCTCTTTAAAGTTTGGATTTGGTGAGTTGCTTTTCCAGCAGCTAAATACCTCTTTTAGTGAGCTAATTAAGTCAAGTTTTTGAACCAAAAAGATTGAGGACAAGATTCTGTTTCCACCAACATTTATTAAGCATGAACTTTGTATCAAGAATTGCACAAGACATCCTCGTGTTGTCTCATTTTAGCCTAATAACAATCCGGGGGTATTATTCTGCCTAGTTTATAGCTAAAGCAATGAGGCTCAAAAAGGTTGAGAGCTTTGCTCATGATCAGCAGTTAGTTGCAGAGTCTGAATCTGAATTCAAAGCTATTGACTTGAACTCCAGGACTCTCTCCAGACCCACGGTGACCCTGTTCAGATGCACCTGTGAGCCCCAGCCTGAATGTGTGCCAGCCTCTCACTTGCTCTTTGCATCCTGACAGCATCATCCTGGCCTGGGGACCTAAGAGAAATCTCTGAGCATAAGAATGTGTGGGAAGCTGAGTGGTGTGTGTACAGTAGTGGCCTCCTGCTTAAACACAACTCATATGTACATTCACATCCATAGTCAACCCAGTGAAACTTTACCAAGGACCAAGAGGTCATGGATCGTCACTCTGAAGAGCAGCTACCTTTGGCTTTTCCCCACAGAACAGGGAACAGACATCACTGAAGCCCCAGGATCTTGGGAACTGGCCATCTGCTGCCTCTTGGCCAGTTTTAAATCATGCCTCAAGGCATGTTTTGGCTTCCTCTCCCTGCTAATAATCTGGGTGTTCTTAAAGATGACCCATTCACTGGAGCATTGGCCTGGGAAAAGCACGATTTAGAAGGTGCATCTGCTGGGGCTGGGGACAGAGCTGAATCCTGAATGTCACAAAATCCAGCAGAGGTGATGGTGGGACTCTGCAATCTGTGCAAGGGTCTCTGTCACTCAGATCTAAAGGTACTTGGGGTTCTAGGGAACAGACGGACCTCCGATGCCCCAGGTTTCAGGTCATTGACCTCCACACGTGGAAGAGACGTGGCCTGAATGAGGATTCCCTTAGGAGAGAGATGCAGCCTGGTCCTGCATGAGTTTTATAAATTTATTGCTGACACGGGGGAAGCAGGGAGGTGGGGCCTGGATGAGGACAAGAGCTCATGTATGGAGGCAGAGATCTCTTCGTTGACAGGACCAGCCTGCAGGGGTACTGCCAGCTATATAGTCTGCAGGCAACATGTAAGATACGACCTATAACTGGTGTTTCGCTGGGCTGGTGGTGCTCTGACAGGCGACAGTTCTGGCAGGTCCATCAGTGCACCTGTAATCTCACGTACCCATGGAGCCCACGGCCAAGGAACTACCTACGCTAGGGCGTGGGACACACAGCAGGAAGATGGCGGCTACGCTCGAGAGAAAACCTCCCTCTGCAAGGGGGCATGCAGGCCAGAGAAAGGTCAGGCCTCCATCTTTGGCAACGCTCAGGAAGGGGAGGCTGAGTTCAGAGGTCCCTTGTATGAAGGCAGAAGGATGGGCTAGACTCCTGATTCTAGATTAGGAAAGACTAAGACAGAGATGCGGAAGAGAGGAGGAGATGTCAGTGGCAAAGAAAAGCAAGGAGGAGGTGATGACAGATGTGACAGAGGAATTTCCTGGAGAAGAGAGTCCAGAGGAAACCAGGGCAAGGCGGACAGCTGTCTTTCACTTTATCTCGTGGTTTTCTTGGAGGGCGAGCTCAGAGCTGAAGACTTCCCCGGGAGGTCCTTGAATTCACTTGCACTCCCCAGCCTGGTTTTGGCCTCTCCGCGGGGGCTGCAGTTCCCACTGCCGGTGACACAGCCACCAGACAGCATGCTGTAGCCCCCACTGACAGAGCTGGACCGGTAGCCATAGGTGCCAGCGCCACTGAACCCAAAGCTGGTTCCTGCGCCTGGGGTTCCAGCCGTGGAGCTGCTGATGACCGCTGCAGAGGATAGAGGCAGGAATGTAAGTGTGTGTCCCTGACAGCGGTGACCCTAAGTCTCCTCTAACCTCCCAGCCCCAAGTAGCTTAAATGTCTCCCTCTTAAACAAACAATAACAAACAATTCCTGTCAACCGTGGACTTGAGTTTAGGGACACACGCTCAATCCCTGAGCAGCTCAAGCACCGCGAGAAACAGCCCGGATCCCACAGGACCCCCAGACCAGGAGTCTGCTCATTCTCTGACAAACCAAGCGTAGTGAGGGCTGCCCTGAGGAACAGGTGATGCCCAAGCTCACAGAAGCCAATAAGTCTTGCATTTAACTTCAGAATAGATTCTCAATTCTTTTTCAAAGAATTTCCTGATTGCTTGATTTAGGGGAGTTTCTGCTGGTCTATCTCAGAGGGAGATGGAGGTGAATGCTGTGGGGCCAGCACTAAAACTGGTTGTGCACAGCGTGTCTGTGCACAGGTCTCTACTTTCAGTGAGGAAGTGTGACTCTTCCTGCTGACATCTTCTTTCATGCAGGAAAGCTGGGATGGAGGTGACAGAAGAAGGGGTGGGGCTGAGAGCGTCTACCCAGCATGGATGAGATTTCTGGAGAAGGGGCAAATGTGAGATAGAATGTGATAGGGAGTTAACTCCACGGGGAAGAGGCAGCAGGTCTCAGCAAGGGAGGCAATTATGACAATGGCGCTCTAGCGGGCAGAGCCCAGGCTGTCCCACAGCGGGCCGGGTGGTAGGCACCCACTTACTTTGTGTTGGCTAAAGGACTAAAAACATTCCCTCAGAGGAATGAAATACTCACAAATGCTCACGGAGTTGGTGTACTCTCCAGACATCCTGCATGGAGAGAAAAGCACAGGTGAGTGTCCCTCACACGGAATCTGAGTTGCCCTAGCCACATCGTCAAAAATCATCAGCCAGACCAGCTCAGCCTCTGCAAGCCCTCCAGCTGGCCAGACGGTGTTAACTGCACCTGCCTGTCTCTAACTACCTCCCTCCCCCTCCTCAGTCTACTCTTCCCACTTCAGAGATGTGCAAACTCGCGACCTTGGAGCCCCCAACAGCAACACCACCTTCCAGGGGCCCTCCTGCTGGGTTTCTCTCTAGTCCACCTCTTCCTTCCTGTAAGGCTGCTGCCTGAACAAATACACGTGGAAATATTATCATCAGGAGTTGCCACTAAGGAACTAACTGTATGACTTTAGGACCAGTCACTCCTCCTCTCCAGGTCCCAGGAAACAATGACGATAGGTTAGAACAGCGTCTTTCAAATGTCGGTGCTTCATGTACGACCCTTCCGACTGTTGCTATGACCATGCAAAGTCATGCTGTTACGTATTTAGCATTTTTCACTGACTCTGCATTTTATAACAACAATGTATTTCTCTCAAAAGGAAGTTTGATATCGCTGTGGGAAATAGAAAACCAGGACTACCTGACCAAAAACAGAACAAAAAGGCAGCAGTAAAAATAAATGTGATGAAAATAAATCAATTTTAAAAACTTTTGGCTAGATATTGTCTGCCCGGAGACTCTGAAATTGGGATCTGCTGTCTCTTTATTAATAGGGAATTTGCACGTGTCGGAGAGGCGTTAAAGACACAGCAGCACCACCATGAGACTTCCTCCCGGTCGTAATCGGAAGAGTCGAAGGAGAAGAAATGTAAAGGAAATCTCTGTCTTGTCACATACTGGATGCTGTTTAAGGCTACATTGTGGGTGACCTGAAAAGCATCTTCAGCCCCTCCAGCAGCCTGTCCCCCATACTCCGGGAAACTGAGTCAGAGCATTCCAAACGTTCTTCCAGCTCTAATATTCTAAGACCCCTCTCCCCACCAACCTGCACTCCTCGCCCTCCAGCAGCTTGCGGTAAGTGGCGATCTCCACATCTAGGGCCAGCTTTGTGCTCATCAGCTCCTGGTACTCGCGCAGCATCCGGGCCAGCTCCTCCTTGGCCTGGTGCAGGGCAGCCTCCAGCTCATCTAGCTTGGCCCGGGCATCCTTGAGGGCACAGTCGCCCCGCTGCTCGGCATCAGCGATGGCCATCTCCAGGTTGGAGCACTGAGGGCCAAGAGGTAGCATTTCCCCTGAGTTCTCATTTCCCCTGAGCCTCCCTTCACCCCCTTTGCTCACTGTGGCTGGACCCTCCTCGGTCCTGCCCTGCTTCCTGCAGCAAAGACCCATGATGATGGAGCCCTGACAACCTCGGCCTGGGAGGCTTGGTATTCTCAGCCCCCTTGGCTTTCTGAAAAGGTCCTTCCAGTTGTTCCAGATCTCAGAAGGGTGATAAGTGTGGGGGATGAGAGCAGGGGCTCCATTTGAGGAAGGGGGTTCTAAGACGGAGGAACAAGAGAAGGAGGGGGGCCCGGAGGAGAGTGTGTGACAGGCAGCTCGCTCTCCCTTGGGAGTGAGCCAGGAAGCCCCCGAGCCCCTTCACCTGCTTCTTCACACTCTCAATCTCTGATCGCAGCCTCTGGATGAGCCGGGTCAGCTCTGAGATCTCATTCTTGGTGTGTTTGAGGTCATCCCCGTGCCGGCCGGCCGCCAGCTGGAGCTCCTGGAACTAGAGGGAGAGAAGCCAAAGCAGGAACCTTGACTCAGCACCCAGCTGAGCTTCCTCTGGCAGACTGTGCCTTTGCCTGGGGAGTATGGCAGACGTGGGGAGGGGTCCCCAACTTCACCAGGCCTACCAACAGCCCCCCACTCAACCATCAGTTCATTAGGCTTATTTGTTTGCCTTAAACATAATTGGTCTCATGGTTAGATTTGGCCATAAGGACTGTTGAAAGTTCCACACTTCCAACACTGCAACTTTATAACACACAGTTCCAATTATGACATGCTTCTGCCGATAGCCCTTCCAAGTCAAGGTCAAACTCCTACCGTGGCATCAAGGTGCTTTGAGATCTGGTGACTACCAGCCTCTCCGGCCCCATTTCTCACTGCCCTTGCCCATCACCCACCAGGCTCTCCACCTGTACCAAACAGGTTCATGTTATGTCCCCTGTGCTCTCAAGTCTCTGAGTCTTTGCCTGAGCCTTTCCCTCCACCTGGAAAACCTTTCCCCATCCATCCTCCTTCTTTCCCTAGCTAGGTCCAACTCAGCCAGTGCAGGGTCACTTCCTCCAGGCGGCCTTCCCTGATCCCCTGGTTGGGTGCAGTGCTGTTCCCATAGCACCCAGCATACCAGCCCACAGGTCTTACCACACTGTACTGTGATCACACGTTTCTATGTCTTCCCCATCAGACTCAGAATGACTGGATGGCAGGGACCTTTTCTTTTATTTCTGAATTTCCAGTACCTAGCACAGTGCCTGGCTGGGGCTCAAAATAGGTCTGATGAATGAATGAATAAATAAATGAATAAACCGAGGAGGGAGCTGACAAGCTGCCCATCTGTGTTTTCTGTGACTTCCTCCCGTCATAGCTCAGCTGGGCCGCAGACTACTGGCAGCCTTGCTGGGCATGGAGGAACATTTGTGTATGCATGGTGGGGGCAGATCCGGCTATATCCCAACTCCACGAGTCATGAATTTGGAGTCATCTACCAGTTTGGATTATTCCCGCCTTTGATGTCATCCATTGACTGGTCAACAGAGAGTACTCCATTTCTACCCCAGAATTTGGCTTGAAGGGAACGCAAAACACGTGTGACCTTCAGAACTCCGGTGGCTGTGCACTGCCTGTCTCTAGCCCTGGGTGCTCGGTCTTGCTAGTTGTCTCATATCTGTCCCCAGCAAGGCCCTAGGTTCAGGATTCTTCTTAAAGATGCCAAGCCCCCTGGAAGGCAGGGGGGCTTCTCTCTATGCTCCGTGTTTTGTCTTTGATGCTAACCTTGGGACAATAAACACCAGGGTAGGACAGGCGGCCTTCTCCTGCTCCTCTGCAAGGCCGTGTGAGCACAAGGGTGCATCCCACACTGACCGGGACAGAGCCACTAACTCCCCCAGTTCTGACACCAAGGAGTCGCCCTCTGAGGCAAATGGGAGAGTAAGCTCTTGCCATTCAGCTCTCAGCCCACCCCTATCCCCGATCATAAATGTTTCTTAACCAGAGTCACCCCACGATTTTGTGTCTAAACACCATGGAATTGGCAGTCAATCATGTAGATTCAGATCCAGCTCCATCACTTACCAGCTAAATGACCTTGACAAGTTCCTTAAACTCCCTGAGCCCCGGCTTCTTCATCTTTAAAAGGGGAATGAGACTAACAAGCCCTCATAACACTGTTGCTAAGATTGCACGCGTGAAATTCTATTGAGTGAGTGCTTACCCCTAACCGGAGAGGTGCCAGTGTGGATAACCCCAGAGAGCAAATGATCCAAAAATCACGTGTGCACAGACCTTCCTAATTCTTCGGGAAGGAGCCTAGGGTTAAGCACTGGCCACTGGCAACCCAGAGTGGTTAGGCCACACGGCCACCCCGACCCTGGCCGGCAGCGGTAATGTGGAGGGACTGGCATCTGGGGACTTGAGTGTGAATGTTTATCAAGAAGCCCTGGCCTGTGTTGTCCCCTAGGCCTTGAAAGACTCCCTTCCTCCCACCCCTGCAGGCCAAGTCTCCCTGACCCTGGGGGAGCAAGGAGGCAGGAGGAAGGACAAGAGACGGTCTTGAGAGTGTGGATTTCCCTTGAGAAGGAGCCTGATAAAAAGCAAGCAACAATTAGGAAGTTGCCATCTTGATCTGAGAGACCAAATTATCTAGAATCATTTCCCCACCCCTTGCCCATTAGAGGAGTTAAGATCTAAGGGACTCAAACTCCCCCTTTCTTCTTGGCGTTGGACTTGAGTGAAAAGGTAGGAGTCACCTGATCTCAGATCACACTGAAGAGACCCCCTAATTTATTGTAATTACTGAGGGAGTTGAGATGCTAACTACCCATGTTTCTCTCCTTCCCAGACTCAGTTCAAAACTCTCTGCCTCCAGGAAGTCGTTCCTGACCTGCCCCACCTGATCCTAGTCCCCTAAGCCCTGTCTCCCCAGCATTCACGACTCTGTCGGTGCCACGTTCATTTGCACTCAGCTGTGTCCTCCGATGGCCACCACGGACTAAGTGGATCCCAAGGACAGAGCTGTCTTCTCCTCCCTTCAGGCTTCCCCCAGTGCCTGGGACAGTGCTATGCTCCCAGCAAGCAGGTGAGCCGTGGTGGGTCCTGGGACGGGACCACAGGCCCAGAACATGTGACCCCAACCTCACCTTGCTCTGGTACAGGGCCTCAGCCTCGGCCTTGCTCTTCAGGGCGATCTCCTCGTACTGCGCCCGGACCTCAGCGATGATGCTGTCCAGGTCCAGGTTCCGGTTGTTGTCCATGGACAGGATGACGGATGTGTCACTGATGTGGGACTGGATCTGAGCGATCTCCTGCATAGGACACAAGGAAGCATGAAATGCCTGTTGTGAGCAGAGGAAGGTGCCAAGGTGATGGCCCTGTCCCAGTTGGGGAGCCCCCAAACCCTCCCAAACAGATGCAAGCTGTATTCCCCAAAGCTTATATAAATGGAACCCACCAACCCGGAGCTTTCAACACCACATCTAAAAACTGATAGATGGGTTTGAAGCAGCTCAAGAAGAAAACAGCCCATATGTCTGTCAGCTGAGACAGGTCAGGAGTGGGGAAGGTGGAGGGGAACCAGCCTGGCCACCACGCAAGAGACACCAAGGACACGAGAGGCCATGGATGCTTGGCCAACAGGCTGCGACTTGAAGCCAGATGGTCACAGAGGTGGTCGAAAGGGTGTGAGGACTCCCCACCTCCATCCCTGGGGATTCCTGCCTAAGACTGAGGAAATTCCCCAGGCGGCAGAGAAAAGATAGACCAAAATGAGAATATGCTTGGCTGAAGGTCAGTGGGGACACTTTAGGGACCCCTGGCTTCCTGAAGGATATGAGAGTGGGACATCTGGAGGCCAGGCCGGGACTGATGGCACACATCATTTGGGGGCACCAGGATAGATGTCACTCTCGCCTTTGATCTACAAAGCTCTCAGCATCCAAATGCTGGAGGTCCCCTAGGCTCTTAAAGTCACAGATGACTAGGTAATCACTCATTCACAGGCCTGTCCTTCCAGAAGTCCGAGCTGGGGGTGGGGCGGGGGGAGCCTTACCCCCTCATACAGACACTTGAAGAACTTGATTTCTCTGTCCAGGGCATCCACCTTGGCCTGCAGCTCTGCCTTGCTCATGTAAGCCGCATCCACGTCCTAAGGGAATCCAGAGAGCCCCATTCATCACCCTTCTTCAAGCCCAGACAGGGTTCTCCTGGGAACTGACACCCCAGCACCCAACTCTGTAGCTAGCTGCCCCAGGGAATAGAGTCAAGATCCAGGTGGCAGGAAGCTGACTTCCACCCAGGACGCACTGTGGGACGTTGAGCAAGTTCCTCCAGGCACTGAAACTCCTCTGCCCTATCCAAAAACAGAATATTTTTACTGCCTCTATTTCTCCAAAAGAGAGTATGGAGAGAGCCCCATCCCCCATGTGGTCAGTCATCCAGCAGTCAGAGCTGAGGGCAGCCATGGCAATTTACCAGAGTTGGAGGGCAAACCTGTAGCCCCTCTTGAAGCATGTCCTGTTCCCCAAGCCAAAGTGGGCATGACCTGGGGACTGAGTATCCACATCTGGGCTCCTCCCCATTTATCCAAAACAGGGGCAGACAAAGTGGTATGTGCTAGAGAAACATCAAGGTGTCCCACGGTGTCCCAAGCAGCAAATGCCTCCGTCTTCTCCTGGCACGTCAGCTCCAGGCCCCTCTGTAGGGCGCGCAGGCCTCAGTTTCCTCTCTGATGTCACCTCCTCCCACCCTCCACTCTCCGCTCCCCCGGTGACTGAGGGATACCCACCCCCTCCTCACCTTCTTAAGCACCACGAATTCGTTCTCGGCTGTTGTGCGCTTGTTTATCTCCTCCTCATACCTGCAGGGAAAGTGTCCCAGTGAGCAGGCGGTGTGCGTGCGTGTGTTCTCATGGGGAAGAGAGAGCAGAGGTGCCCATGTCATGTAACTTTTAACAGGTGCTATTCTACATCTTTGCAAATCTGTCCAGCTCACCAGGACTATTTGGCCAGCGTTGCAGGCTGGTTTGAAGCAACGCCCTCCCGGGCCAGCGGACCAGCGGTTTGGGGTCTGGATTTCCTCAGCTCCCTGGAGAGCGAGTAGGTCCTTCCTCCTCCCACTCAGTGGCCAAGTCACAGGAACGTGTCTCTGCCCCTGTCAGCCATGATTCTTGTGTCGCCCAGCTGCCTGACACCCCTGCTGATAACTCCACCCCATCTCCAAGCATGAGTCCCGAGGAAGCCAGAACTGCCCCTGGGGACAGGAGGAAGGAACATGGCCCAAATGTCCAGGACCCCAGGGAAAGGAGAGAGGAAACCCAAAAGAAATTCCAACTCCCTGCCTTGCTTTGGGACTTTCCTTGGAACTTGGAGGAAACTGAGTGAGCTCAGGAACCGAGAGGCTATGGGGTACCACACTCGGGCTCTCCCCAGAGGGGACCAGGAGGGAGCCTGGGTCACTCTCACCTGAGATCAGTGCCCCTGAGGCCAGAGGCAAATGTTCCTGTGCCTGCTGGGAAAGCCCAGCCCGGGAGGGGGTCAGCGTGGTGCAGGGTCCCCACTCACCTCTTCTTGTAGTCCTCCACCACGTCCCGCATGCTCCTCAGCTCCGAGTCCAGCCTCACCCGGTCCCCGGACAGCGTCTCCAGCTGCTTCCGCAGGTTGCTGACGTAGCCCTCCAGGATGGGCTCCAGGTTGTTCTTGCAGTTGTTCAGGTCCAGCTGCTGCAGCAGCTCCCACTTGGTCTCCAGCACCTGGTTCTGCTGCTCCAGGAACCGCACCTGGACCCCGAATCAACAGACACTCAGTCCATGAAGAGAAGCAATGGGGTTTCCTTTCCTGGGCAGCAGCTTATGCAACATTAGCTTCAAAGGTAAGAAAATGTCTTAGAAAATGTCTCTCCTGCCCCTCCCAGCCAGGGCATTTCGTCTAACTGAGGTTCTCTTTCTGGGGACAGCCCCTAAGATCAGGAGGGGCCTCAACATCTTCATTTCCCTCTAGTCTGTCTCCTCTGCACCTGTCTAAACCTGCCCTGACCTGGTTGCTGGTCAGCCAGGGCCACCTCTCTAAGGCAAGTCCTCAGACGTGCAAACGGCCTTCACGCTCATGGGCGTCTCTGCTCGGGGCCTGGTGGCCCGGCCTGGGCTCTGCCTCCTCTGTGTCCTTGCTCACGGCCTCTCCCAGCCCAGCCAGAGGCGGGCGCTTAGCTGATCTCAGGTCTCGGGCCTCCCATGCTGCTTTCATGCCCCACTCTCTCTGGTCTCAGAGCATCTCTCCAGGGGGAGAGCCGGCATTCTCAAGTTGCAGCCTATAAATATCAGGCCATTTTTTTGCTTAAAACCCTCTGGCAATTCCACATCACCTACAGGGTCAAGTCCAAATTCTTTCTTTTGCTCTTTACAATGTGCCCATCGCCCTTCAACCATTCTCCCAGCACCCATGCAAACCCAGGCTCTCCCCACTCTCCAGACAAGTCCTGACAGCTCCCTCTCCCTAGACTGCCTTTCCCACCTCCATCTGGTAAACTCCTATTCATGCTTCACCACCCTATCTCATTGTCATCCCTGGTGAGCTTCCCCTGCTCCCCTAGGCTCAGGAAGTCTCTGCTTCCCAAGACCCTCCCTTGCCTTGGTTCCTCAGGGGTTCTAACCCAAGTGTGCATCAGCACCACCTGGGGGCTTGTTGCAATGCAAGGTGCTGGGCCCCCTCCGAGTGTGTGATACATTGGGTAGGAGCCGGGCCCTGAGAGTGTGCATGTCTGACAACGGCCCAGGTGATGCTGACGCTGCTGGTGCAGGGACCGCCTTTCAGAACCACTGCTCCAGGACGCCGCTGATCCCTATCTGCCTTGCCTTACAGTTTGGGTGTATTGTATGCTATGAGTCTGTCTTTCAACCAGAATCTGAGCTGGTCTGAGTCCCATGAGAGGAGGAGATGGGCCTTATGGCTTTCTAGATACCCCAGGCTGCCATGGGCCTCTCCTTCATCTGGCTTCTGTTTCATGTGCCGTCACTCTCCTACTTCTCGACTCTGAGGACATCTTCCCTGAACTCCTCCCACCCCCCTGAGCACCTCCATCCCTCAGCACTGATGTCCAGGGTTGGCCCAGTTCCTCCTTACTCTGTCCTCGGTTGTGTTAGCATCCTGGGGAGGTGTCCTGCCTTCCTCTGCCCCAGACACTGCCCAAGGGCAGTGAAGGTGGAAGAAGGAGGGGTCCTAGGCTTGGCTTTCTCTAGAAAGTCCCACCTTGTCGATGAAGGAGGCAAACTTATTGTTCAGCGCCTTGATCTGCTCCCGCTCCTGCGCGCGCACTTTCTGGATCTCCGGGTCCAGCTCCACGTTGAGGGGGGCCAGGAGGCTCTTGTTGACGGTGACCTGGTGGATGCCCCCTGGAGGGCACACAGACGGACACGCGGACCCCACAGCCGCACTGCCAAACATGCTGCCAGCAAAACCACTGGCCCGGCCTCGGCCAAACCCATAGCCCCCTGCCCGCCCACTGCCACTGGCCATGTTGAAGGAGATGCTCCGGGCACCCCCAAGGCTGTAGAGGCTTCGACTGCTGAAGCCCCCGCTGAGTCCTTTGCCCCCTGCCCGGTAGGAGGAGGAGCTGCCCCCTGAGAGCACTGCTGAGCAGCCGCTGAAGCCCCCCTTGGCGGCAGCTCCTGACTTGTAGGTGAATTGGCGGCTCATGCTGGGGAGGCCAGAGAGCTAGAATAGGATGCTAACCCTTAGCTGAGATGCAATTCACCAGCCTGCGATCTCAGGCTCCCCTTTTATAGGGCTCAGGAGAGAGTCACTGCCCTAATTTGTGGGTTTAGTTTGCCTGGGAGCAAGAAATCATTTCCTCCCAGCAAAATCAGAGACAACGGGTAAATAACTTAAAAACCTTCAAAGTGCTGAGCTTGCAAATCTTGCTGGTATAATTTGAGTCTTATCTAATTACATGGGATCATTAGCCTGGCCAAATTATCCCTAGAAAGATCTTGGCTGGGAGGTTTGTCACAGCCTCAATTGCCCTTCCCCAGGGAGTGGAGGGACTAGATTGCGGAGGTGCAGAGGGGAGACCTTTAATCGACAGCGTCATCGGTGAGAGATCTCACGGACCGTACCAGCATCAGATGGGCTGCCCCCGGGACCCTGACTGAGCTGCTTTTATGTGGTTAGGAAGAGACTCTGCAGTCTGGCTCCCCAGGGCTTCCGGAGACGGTTCTCATGGCTGGCCAAGGCCATGGGAAACAAGCCCTCTAGGGATCCAGGCCCAGCTTTCTGGGTGCCCATCCCTGCTGTGCCCTCCCAGGCAGGTCTTTTGCTCCTCTGTGCTGGCCAGGCTGCCCTGCACACACTGACTTTGTTCCTGTACTCTCCCACCGCCTCCACCCTTGACCTTGACACAATGGCATTGCCACCATTCACGACGGCTGACGCTGGTACAGTGCTTTACAGCATTAAAGAGCTCCTTGCACACAGGAGCTCTCTGAATCCACGTGACCTGGGGAGGAGCTGTGAAATCCATGGCTTACAACTGGGAAAACCGCGGCTCAGACAGTTGAGGACAGCAAACATTTCATGAGCCTTTTCTTTGTATGAATCCCAGAGCATGCAAATGCCCAACAAAATGTAGGCCCCAGCCTGGAGGACCCCCTTGCTTGGTCTTCTGACCCCAGATTCACAGCTATTCAGAACTTATTTGCTTATCCAGCAGCCAGCCAGCCATTCACCTACTCGTTCAATCATCCATCCCTTCATGTAACAAACCTCTGTTGAGGGCTGACTCTGCCCAGTGTACTGTGCTAGGCTCTGGGGTCACAAATTAATAAGACAAGTTCATTATTCTAGGGGAAGGGCTGACACTTGAATTTTATTAGACTCTTGACATTACCAAAGTATGTGACCGAAGAGTTTCACAATTCCCAAATGTATGTAATTTCCCCCATAAAACTGCAGTCATTTCACTGGCCGAGTACTTGAATGAACAGCTTGTCAATCCCTCTTTTCTATTTCCATACAGAGATTATGGCCCCATCCTGTGTTACGTACTATGACACACAGTATTATGCCTCCAATACTGCTGTACCAAGCAATTGGCAAATTCAACCTCCCTCATTTTTTTTTTTTAATATGAAACAGCTATTTTCAAGAAAAACCACTTTCTTAGACAGTCTCAATTTCACTACCAGCAATGGGGCTTAGCAATCTTTTTAGTCTTTGGTCCCTAGACACAAAGGTTTTTATCCCTTTGCAATTTCTTCATGGGGCGTGATGAGGGAAGACCGACAGAGCCATGCTGGGACGAGGGTGCTGAGTGTTCCAGACGGAATGACCCCCTAATTGGCTCCTTCACGCTCAGCAGAGTCAGGGTGGACGTGATTCAGACCTGTGTCTCAGCAAAACTACGAACTGCTGTCACAGGCTTGCCATCACCCCCTGAGGGCTGTGAATGCCATCTCTGCAAGGCCGTGTGTGAGTGCTAGCCAGCAGCCAGCTCCTCACCCCTGCGTGACCTTCACTTCCCCTCCCCCACCCTGGTCTTCTCACCTTGTGAGCCTGCCGCAGGGCACCCTGGGAAACCTTCTCTGGTCGCTCATCTCAATGCAGCCCCTCCTGTCTGGCAAGCCTCCCAAATTGTACTACGTCTCTGTTCTAGTGCGGTATCTCCACCTGTGTTCCAGGGGCGTACCAATCTTCCCCGACAGCCAGAAAGTTTCTTGAGGACAAGCTCCAGATCCCATCCTTTGTCTAGTCCTCTTTACTCACTGTCCAGAGCCACGGGGGCGAGGGATCCTCAGGAAGTCAGGGAGGGGACAAGAAGACTCTTAGGGGCCCCTTGAAATCATTCCCCCTAACAACAGAGTCCTTAGCCTCTGTCCTTAAAACTCTTTGAAGTGGGTTTTCAATTAGTGAGCCCCTTACATTTCACATCCTGCCACTGCCTTTGCCACGGGAAACTCAATGCCAGCTGACCCCTTATCTAATCTTCACCCAATTGCTAAGTCAGTCCCACTTCCCACAGAGGGGCAGTGCTGCCATTAGCCTGGCCCAGCCTCTAGGGCAGGTGGCTCAGATGGGTTCAACACCAAGGAGGCAGGAAATCAATTCCCATCTCCCCCAGAGGCAAAAAAAAAAAAAAAAAAAAAATCACGTTGTAAAAGAATATTTAGTACTTCTCATCCAGGAAGATGGAGTAGACATACTTTTTCTGACACTGCTCTAACAGGGGAAATGGCGTGAACACCATTCTTCCACTTACAACAACTGAAAACCTGGACTTTATATATGAAACAAATGTAAGAAGACTCTGAAAGGTGGAGAGAAGAAGGCACACCAGCTAGGGATCTTGGGAGCCAAAGAACGACATGGCGGTGAGTTCCCTGCATTTTCTATTTCTTTCACATGTTGCAGACTTGGTACCAAAGAAAGCAGCAACCTGGAAGGGCACAGATTTATTAAAAGCCCAATCTTTCCAGCCCAAGCTCCAGGAATGGGGCAGCCTAGATAGAAAGCTTATAGAGAGTAACCACTCTACTCCAGCCAAACACCACTGAAACACTGCAGCTCTGCCCCGACCCGCTCCAGCTAGGGCAGAGTGGGAATCCTAGACTCCCTATTGACCAGGCTATAATGAGGCCCCAACTGCCCCCTTCCCCCAGGAACTGGGTGATGTCGGGAAAGGCCACAATGGGAGCTGGTACTGTCATCGCCACCAGGCAGGAATAAGTCCCAAATCCATCCAATGTTTGTGGACACCACATGGGGAGCCTAGACTTCTACCCCGACCTGGCAGTAACAGGGTAGAACCCACAACTTTCCCCTGCTAGGGCAATGTCAGAAGAAGTCATCTAAAACAAGAGATTTGAATAAGATCCAAAATGCCCAAGTTTTGATCAAAAATCCCTTGTCACACCAAGAATAAGGAAGATCTCGAATGAAAAAAGATAGATGCCAACAACAAGGCAACACAGATGTTAGAAACATCTGACAAAGATTTTAAAGCAGCCATCATAAAAATGCTTTAACAGCAATTAAGAAACGCTAAACAGATGAAAAAATAGAAATCTCAAAAAGAAATAAAAGATATCAATAAGAACGAAGTGGAAGTTTTAGAACTGATAAATACAATAACCAAATAAAAAACTCAAAGGATGGGTTTAACAGCAGGATAAAGGGGTCAGAGGAAAGAATCTGTGAACTGGAAGACAGAACAACAAAAATTACCCAACCTGAGTAACAGAGAGGAAATAGACTGGAAAACGAAGAAGTAAACTAAGCCTCAGGGGCCTGTGGGATTATAACAAAAGATCTAATATTCATGTCATTGGCATTCCAGAAGAGAAGAAAGAGGATTGGCTGAAAAGTTACTCAAAGAAATAAGGACTGAAAATTTCCCAAATGTGGCAAAAGACATAAACCTACAGATTTAAGAAGCTGAGCAAATCTGAACAGGATAAACTCAAAGAAATCCACACCAAGATATATCATAGTCAGAATTCTGAAAACTAAGGACGAAGAAAAATCATGAAAACAGCAAAAGAGAAACAATAGCTTATCTATAAGGGAAACTATTCTGAAGGATAACAGTTTCCTCATCAGAAACCATGGAGGCTAAAGGAGAGTGGCACAATATTTTTCAAGTGCTGAAAGCAAAGAATTATCAGTGCATTTTCCTATATCCAGCAAAAGCATCTTTCAGGAAGGAAGGGGAAATCAAAACATTCTCAGATGAAGGAAAACTAAGAAAATTTGTTGCCAGCAGACCTATCTTAAAAAAAATGGCGAAAGGAATTTCTCTAAACAAAAAGGAAATGATCCAAGAAGAAACCTTGGGAACATGAAGGAGGAAAGAAGATGGTAATAAAAAAGATGGATAAATACAATAGACTTTCCTTCTCCTCTTGAATTTTCTAAGTTATGTTTGATAATTGAAGCAAAAATTATGACCCTGTCTCATGGGATTCTAAGTGTATTTACAGGAAATACTTAAGAAATTATATTATAATGAGAGAGGGCAAAGGGATGTAAAGAGAGTTAAGGTTTCTTTACTTCAGTTGAACTGGTAAAATGGTGACAGCAGTAGACTGTCATAAGTTATGTATATATAACATAATACCTAAAGCAATCACTAAAAATGCCATACAAAGACATATACTCAAAACCGCTACAGATAAATCAAAATGAGCTCTTAAAAAGGTTCAAATAACCCACAGGAAATCAGGGGGAAAAAACAGAAATGAAAAACAAAGAACAAATATAAAACAAAAAATAAAATGACAGACTTAAGCCTTAACACATCAACAATTACGTTAAATATAAGGGGTATAATACACCAGTTAAAAGACAGAGGTTGTCAGAGTGTATTAAAAAACACGCGCCAACTGTATGCTGTCTACAAAAAAACTTGCCTCAAATATCATGATACATGCAAAGTGAAAGAAATAGGATAGAAAAAAGATACATCATGCAAATGTTAATCAAAGCAAGATAGGAGTCGCTATGTTAACATCAGATAAAGTAAACTTCAGAGCAAAGAAAATTATAAGACAGGGAGAGACATTATATAATGTAAAAGGGCCAATCTACCAAGAAGAAATAGCAATCCTAATTTGTATGCACCAAATGAAAGAGCTACAAAGTATGTGAAGCAAAAACTGGAGAACTAAGAGAAGAGATAGACAAAACCACAATTAAATTTAGAGACTTCAATATTCTTCTATCAACAATTAACAGAACAACTAGAGAGAAAATCAATGAGGATATAAAAGAACTCACCAACACTATCAACCAACAGGATCTAACTGATATTTATAGAATACTGTACCCAACAAAAGCAGAACAAATAATCTTTTCAAGTGTCCATGGAACATATACCAAGATAGGCTATATCTTGGGCCATAAAACAAACTTCAACAAATTGAAAAGAATTTAAATCATACAGAGTGTATTCTCTGACCACAAAGAATGAAACTGGAAATCAATTTTTAAAAAACGATTTCTCCAAACACTTGGAAACTAAACAACATACTTCTGAACAATTCATGGGTCAAAGAAAAAATTTTAACAATATTATTTCCAAATAAGGTCACATTCAGAGGTAGTAGATGTTAAGACTTCAACACATCTTCTTTGAAGGACACAATTCAACCCATAAAGGACATCGAAAGCACAAGCAACAAAAGAAAAAATAGATAAGTGGACTCCAGTTAATTTTGGAGATGGGGTCAAAAGTGACTCGATGGAGGAAAGAGAGTCTTTTCAAAAGATGATGCTGGAGCAATTGAACATCCATAAGCCAAAAATCAATCAAGCAAACAAACCCTCAACCTAAGTTTCACACTTTATACAAAAATTAACTCAAAATGGATCACAGATTGAAACCTAAAATGTAAACTAAAAAGCTTTTGGAGAAAATCAGGATCTAGGGTGATAAAGAGCTCTTTGACTTGATATCGAAAGAATGAGCCATAAAAGAAAAAAATTAATAAATCGGACCTCATGAAAATTAAAAATTTTGCTCTGCCAAGACCCTGTTAAGAGGCTAAAAAAAAACAAGCTAGAGACTGGGAGAAATTATTTGCAAACCACGTATCCAACAAAGGACTAGAATCTAGAATATATCATGAAATCTCAAAACTCAACAATAAAAGAACAAGCAATTTCATTGGAAAATGGGCAAAAGACATGAAGAGACGTTTTACTGAAGAGGATCGACAGACGGCAGCTAAGCACAAGAAGAGATTTTCAACACCATTAGCCATTACGGGAATGCGAATTTAAACCACAATGAGATATCGCTACACATCTATGAGATTGGCTAAAACAAACTTCAGTGACAACACCAAACACTGACGAGAAACTGGGTCTCTCATACATTGCTAGTGGCAGTGTAAAATGGTGCAGCCACTCTGGAAAACAGCTTGGCAATTTTTTAAAAACTAAATATGCAACTACCATACGTCCCAGCAATGACACACGTGGGCATTTATCTGAGAGAAATGAAATCTTACGTTCACAGAAAAACCTGCAGACAAATGTTTATAGCAGTTTTATTCATAATAGCCAAAAATGCAAACAATCCAGATGCCTTTCAATGGGTGACAAACTGTGGTGCATCCATACCATGCGTACTCCTCAGCAATGGAAAGGAACAAACAATTGATATACACAAGGACCTGGATGAATCCCCAGAGAATTATGCTGAGTGGAAAAAGCAAAGGGTTCCGAACTGTACAATTCCATTTACATAACAATCCTGAAATACAGAAATGGAGAACCAATCAGTGGTTGCCAAGGGTAAATGAGAGGATGTCACAGGCAGTGTGGGTGTATCTATACAAGAACAACATGAGGGATCCTTGTTGTGATGGAAATGTTCTGTACCTTAACTGCATCAATGTCAATATCCTGGTTGTGATATTGTACTACCGTCTTGCAAGGTGTTACCATCTTACAACATTTATTGGGCTCTTACTAGGTGTCAGGTACTGTTCTGAGCACATTAACACTCAAAATAACCCTATCAAGGAGGTGCAATTAACATATACTTTTTACAGACAAGGAAACTAAGGCACAAAGAGGTTAAGTCGCTTTGGACAAAATCACACAGCTGGGAGCCAGGAATGGAAGCCGGGCAGTCCACTGTGGAGCCCATGCTATTAACCTACTGCCTGAGGTCTTTTTCAAATAACCCATTTCCCCGACGTTGAGATCCTTACTCGAAAGGTCTAGGGCAGGGCCTGAGCTGGTGGGGTTTCTTTGACTTCTTCGCGCTTTCTTCTTGGGACCCCGCTCGCAGGGGCTCTGCCTTTTAAAGGCACTATCCGGAGCATGATGTGATTTTAGCTCACATTCCATTGTCCAGAAGTTAGTTTCACGGTCACCGTTATCCTCAAAGGAGGCTTGGAAATACAGTCTTTAGGTGGGTGGACACGCGCGCCTCCACACTTTCTACCCCTGCAGAAGAAAAGGAGAAACGATGCTGAGCGAGGAGCGGCCGGCTCAGGCGCGCTCCGTGTGCTAGAGGAGCGCTCCTCCGTATCCCTCCGCTGTTTAACACCGCGCGGCGGAGGCCAAATCGCTTGAGAGCGCAGCGACCGGACGACCAGCCTTGCTGGTTTGCCTGCGACTGAGTTGGGTCCTGAGACACGAGACTTTCACTTTTAAAGCCAGGATTGTCCCAGGAAAACAGAACAAGTTTGTCAATTTACCCAGAAGCCTCTCATCTCATGATCTGGCCCCACCCCCCTCCCCTTCCCCTTCTCTCTCCAGCCTTCACCAGACCTCCCGTCCTTGAAAGAACTCGTCAGCCTCCTGTCCTTTATTCAGCCTATATTGATTGACCACCTACGATGTGCTTGGCTCTTGTCACAGAGGATGTGGCACCTCCATCTAAAGCACCCCCTCCCCCTGGCTGACTCCTCCTCGTCTCTCAGGTTTGCAGTTTCAGCTTCTGGGGCTCTCCATCGGGAAGTCTGCGTCCTCCCAGTCTGGCGCCTTGTTCCTGACGCACTTCCCCAGGACAGCACTCAGATCACTGCACTCCCATTGCACACGCGCTCCCCTGGCTTCCTGCTGGACAAAGGTCTTGTCACCTTGTACCAGTGTCAAGAACAGTCTAGCACATAGTAGGTGCTCAATAGATGATGGTTGAATGAGTGCTTCCTCTCCAGGAGCCTAGGGCTTGCTGGACCCAGTAGCTGTGCCCCCCGTCCCGTCCCTGGCCCTCTTCCCTCCTCCAAGCACTCAGAACAGAGCTCACCGGGGAACTGATGACCTCGCTCCCAACCAACGCCGCTGGACCCCCGGCTGCTAGGCTGGGAACTGCTTTCTGGACGCGGCAGGAGACAAGGCAACAGAGGGCAACAGAGCTGAACTCTCAACTTGAGCCCGCAGGCTGCTGCTCCCCGCTCCACAACCTTTGGCCATTTACCTGATAATAACCCTCACAGCAATAATGAGAGCAACACCATTACCCCTTAATTAGGCAATAATGACCCCAGCTTGGCTGCCAAGCAAGGCTGAGGACCTGAAGTTCACTATTTTAAAAACAGAAGCTGAGCTTTCCCAATAAAGAGAGGAAGTACGGGTCATTTTGCTCTCCTTCCAAAGCTAAATAGAGACACAAGGCCCTTTCGTCAGCACAGGTGATGGAGTAGGGGGAACAGAGCGGGTACACGTGCGTGTGTGCGCATGCGCGCGTGCTTCAGGGAGGTGGTGGGGGTGAACCAGACTCAGGGCTCATCTGATTAGCGCATATTTTATGACTTCCCAAACAGAATGAATTTCCCACGAAGTTTATTGGAAAGTACGGCGGGGAGGGGGTTGAGCGTGTGGAGGTGAATGCAGGCAACTCTTTAAAAGGAAACACAGGAGAAGACCTTCTCCACTGACAGCTGGGGCCCAGGCTCTGTTCGCACCCTGTCTAGCCCAGCAGGTCACACTGGATGTTTATTTCAAACTGGACTCCGCCTGGAGCGTGGTCCTAAGACACATTTGTTCTTGTTATATTTTTACTCTCCCCCCTGGAGGAGGGGAGAACATGAACTCAGCCATCCCTCACGTTACATCCAGGTGGATATCCACACTGGCCACTCAGCGAAAGGGGTGGGGCCCGGATGGCATGCCTGCACCCCCAGGTCCCCACAGACCTTCCTGTCTCCTCCTCCCTTGGTGAACACCGGGGTCTGTGAATCTATGGGAGGCAGAGTCTGGAAGCCCCAGGATGGCTCAGATGGGGCTTCAGAAAATCAAATCAAAACAAGATCATGATAAACCGTCGCAGATTGTCGGTATAAAGGCTGACCCCCATTAAGGTGGCTAACTGAGAGTTGAGTGTGATGATGGAAAAGGGGGTGTGCGTGCGTGTGCCGGTACTTCAGGATGGAGGGAGAAGAAGAGCTTTAGCTTCTGCACCTCAGAAGGGGAGGGCATGGACTGGGAGCGCTGTGGGAGCGCAGGGCGGGCAGGGGAGAAGGTGACTGAGGCCTGCAGACCCGTTGACGCGGCCTGTGAAGGGTTTCCTACGGGGCCCCAACATTTGGATGTGTGGGGAAAAAAAATTTGTTTTGGAACCTGTCTCCAAATTGCCAAAGAAAATAAACAGGTGGGAGTAGGGCCAGAGCAGATATGTGAAATGCTCGGGTCGCTGGATGCCATGAGATCAGGGCTGGAAGATTCCTCTTTGCCTCTGGGGAGTGTGGGGGACCTACAGGTTTCTGTGCCCTGAGCTGGAGCCCTGGTTTCTCGTTGAACCGGACTCCTCATTTCCTACGCCAGCATCGCTGTCTCCAGAATTCGCAACTTGAGGTCCAGATCCTTGGGAGCTCCCGCTGGCCCCTGCAGACCCCGCAGCCCTGGACGCAGATGCAGATGCCACACCCGGTTCTCTGAGGGCGCTGCCTCCCCTCGAGGAGGCTCTGTCCCCTGAGCTGAAGCCAAACGTGGTTGCACGGGAAGTAGAGGTTGCACGGGAAATAGAGACTGTGCTTGACGTCACAGCTGTGGGGAGACAGAAGGTGGGTAGGGCAGCTCTGGGCATGCCTACATGCCTTCTCAATCCCTAACACCCATCTCTCACAGAGCGTCGAGGGGCAGCTCCCTGAAGCGTCTCATAAAGCAACAATGGCCACCAATGCCAGGGCTCCCACCGGCTCCCAATGCCGGATGCCCATCCCTCCATCGGGGCCATCTCTCCACCACCAGACTCAGGGGGTCCTGAAGGCAGGACCTCCGCTTCCCCCGCCTGGAGGTGAGCATGCGATCCTAGATGCAAAGGGAACCTCAGAGCTCCTCTATTCGAATCCCCTCCTTGGGACCGCAAGACAAGACCACACAGCCAGTGTCCACACAGTGAGGTCAGGGCCCCAGCCCCCAGGCTCCTATCGGAGGGCTCTTTCCTCCTTTTGTCAAGAAAGGGCAAGGGTGACTCCCGACTGGCCAGCGAAGGGGAGCCCGCCGTTACTCACCGTAGCTCACACTGTTGGTGACTTCTCCAGACAGCCTGTTGGCACAGAAACAATCAGAATGGTCAGTAAATCTTCTGACTGGGGCTCAGGGGAGGACCACTCCCAGAAGGAAGGAGACCCTTGGTCCGATGCATAATTTGTAATTGTCTCACTCTGAAAAATACTTGGGCCCCAGAATTGTGTCAGTTCCCCGCTGGAGTGACGAGGACAGCTGTCCTCCATTCCCCTGCCCGTGCTCCCCACCCGCAGGGGGCTCATCGCCACTGTTCCTGGACTCGCTCCACTGCTCCTCGCTCCCCCGGTCCCCCAGCCTGGCCCCTCTCCATCCCTTCCCCAGCCTGGGCTCAGTCAGCCTTGCCACACTGGGCAAAACTAAGGAAAGCTGTGTCTTTTTGCTCTGTCTTTCTCAAAGGCAGGGACATCTTCCCACTTTTCCTTTTGACCCAGAGGTCCAGAGGGAAAGTTTGGAGGAGTTAAGGACTCCATACAGGGCCTGGGGCTATGCTAATCACGGGCATTCTTGACAAAGGCCCCGATTAGACACCCCCCAACTACTGATGAAGCTCAGGAATGAGTGAGTTAATTCATTGTCCCATGATACAGGTGAGAAGGCTGACACAGGGTCACTACCGACGGGCACTCGCCCATCCTCTCCCCGCCTGGGCTGCTCACCTGCTCTCCTCGCCCTCCAGCAGCTTGCGGTAGGTGGCAATCTCCACGTCCAGGGACAGCTTGGCTCCCAGCAGCTCCTGGTAGTCGCGCAGCAGCCGGGCCAGCTCCCCCTTGGCCTGCTGCAGGGCGGCCTCCACCTCAGCCAGCTTGTCCTGAGCATCTTTAAGGGCCACCTCACCCTTCCACTCTGCCTGTAGGATGGTGTCTTGCAGGGCGGCGCTCTGCCAAGGGCCAATAGCAGGTGGTAAGTGGCGCACAGGAGATCAGGGACCTACCTGTACCTGACTGTGCTTCTCTCTTGCCCACCTTCATAATTTATTGTGGAAGATGTGAGAATACAGAAAAATAGGGGGAAAAAATCTATCATAAGCCCACCTCCCCACTTCCCCCAAAGGCCACCACTGCCAAGTTGCTGCCCCACCTGTTTCTTGAGGTTGGCGATTTCTGCCTGAAGTCTCTGGATAGCTCGGTTCAGCTCACTGACCTCCATCTTCATCACTTGGAGGTCATCACTCTTTCTCCCGGCAATGACCTGGAGGTCCTGGTACTGGAACCCGGAAAAGGCAAGAGTGAAAAGATAGCTGAGGGAGAGCCGACCCAGGGCTCCTCACCCCGGCTCTCTAAGTCTCTAAGTTCAACCAGGACTCGTAAGTCCTGCCCAGCCTGGTCATTGTGGCTGGAAGCAATCTCAAGAGGAGACCCATTCCTGTCTGCTGGGAATGTGTGGTCTAGCTGAGGGAACGGAACATTCCCATACAGCTTAGATAGGAACTAGCAAAGATCACCTACCCCAATCTAGACAAGAATACACCCTGGTCTGTCCTTCCCAGTCAGACCTGGAAGGGATCGATAGCAACAGGCCATCCACAATGGGAAGAAGGCTCCAACTATTTCATGTGTGGACCCGGCATTATTATTTCTGTCAAAGAACCACCACAAACTGCATTCCACTAAGCTGGGTATAAGGAAGGTCAGGCTTCCTGAAGATGTGCTTCCATAGACGTGGGCTGGGAAGGCAGCGGGGAGCATGTGCAGGTAGAAGGAAGCAGGCCTGCTTGAAACATTGCTTCCCACGGTTCATGGAATGAAGAGCTGACTGTACTGGTTTGAAAGCCACCTTGTTGTCTCCCATTGTGCCTGGGTCTGCAGCATTGAGTCAGCTACCCCTGCGTAGGACAGGCAAATCCCCAGGATGCCAGAGCCCTGGTAACTTCCAGTGGTAGCTGATCCCGAGACTTCCACAGTAGCCCTCCCCACTAATCTCCAGCACAGGACATATAACGTCAGGTGACCCCACCAAACACAAAGCCAATGGAGCAGGTCAATCCCTAATGGCAGGAATGGGGACCCTACACACCCTCTGGCTATAACCCAGCACAGGATACTTCTCCAGGTACGCACTTTGGTCTGGTACAGGGCCTCGGCTTCAGCCTTGCTCCTCTGGGTGATTTCCTTGTACTGGGCCTTGACCTCAGAAAGGAAGCTGTCCGGGTCCAGGTGCCGATTGTTGTCCATGGAGAGGACCACGTTGGTGGTGCTGACTGCCTGCTGTGCCTCGGCCAGCTCCTGTGCAGTAGGACAGGGGTGAGTCCTCAGGAAACACTCAGCACCCCCTTTTGGGTTCCCAGAGCCAACTCACCACCAGCCCCCCAGGGGCAGACCAGGGAACCTTCTCCCTTTTCCTTGGTTTTCCAAGCAGCCCAGGGGCTCCCAGAAAGCTTAAGCCCCAAACTTACGGCAGCATAGAGGACTTGCAGGAATTCGATCTCCTGCTGCAGGGCATCCACCTTGGCACTGAGGTCCACCTTGACCACGTAGGCACTGTCAACATCCTAAAAGAAAGGAAGGAGCGGGCTCCAGGGGGCTAGAAGAACTTGACCTGCGCTGTCAGGATGCCAGAGGGAGAACAGCATCCATAGGCAAGCACTGAGGGAAGATCAATTCTCCACCCAGAAACTAGCAGAGTGGGGACAGTGCCAAGTGGATTTGGAGGCTGAGCGATGACATCCTTAAGAAGTTGAGAACAGGACTTTTGAGCTAGAAATCAATGTCTTCATTCTTATTATTTAATGCAGTCTTGTACCCAGCACTGTGCTGACCTGGAGGTTAACTGGGGTCGGAGATTATTCACAGCTGAGGAAACTGAGCCCAGCGCCCAGCAGGGTGAGAATATCAGAACTGAGACCTAGGGGAGAAAGCCAGCCGCCTCACCTTCTTCAACACCACAAAGTCATTCTCAGCATTTGTCCTGCTGTTGATTTCTGCTTTGTATCTGGTGGGATTCAGTAGATAGGAAGACTGTTAGGTTTCAAGACATTCAGTTTTCTCTGCCCTGAACTTACATCCACAAACAGATTCACAAGAAAAAAACAAACAGAAAGAGATCCCAAGGATTCCTGTAAAGAGGCCAGTTCTAGGCCATAGCACTTCTTTCAGACCTAGACCTGGGAGCCACATGCATTTTGGCCCAACACCAACTGTCCCACCTTCGCCTGCTCACTCACTTCTTCTGGTATTCCTCCACGGAATCCTGGATGGTCTTCAGCTCTGCTTCCTGCCGGGTCTTCTCTGCCATGAACTTGTCCATCTGCCTCCTGAGGTTGCCGATATAGCCCTCCAAGATGGGCTGCAGGCTGGGGGTGCGAATGCTGACATCCAGCTGCTGCAGCAGCTCCCACTTGGTCTGTAGCACCTGGTTCTGCTGCTCCAGGAACCGCACCTGGAAACAGGAAGTCCACGGGCTCAGTCCCAGGAGACAGCCAGAGTGGGCTTGAGAAGTCCCTGCTGGCCTGGCAAGAGTGACGAGTGAGGCATTAATTCTCAACATGCTATGGTAGAGTTTAGTTAGCCCTATTATTTGGGTAGATTTCAGGTATGTGGAAACTGACAATTGCTTAGAGCAGGGGTGCTCAAACTCTAGAGAATATTAGAATCGATCACTTGGAAGGTCATACACAACATGGAGGACCAGGTGTCTTAATGCAGGATGGAGTCTAGGCTACCGAGATTCCTAGACTGTTTACCAAGATTCCTAGCTGATTCTGATTCCCTCCAAAGTATGAGAACCACTGGCCCAGATCATTTGGAAAGAGGAGATGTCAGAAGACTCATCAATAAGCCAACAAAACCACTCACTCTTGGGAATGTGCTTTTACCAAACAGCCTCGACTGTTTGATGCAGACAAAACAGTCCCTTTCCTCACCCTCCTCAGTGTTTTCCTGACATTGCAAGTGACAGTGCAATGAGTGGCAAAAGAGAAGAATTAACAGTTAATAAGTACCTCGAATTTTTTGAGCACCTTCCTGGTAAAGCGCGCGGGACACTTTCTCTGCACAGTGAGAAAACCTCCGCCCTCCTCCTCCCCCTCCTCCCGCCCCCATCTCACAGCACAGCAAACCAAAGAAGAACATGGTTTAGTTCACTTTTTCCCCCAGCCAGAGCTTTAATGAAGCAGGAACCTGTACACTTTCCCACCTTGTCTTTTTTCAGCTTCATTGAGGTGTAATTGACAATAAAAGTGTGATATATTTAAAGTGTACAACGTGATGATTTGACATGGTATCCATCGTGAAAGGATTCCCGCAATCAAGTTATTAACACATCCATCACCTTGCATATTTACCTTTTCTTTTTCTTTTTTGGTGAGAACACTTAAATTCTACTCTCTCAGCAAATTTCCCTTATACAGTACAGCATTATCAAGCGTGGTCACCAAGAAAGAACAGAGTTCTTTAATGCACCATCTAACCTGGTAAGGCTGCCCTAACCCCAGAGCTCTGGGCACATTCGCCAGTTCTACTTTGCTTCTCACTGGCTTCTCCTGATGTTTCCCGGCTCTGAGTGTATGCAGCAGTGCAAATCCCTAGCAGCTCCCCCCTAAGGAAGAGCACCCTGGGAAAGGTGGGGGTAGGCAGAACTAGAGCCTTCCTGCCAGACAGTCCTGACCTTCCCAGTGGTGCAAACTCAGGATGCAGCCTTCCTGCCCCTCACCTCCCCCCGGATTCAAAGTAAACCTCTATCCAAGGTTGGTCCGAGCAATTGTTTGGCATAGCTGGCATAAGAAGTCTGGCCTCATTTTGGTGTCGAGACTGGATGAGATCTGAAGGTCAGCGTTCTTCAGGGCTGTAAATGTCGTTCACCACTCCCAGCCTGACCAACAGCATTGAAAAATCACCTGGCCAAGTCATTTGCATGGGCCCCATGTTCCTTTTCCAGAGCCCATTAAATGGGCACTGTCTGATTTTTGTGGTCTCTGCTCTCTGGCTTTGAGAATGGAAATGTCAGCTTGCTCAGAGATAACCTCCTAGACACAGAATCCTGTGGCAACTTACGGGGAAGAAACCATTTGTCAACGTCAATGCATCCACTCACAAGACACCCACTGACCCATCCGACTTCTTTAAGCCTGGACCTGTCAGCCCGCTCTAACCTACTATGCATGCAGGAGGGATCACCTTTATTTCAGGGTGAGTCTGCAAGGCCCTCAGTTTGACTTGGCAGTGACAGGTTGCTGAGGGTCAGATCCAGTCTCCCAGGGAGGCTTGGAGAATGTGGGAAACAAAGTGGGCACCTTCCACCAGGGCCAACTTTAAGAGACAGGGACGGAACTAGTTGACCTCAGATAATCTAGACCTGCGCTGTCCGATACGGAAGCCACTGGCCACATTTCCACCATTGCAGAAAGACCTTTCTGCAGGTCCCTGGAATATTTCAGGCCTGGCTGGCCGGCCTCCAGGCATTAGCACTCACCTCGTCAATGAAGGAGGCGAACTTGTTGTTGAGTTCCTTGATCTGCTCCCGCTCCTGCTGCTTCACCTCCTGCGCCTCAGGGTCAATCTTCACATCCAGAGGCTCCAACAAGCTTTGGTTGGTTACAACTTCCTGGATGCCCCGAGGGCAGACTGCTGGGCCTGCAGACCCCAGACCTCCAAAACCACCTCCGAGGCCAAAGCCCACCCCACAGAGGCTGCCCCTCCCCAAACACGCACCCCTGAAGCTTCCCAGACTGCCACCAGGGCCCAGGCCTCCAGCTACACGGGTGGAGATGCTCTTGCTCCCACCAAGGCCGATGAGACTCCAACTACTGTAACCTCCAGGGCGGGCAGAGCCGTGGCAGCCGCCGCTGCTCTTGCGGACCGACAGCAAGCTCCCTGCCCTTCTCCAGCACCCTCCTGGTAGGGTGGCCGAGCCACTGCTGAAGCTTCCCCTCTGGCACCTCATGGCATAGACCTGCCTACTCATGGTGACTCAAGAGGAGTGAGTGACACCAAGAAGGTGGGAAGGAGGTGTCTCGGTGTTTCCCTGCTGGGGTGCGGAGGGCTCCCCTTATATAGTTCCTGGAGTTGGCAGCTGGCCAAGGACAGGTTCCTGGGTTTGGCTCCCCTGAAGCTGAAAGTGACAAGAAAATAAATAACACTATCTGCTTGGGAACAGTATGTCAAATAATGATTGCTTAGTTAGCAGGGTTTTCTAATTATTACTTATCTATCAACTATCTGCTGACCTAGGCACTGTGAAGTGTGTGTGATCCCACCCAAAGCTGTCAGATAGGGTGTTTGCTGAGACTGTTGGGGTTTCAACACTTACAGTTTCTGCCGGAGCGGTATTGAAACTCAAGATACATCTCCTTGAAGCTTTAGGACAATGACGCTGATGAATTAGAAACTGATATCTAGAAAAAATGGCGATTCAAAGAGACCCACTCAATGGAATTTTCTATAGTTGGTGGGAATTGCTTCTGCCTCCCTGCCAAACATTTGTTTTTCCCCAAAGAATAGAGAATAGTTAAATAAACTGTGTCTATCGATGCAATATTATACAGACGATAAAAATGGTGGTGACAGGGTTTATGCAAACATTGAATAATCAATATGAACGCTAAAACCCAGGCAGAGAAAGAAGGCTGGACGAGGACTGGAGATACAGTGTGAGCATAGCTATATTCTTTTTAAAAATGACTAAGCCTAAATATTTTAGAAAAGTAGGTTAAAAAAATATATACATCAAAGTGTTAGTGTTAGTTGTTTCATGCAATGGTTGATTTTTAAATTTTCCATCTTTCTCCTTCTCCAAGTTTAAAATAATGAGCAGGTAGTATTTTTATAATGGAAGCGTCCAGCCCTGTGAGGCTGCAGACTCCTCTGCAGGCAGCCGAGAAAGCCCCTCTAGAAAACACTCAGGCAGGCCAAGGACCCTGATCCCTTCTTTTGGTCACTCCATAACTATGAGGGCAGCTGACGGAAGGAATATTCTGGACTCAAGCTCCTCTCACTAGCTGTCACCTAGACCAGGAAAATGTAGATCACCACACTGACTAGGGTCCCATCTTGGGCCTTTAATTCTCCTCTTCTGCCTGAAACTGCAGGCCCGGCACAGGTCATCTTGCACACCTGCATGTGCACACTTGCACTGGCAGGGCTCAGCAACCTCTCTCAGTTGGTCTCCTTCTCTGGACCCCAGGGAGAAGCTGAGATGTCTCCCCCACCCTATAATCATGTACCCTCCCTGCTCAGACAGGCCTCAGTAGCCGTCCCCACCCATTGTATGTCACCCCTAATCCCGTCACCAGGAGGAGATCCAGCTAAAGGAAGAGAACAGCCTGGGGTATAGTGGAAATGATGTGGGGTGTAAGATCAGAGCCTTGATTTTTCATTCTAGCTCCACTACTTCCTAGTCTTGTCATCTGTCAAATGGGGTGATAATGACACGTCCTTACTACTTAACCAGAGTTATAGAAACTGTCCAAGAGAATGACAGGAAATGTTAGCTTTTACCTTTGACATTTGACAAAGCTAAATGTCAAAGTCCGTGTCTTTCCCCAGCAGCAATCTCATTTAATCCTCACAGCAGCATTATGAGGTAGACGTTATTATTATTATTTTTGTTTGCTTTTCGGAAGTGGAAACTAAGATTCAAAAGATTAAGTGCTTTGCCCAAATGGTACAACCAGTCAAATAGCAGATGCGGGATTTGAACCACGGCTGACTGATTCCAGAACTGAGTACATAAATGTTGAATGGATTCCATAAAAACTGAAGAGCCAGGGCCTGGGGGCCCTGCTGGGAGGTGGTAAACCTCGAGCAGGCTTCAGAGGAGGGGAGGAAGCAGGGTCATTACAGAGCCGGGGTGGGGGAGGGGCCGGCAGTAGCCCCACTAGACGTGAGGCGTGGGAAAGAGGGGTCTGCGGCGGGTCACAGAAAACAAGAAGGCTGTGAGTAAGACAGAGGTGAGGGGACAGGCCAAGTCAAGGCGGAAGAAATTAACGGTGACAAAAGCAACAGAAGTAGGTACTGCGGGCTCCAGGCAGAAGCAGAACATGCCTGTGCAACCCTCTCTATTTTTAACTTTTCCTCCTTAGACTTTTATTCCAGGAGAGAATATTTGTGACCATTAGGTAGGCAAAGATTTCTTAGCTAGGACCCTGAAAGCCCAAAATATTTTTAAATATTGATAAATTGGAATTCAGCAACATTAAAAACTTTTGCTCTTTGTAAGATGCCATTAAGGAAAATGAAAAGACAAGCCACACACTGGGAGAAAATATTTGCAAGACATCTATTTGACAAAGGACTGTTATCCAGAATATATAAAGAACCTCTGCAACTCAATAATAAGTCAAGCCACCCAATAAAAACCTGCACAAGACTGGAACAGACACTTCCCAAAAGGTGTACAAATGGCCAATAAGCACAAGAAAAGATGTTGATCATCACCAGCCATCAGAAAAGTGTTATGATGTGTTATTAAAACTACAATGAGCTAATATACACATCCATAGACTGGCAATACCCATTGTTGCAGAGGAGGTGGAACAACTGGAAGGCTGATGGAAATGTAACGCCAGACACTCCCTGCCTAGGAGGGGGCGTTCTGGGCCTTGTGGTAAGTGGACATTGAATTTCATAACAAAATGCCAAATTATTTTCCACAGTACCTGTGCAGTTTTGCATTTCCAACAGCAATGCGTGAGAGTTCCAGTTGCTCCGCATCCTCTCCAGCCCTCGGTATTTTCGCTTGTTTGTTTTGTTTTAGACATTAAAACAGCTTGTAGGGTCTCCTTGTGGCTTCAGTTTGCATTTCTCTAGCGACTAAAGCTGTTGAGGATCTTTTCATGTTTTTATTTACCATCTCTGTCGCTTTTCTGAAGAAGCATCTGTTCAAATCTTTTGCCTATTTCTTTCTTTCTTTTGTATTGAGGTAAGTTTATAACGTTATGTAAATTTCAGGGTGTGCATCATTATGTTTTGACTTCCTTACGTCATATTCACCACCAAACGTCTAGTTGCCTTCCATCACTGTACAAATGTGCCTTGCCCATTTATACTGATTTGTTTTGTTTTCTTATTAATGAGTTTTGAGAATTCTTTATATATTTTAGATACAAGTCCTTTATCAGATATGTGTTTTGCAAATGTTTTTGCCCAGCTGTGGCTTGTCTTTTCATTCTCTTTACAGGGTATTTCACAGAGAATAAGTTTTTAATCTTGATGAAGTTTAATTTTTAATCTTTTTCTCTTACAGCTTATGATTTGGGTGTTGCATCTAAGAAATCTTTGCCTAACCCGAGGTCACAAAGACTTTCTCTTATGGTTTCTTCTAGAATATTTATAGTCTATATCTGACTCTGTATTCGGTTTCATCAATCTATGTGTCCACCCTTTAACCAATACCACACTGTCTTGGTTACTATAATGTCTTGAAATCAAGTAATCTGAGTCCTCTAACATTTTTTTTCAAAATTATTTTGGTTAGTTCAGGGATTTTGCATTTCCGTGTACATTCTTATCAATCTCTACAAAAAATCTTGCTGTGATTTTGATTGGGATTTTATTGAGCATAGATTAAATTGGGAAGAGTTGACATCTTAGCAATATGAGTCTTCCAATCCATGAATATGGTTTATCTCTCCATCTATTTCGGTCTTCTTTGATTTCTCTTATCAGTGTTTTTCGGTTTTGAGCATACACATGATGCACAATTTTTTTTTACCTGTATGTCTAACTACACTTTCTTGGTGCTATTGTAAACGATACTGCCTTATTAATTTCAATTTTCAATTGTTTACTGATAGTTTGCAGCCTGTAACCTTGCCGAAATTCATGTTATTAGTTCCAGAAGCTTTTGTACAGAATCTTTGACATAATCACCTCATAAACAAATGAAATCAGTTTTATTTCCTCCTTCCAATCTGTATGGTTTTATTGCTTTCTCTGGCATTATTGCGCTGTTTAGGAATTCTAGTATGATGCTGAGTAGGAGCAGAAACAGCAGATATCCTTGTCTGTTCCCAGTCTTAGGGGACAAGCATTAAGGCTTTTACCATTAAGTATGCTAGCTGTAGGTTTTTGTAGATGTCCTTTGTCAGGCTAAGGAAGTTCCCTTCTACTCCTAGTTTGTTAAGTGTTTTTTAATCATGAAAGGATATTGAATTTTGTCAAAAAAATGTTTTGCCTCTATTGAGATGACTTTATATTTTTTTCTTCTATAATATGTCAATATGGTGAATACATTCATTGATTCAATGAGTGTTGAACCAGCCTTTCATTTCTGGGATAAATCTCACCTGGTCGTGATGTATTATCTCTTTAATAATTTCTGGATTCTACTTGCTCATATTTTGTTGAGAATTTCTGAAACTATATTCATGAAAGATTTGGTCTTTAGTTTCTTTTTCTATAATGTCTTTGTCTGGTTTTGGTGTCAGGGTGCTGCTGGCCTTATAAAACAAGATGAAATGTGTCCCTCTTCTATATTCTGGAAAAGTTTATATAAAATAAATTATTTCTTATTAATAATTAAAATTTAATAATATTATTTAAAAATAATGTTATTTTAAAAATTTAATAAGTATTAAAAATTTTAAATTTCTTAATAATTAATAATATTTCTTATCAATAATTAATATTAATCTTAATAATAATTAATAATTAATAAATAAAAAATTATTTCTTAATCAATCCCACATATCCTTCAGTGCCTGCATGTAAAATCATGTCACCTATGAAGCTTTCCTCAGTCCCACAGTACTGTCTATAACTCTGGTAATGATAGTAACAACAATAAGTGGCCTACGGCACCGCACTCTTATGACGGCGCAGGTCCTATGGAATAAACATTTGGCGTTTATTATTATGCATAACATCCCCAGAAACCCTGAGCTCAGAGTTGCTAAATAAATTGCCTAAAGTCACACATTCTTTCATTTGATCATCAATTTTTTATTGAGTATCTACTAAACTTTAAGGTACCACGAACTAAACCCAGCACAGTCTGCTCGCTCAGCCTCCCTTAGTGTTTCTCAAAGCCTGGCCCTTGCATCACCAGTATCAGAAGCCCCTAGAAGCTCATTAAAAATGCATATTTCCAGACCCCACTCCAATCCTCTGTAGTGGAAACTCAGGGAGGAGAGGGGGTGTTGCAGGCAGGAAAGTGCATGCTGAATGAGGTCCCCAGGTGATTTTAAGGCACCACTGTACTCCCGGAGTAGCTCTATGTTACACGCTTTCTTATTTCAATAGCTATTTGTAAAGTTCTCATCCATCCCCTAGCTGGACTGTGAGCTCCCCGTGGCATGCGGTGTCTTGTGAGTGTTGGTATCCCCAAAATAGCCAAGTGCAGTGCCCTGCCCACAGTCATTGTCCGACAGACAGTCACAGAACTACAATGAAGTGGGGTGAAAACGACGCAGAGCTTCAGATACTCGTGCCCATCTACATGCAGTGCCTCTCGGGCTGGGTGCCCAATCCCCCACTGGGCTGGGAGGCTGGAGGAACGAGACCGGCCCACCCAGCAGCACAGACAGGGCTCTTTCATCAGACCTGGGGGGGCATGTAGCGATAATCCCCTTCCATCTCCTTTAACCCGTGCAGAAATCCAGCCTTGAGAGGAGAGGTGACTGGTCCAGTGTCGCACAATGATTCCCCCAAGAAGCAGCTCAGCGTTTAAGTCTCGCAACTCCCCGAGACAAAGCCTTGCCCACTTCTCAGCAGGTAGAAGCATGAGCATTCCCTTCAAGTGGGCTTCCTGGAGGAGGCAAGCTGTCCAAGGACTCTCATTTGAGTTGACAGGGAAGAAAGAGTTTGGTGCAGGGGAGGAAAGAAGCTCATTTAAATTCCTACTAAGACTCACTCACTAGCAGAGAAAGGGAGGGAACCACAAGAGGGAGGGTGTCCCACATATTCTGCAACCTCATCAGGATATGAATAGTTAGCCTAGTTCCCTACGGAAATAGAGCTCGTAGCATCCTTCTGCCTGCGCCCATCTCCCTTTTGAAGCCCAAGACCTGACGAGTCACTTACCAGGTTTGACGGAGGACGGCAGAGGCCCTGGCGGGAAGGGTGTGACCCAGATGCTGGACTCGTCTCCTGGGACTCCTAGGAGGGAAAGGGGACTCTGTTCCTCCAGCTGACCCCTCAGTCCATTACCTGCTTAGAGACGGATTTCTTTCAGCCCCAGGCCCGTACCCCTGAGTTAACTTGCAAGGCTAAATCAGCTACTGGAGTCCAACATGAGCATAACATGTGTCTGAGTCCATCTGAAAAGAGGAACTGAGGCCCAGGCAAGGAGGAGTGAGGAGCTGCTCACCACAGACGGAGACTCGCACCACTGAGTCTCAGGCAATAAACCTGCCGTCTTACCTGCCTCACCTCCTTTCCCCTCAGCAGGTTACCAGAACGGCTCACCGTTCCCGAAGCCTTTATAAACAGTGTGTGAATTGGGGGTGGAGGCCTGGTTTCCACGCCCGCCCTGAGCCTATCTATTTCCTTACCCACCTGGGAGGTTCAGATTCACAGACTGCTAAAGCTCCCCTCCGGCCCCAGATGTCTGGGACAGTAGTCCCTGGTTAAGGTCACGTTCGTGAGTGTGTGGTATATACACCCTAAAACAGCCGGGCCCCCTACACTTCTCCTTCCCAGCCTGCGCCCTCGCGTCCACAGGCCTCTCCCACCTGACCCAGGCCTGGGCAGCAATCAGGGCCCTTCTCTGAGTGGCACATCACCCTAGAATAGTCGACCTCATGTACTGCCACCTTGCCACCTGCAGACTTCAGACCCCTTCCTGCCCTGCACCCTCACACCTGGGGCTGGTGGTCTGGGGATAGGGGAAGCCATCTATTCCCCACTAACACTTGCCTCTGCATTTCTCAAAGCCATCTCCGCAGCCTCTAGGAACAGGGAGAGGCTCTCAGACTCAACGAAGTCCTCACCAAGGGTTTGAAGCTGGAGTCCACTGAAAGAGCAAAGAACCCCCTGGGCTCTTTTTTCTGAGGTGTTTTGAGCCACATCTGCTGCTTCTGAATGCACGAAGTTGACGTGACCCCACCTAAGCTACCAACTCCCATTTGGGCAACTCTGGCCAGTCTAAGACCAACCCCAAGAGCCCGTCCCACCTGCCTGGCCATTCCCGAGCTCCCAGGAGGCCCCGGTCAGGGGACAAGGCCATTTTGGGGGAAGAGCTGAAACCATCTTCACACCCACGGGAGAAGGCTGCCCTGACTGGGCCGTCACGGGTAGAGGCTCCCAGAAGGTTGCTGGAGGAGGAGACGAAGAAGGGTCCACTATCTGCTGAGTGTGTTGGGGGACTTCTCTGAAGGAAGGGGGGTTCTGAATGTTCTGTGAAAATAGCAGTCCTATCATTTGGGAGATCACTGCACAGTCCTCCAGAGACTTTTCCAGATACGCTCCTTCTGTCTTGTTGGGAGGCCCCACGCCCCCCTCACGGGGGACAGGGAGCCCATGACCCGTCGAGCTGAAGACATTCTGCCTTGGAAGCTCAGAGCTGCAGACAGCCTGGATGGCCGCTCAGGGGGCTCAGCCAGTTTGCCCTGAGGAGAAGGGGCCTCAGATGAGAGTTCTTGTCACAAAGGCCAGGGGATGGGGGGCAGTCTGTGGGAAAAACCCACCTCTTTCAGAGCTAGAACCTCCTCTTCCAGAGCTGGAGCCCCCTCTAGAGCCGCCTCCAGAACCGTATCCTCCTCCATTTGTTAAGAAAAATGGCTTTTTCTGGGAAAGAGAATTTCCACAAATCCCCCTATCAACCTCCTGGCAATATCTCAGTCCCCAGGTCTGGCAAATACTTTCTGAGAACATCACACAGCTCCCCTGACTCCAGGGCGAGCCCCTCCTCATCTCTGTTCTTAACATCTTCCGCAAGGAAATATCCTTGGCTTCCCCAAGCCATACTACCTCAGGGCAATATGTCCCTCCTCCAGGAAGCCTCTCTTTCATATTTCTAAATCTCTCCATCTTCTGGTGTCTTGAGTTAGACAGCGATGAGTCATAGCTCCTGGCTCCCTACTTCTGCCAGGGCTCGACATGAAACACACATCACACGTGATGAATTGCAAACAAAGTTTATTGTGCAGACACCACGACCACAGCACTTTAGATACAGAGCCAGCAGGAAAGGCTATATAAACAGAAACTTGTTTCCCCGGGGGCACTGCTGGGGGAACGCAGGCTTGGAGATGGCAGCCTCAACAGGACACTCCTCAGGAAAAGGACCCCCAAGTGAACAACGCAAGGAGGGGCCAGGAAGGGGGCCTGGCTGGAAGCACAAACCTAGACAATGCAGATTCGTCCCCAGGGGACACAGGGTGTCACTGGCTGCAACTAATTGGTTTAGAGAGAAGCTATTTCAAAAATTGTATGGGGGCATCCCTTTCCTCCAAATGCCATCAGAGGTAGATGACAACCTTTGACTTGCCGTCAGTTAGATGTACAGAGACAGGCTTCTACATTCTGGAGTGGGAGAGTCAAGGGCGGGACTCCATCTTCATCTAAAAGAGAAGGTCACGCTGGAATCGCAACCTTCACCTGAGCCAGAACCACCTCTTTCAGAGCTAGAACCTCCTCTTCCAGAGCTGGAGCCCCCTCTAGAGCCGCCTCCAGAACCATATCCTCCTCCAGAGCCAGAGCCTCCTCTGGAGCCGCCTCCAGAACCATATCCTCCTCCAGAGCCACAGCCCCCTCCACTGCCACCTCTGGAGCTAGACGCTCTGCCTCCAGAGCTGTAAGCGCCACTTCCAGAGCTGTATCTTCCTCCCCCAGAACTGGATCCTCTACTTCCAGAACCATAGCCTCCAAAGCCGGCCTTGGCTGCCACGTTTGAAGAAATCGTGCTGCTTGTCACAGCTGCATAGAGAGAGACTGTGTTACCATGGAAGACCTAACCGCCTCAGCCCACCTCCCCCGACTCATGCCCACAGGACAGGACTGCACCCCAACACTTACACACAGTCACGTTGCTGCTGAGGTCTCCAGACATCCTGTCAGAGAGAGAGAAAAAGTGGCTCGTGGCAGAGCACTTGGGTTCTGCATACATGTTGTTTTACAACTTCCGCCTACAAACGTACCGGTTAGCCTCGAAAATCAGCCCCCAGGGACCTACAGACCCCCTCTTCTGCGCTGCCGAGATCACAGAGAGGCGGCAGGCCCCACATTTCTGCACAGCCTGCCATCCCAATCCATCTCAATTGTTTAATCTCATAAAACTGATCAAAAAGGAAATGCACCTCTGACTTTGCAACCCATTTTACATTTATATCTTAGGGAGATATGTTCAGAATCCAAGCCACGCCAGGAAATTTGAGATGAGGCTACACTGTGAACCTTCCATTAGGAAAGAACTGCATGTCCCTGCAGCCTCCCCATCCTGCAGCCTCCCCATCCTGCCCCCCTGCCCCACCCTTGTCTGCTTCGTCTGAAATCTTTCCCACTTCCTCTGGTGACAGGAGGCATGGCCTCCAGACAGGCACAGAGCAACAGCCTGAGCAAAGCCGCTCGCTCCCTGTCCCAGCGGCTCGCTGGGGGCCTGGGGCAGCTCTGTCCTTCCAGTTGCTTTAGCCAGATTAGATCTCTAGGGATGCTGATAACAGACAAGGGTCTCAGGCCACAGAGGAAGGAAAAGTTCCCTTTGGGTAGATTGAATAATGGTTCTGTTTGTCTTCCAGAAACCTGCAAAGAACCAGGTCTGGCGCCAGCTCCAGGTGAGCATGACTCAGCCGGTCAGCCTGTTCCAACACATGAGCTCCCAGTTCTGGGTCACGAGGTGGTGGGAGAAGAGACACCGTACAGACCCAGAGACCGATGCTCCAGACTGTCCACGACTAACCTGTTTCCATCGCGTTTTGCTTCCTCTTTCAGAAAAGACCAAGATTAATTTCTTGCTTAATTTAAGTTCATTTAATTTGCCTTGTTAGTTGTTCCATACTGATAAGCCTACAAATGTATACAATAATGCTTTGTATCCTGAATCTCAGCTTGGGGACAGAGTGACGTCAGCTCTCGGTCGTCCCAGGCCCTGCCTGCCCCCCCCCCCCCCACTTTCCCCATCTTTGCCTCCAGCCCTGGTTCTCAGAGGGTACCCTCTGCCCTCCCAGTGCCCCTCACCGGCACTCCTCGCCCTCCAGCAGCTTGCGGTAGGTGGCGATCTCCACGTCCAGGGCCAGCTTGACGTTCATGAGCTCCTGGTAGTCACGCAGCAGCCGGGCGAGGTCCTCCTTGGCCTGCTGCAGGGCCTCCTCCAGCTCAGAGAGCTTGTGCTGGGCGTCTTTGAGGGCGTTCTCTCCCCTCTGCTCAGCATCGGCAATGGCTTCTTGCACACTCTTACACTAGGAGAGAAGGTGTCTGTTTATACACAGTGGAGTCTGCCTGGCAGACAGCGAAAGAGAAGCAGAGGCGTTTAGGGTGTGAGAAGCCAGAATCACTGGGCCTGGAAGCATCGGGCCCCTCGGAGTTAAGGCAAGACACAAACAACTGTGCTAAGACTTGCTGCCATCTTTGTCATCATCTTCCCAAGTCACCTTTGACTGCGCCCTTATGCTTTCCGCATAATGACCTCTGACCCTCACCACCTGGGGCAGGGGTCCTTATCCCATTTTATAGTTGCGAATGAAAACATTCCATGTGGACTGCATCACAGAGCTTCTGTTCCTGAGGGAGTCGACTCTCTGCCCCACATTATCTCTTCCAAAGCTAATGTCCACCCACAGGCCAGCTCCCTGCAGCACTGCCGCCCTCCATCACACAGCCGGCTGCTGCGCCACACACAAGCACGCAGCTACGCCTGCCCGCCACGGCCAGTCAAATGGCCTCCTGCTTTGTTATTGTTCTCTTTCACTCGTGGAAGCAACCAAAAAATGAACAGGATTCTTTCCCTCCACTGATCCTTACTTTGGTTACTCTCTCTCTCACACACACACACACACACACACACAACCACCTGCCCCACTCCGAGCCCCACCCAACCAGTGGAGCTGCACGGGTCCTCAGGGCCACACCCCACCTGCTTCTTCACGTGGGCGATCTCCCCCTTCAGTCTCTGGATCACGCGGTTCAGCTCGCTGATCTCCACCTTGATCTCTTTCAGGCTGTCTCCGTGCTTCCCAGCAGTGACCTGGAGCTCCTCATACTGCATGGAAAGAGGGGGACGGTTGCAGGTTGGAGGAAGCTGGGCTTGAGCGAAGGAAAGTCTGACAGCGGTTCAGGGAGGGTCAACCACACTGGATGTCATGGCTGCATTCATGGGACGTGGGGGGCCATCACACACCCCTCAAAAGGACTCAAGACCGTTCTTGACTGAGGGCATTTGGGGTACTGTGGGCCCCCTTTCTTGAGAATAATGCCCAACATCCATTAGACAAAAACAACAGTAATCTTACTGTGCCCTCTCTGGCTGGGGTGAAACCCAGCTTGTTAGAAGGAGCTGTGGCTCTCCCTGCTGTCCTGGCACTTGCCTTGCTGTGGTACAGCGCCTCGGCCTCCGCCTTGCTCTTCAAGGCAATCTCCTCGTACTGGGCGCGGACCTCAGCAATGATGCTGTCCAGATCCAGGTGACGGTTGTTGTCCATCGACAGAACCACAGACATGTCGGTGACACTCTGTTGCATCTGGGACAGCTCCTGCAACACACGGGAGGGCTGGCCATGGCTCCCCTGCCCACAGCCAAATGCAGCGAGGAGGCATTCCCCTCCCCGGGGTCAGGGAGATACACAGACTCTCAGACGGAGCATCATAATTCCACAGATGAGGTTTCAAGCAGCATAACCACCATTCCTAGGCCTCTGCTAAGATTGTCCTAAGAATTACGGAAGAGAGCAGTCCATATTTCTAAGCCTCCTAGTTAACAGCCTTCCCCACTTACGCAGTTTTCATAAGTGCTACCCAGGAAGAAGCCTTTAATTTTACTTCCTGTTTCAGAGGTCAAGTGTATGCAGTTGGATGGGGAGGGGGAGGTATGTTACATTCTGACCCGGAAGTATGTTGGACATAGGGACAGGAGCAGGTGGGGTCTCTTCCCAAGAGGAGCTGAACATTTGGGGGACAGAGTGAGGGAAAGTGGTCTTGGTGTTTTGTGAGCATCAGAGGAGATGTTCCTCTCTTCTAAGGCCCCTGGTGGCCTGGAATGATGACAAGTTGGCGTCAGACAGTCCTAAATCTCACTCCTACCACTTTTTCACCAATCGGGAAGGACCTGCCTTTGGTGGGAAGGGTGGGAAGTAGGGGTCTGGCCGGGAGCAGCCTCCTTACCGCATCATAGAGGATTCGCAGGAACTCAAGCTCCTGGGTCAGCACGTCCACCTTGGCCTGCAGATCCACCTTGACCTTGTAGGCATTGTCCACGTCCTGCGGGAAAGGTCAGGGGCCTCTGGTGAAACTCAGCCCCAAGGCCGCCTTACAGCCTTCCATGTCTGGGCCCTGCCCTCTCTCTGCCCATCTCCTCATCCCAGTCCCTGTCAGCTGCTCTCCAACAGCCCGGGTGTCTCAGGTGACCCACGTGCCCAAGGACCTCATTTGGCATAGAGTCCACAAAGCACCTCTGCTGCGGGCTCCAGGCCCACGTTCACTGCTCACTCCCCCTAGACCATCAGAGCTCTGATGGGAACAAGCTTTGTCAGCAGTCTCTCCCTCCTGCTTGAGACACTGTGTGTTCCCACGATGGGGCACAATGGCCTCTGGTGACTTTAACAGTCCTCGACTCTCCCATCCGGTCTGTCCATCTCAATTCTCTTGAATTTCTCTGCATTTTACACCAAAGCTTCTGCCCGAACCAGGCTGAGGACCCACTTTTGCCTTCTAGCTCAAACCTTTGTCAGCACAACTGACGGCCTCTTCAAGCAGGCATTCCAAGCAAAGTCCCAGTCCTTCCCCAGCCAGTTAGAAGAAGAATAAGGTGCTTTCTGTGTTTGCATCTTTCAGCGTCTAATACAGGCTTTAAGTAAGTTATTCGTGGGAAATGTTCCAGCAAATTCACAAAACATCCCCAGAAGCTTGAGCTACAGCGACGCCTTTGGTTCCCTGAGAACCGGCCGTGGCCGCGCCTCGCCGCTTTCCTGGACACTGCGGTTCGCACTCAGAGCTGTTCTCCACCCGTGGGTCCAGACACACCGGGCTTCTGAAGCCCCCTCACTCCCACCCCAGCCCTCACCTTCTCTTGCTCACCTTTTTAAGCGTCACAAAATCATTCTCAGCAGCCGTGCGCCTGTTGATTTCATCCTCATACCTGTTGAAACCCAGAGGACAAAGCTGTTCGATTACTTCTAGTTTGTTTATTTTTTTCTTCTTTCCCTACTGGATTCACCCAAAATACCCCATTCTCTGGAATATTAAACACTCTTCAACTGTCTAAGTTGGAACTATGATATCCCAAATGAGGATTTTTTTCTATAAATTAGCTATCAAACAGGGAAAACACATGATCTCTGAAGCCCTAAATGTCATCCTCACAAAAAATCAACAAGTTACAGATTCTATGAGCACAAATGCACTTGGGAAATGAGGGCCTTTCCTGGGAAAAGTCTGGTAGCTCAGATCAATATCTATCCCACTCAGCATTTGCTCTGCCACCTACTTCTTCTTAAAATCCTCCACGAGATCCTGCATGCTGTTCAGCTCTGAGTCCTGGGACGTTCTTTCTGCACAGAGCGTGTCCACCTGTCTCTTCAGCTGGGCGATGAACGCCTGGAAGATGGGCTCCAGGTTGGAGGTGCGGGTGCCCACATGGACCTGCTGCAGCAGCTCCCACTTGGTCTGCAGCACCTGGTTCTGCTGCTCCAGGAACCGCACCTGCCGTGACAGAGGGGACGCACATGAGTGCTGCGCCGCCCTTCCCACCAGCTGGCCACACTCGCAGAGTCAGCTCTGGTCCTGCTCCTGGAGGTGGAGAAGTCTGCCCAGCTTCATCCTCACCAGGGGGATGCCAGCTCATGCCGGGCAGAGCTTCGGAGCTTCCTGCCTCCACACGTGGGAGCTTCTTCAGACTCCTGTGTGACAGCTGGTGCTCTCCATGGAGAGAACCCTTTTTCCTGCTTCACCGCCCACTTTTCCTTTTGCAGCTGCTCCCAGGACTCCAGGCCATTTCCCTCCCTCATTCGAGCTGAATTCCCTGCAAAGGTCCCAGAAATTCTGGGGAAAACCAAACGCAGCCATCCATTGGCTCTGCTCCTAAAGGCACCGAGTGTGAGGGCCCTGGAGGGCAGGGCGCCTCAGTCTGCTTCGTAAGAGCCTCGTGAGTTCCTTATACAGGCTCCTCACACTTGAAATAGGAGAAAATCCTCTAACACCCCAGAGCGACACCAACAAGGACTTTATGGGTCACAAAACTGAGAATGCTTCTCTTGAAGGGAGGAACTTCATCCGTCCCCAAGCGCATATTTCAGACTCAGGTTCTCCAAATTTTATAGAGCAATGACTCCCAGGGAAGGAAGGACTATCTTGGAAGGTGTCTTCCCAACCCCTTCTAAGACTCGCCGTCACACAGTCTGGACCTGTCACTCCGTTCCTTGTCTCTATCCGTTTTCCTAAGACTTTCAGAATTTTCCATAAATGTTATTCATTAAGGTTGAAACAACAAAGCCAAAGGCACAAATAATTCCTAACTGCAGACTGTAGGGCAAGAGGCAGCCCGTGAGGCCAGCATCTGTCCTATGTGGATATTGCCCATAGCCCAGTCTACTGTGAACACACTGACTCCTAAAAGAAATGAATCCCTGTTGTTTGCCTTGCAGTTAGCGCTGGAAGTAGGGCACCGTGAGCATGCGACGGAGCCCGCTTCTCGTGACTCACCTTGTCAATGAAGGAGGCAAACTTGTTGTTGAGAGTTTTGATCTGCTCCCGCTCCTGGGCCTTCACCTTCTGGATCTCTGGGTCCACACCCACGTTGAGAGGCTGCAGGAGGCTCTGGTTGATGGACACTTCGTGGATGCCACCACCAGGGAATCCGCCAGGCCCGAAGCCACCGGGACCCCCAAAACCGCCAAAGCCGCCGCCACCTCCAAAGCGGCCTCCACCAAAGCCGCCGCCTCCAAAACCGCCACCTCCAAAGCCGATGCCACCTCCGAAGCCACTGCCACCTCCAAAGCCGATGCCACCTCCGAAGCCACTGCCACCTCCGAAGCCACCTCCTCTGCCACCAAATCCACCACCAGAGCCAAAGCTTCCGCCTCCTCCAGCCACACTAATGGAGATGCTCTTGCTTCCGCCAAGGCCAACAAGACTCCGGCTGCCAAAGCCGCCTCCACCGACGCCCTTTCCGCCACCGCCATGGCGGCTCAAGCAGGAGAAGCTGCTGGTGGATCTCCGGCTCCCACCAGAGCCCACAGCCGAGCTGCTGCTGAAGCCCCGGAATCCTCCACCTCCTCCTCTTCCTCGAGATCTGCTTGAGATCCGACAGCTCATGATGCCTGTGCCCAGCGAGGACAGTGGAAGGGTTCTGAGGAGAGTTGAGGCTGTTGGGAGACTATCAGGGTCCCCTTTTATACTAGCTGGCTAGGTGTTGGTGCTCATGGGTGTGGACCCACTTATGCATGGGTTTGGTCTACCTGGAAGCTACTCCTAATGAGTGATTACCAAGCTAATAACCATTTAAAAAATCAACTAATCAGCTTCATCCCAGAACTTGCTTTGATTGCAAACTCTTCCTTTTTATCTGGGCATCTGACATGCCATTGTATTTTTGTAAAATCATCAGAAGAGATCGGGATGCAGGTTTCTCAATCTGAAAAGGGACCTTCTGCAGGATGCTGCTCCCCGCTCTGGACCAGGCCAGGGGAGGCCAGCTGCCACTCGGGCCTGTGCAGTCTCGCCAGCCCAGATCAGCTGATGAAAGAGATGACAGGTTTAGAGACTGTCGGAGCCCCTCATTCTTAGTCTTAGCACTCTCCTTGCCTTGCCCTCTGCCCCAGGGAGAGTTGCCAAGCGCTTTTGTAGAGCATAAATGTGATGTGCGGAAGTAAGAAGCCTCTTACAGAAAGAATTTGGCCGAGGATGCTACAGAAGAGTTGGCACTCTTCCAAGTATGTTGACTTTTTCCTTCCCATGCCACACCAGGAACGCATAAGAGCCAGGCACCAAGGAGAGGAGAATTGTCTTTCCTGTAACCAGAAGTTTATAGAAGCATGAACTCTGTCATTTTTCTACGTGAAAACCGAGAGAACGAGGGGTTGTTCCTCGGTCTGTCTCATTCCGGGGCACCCAACGAAAGGTTGCCACCAAAGGCTTTACACAACTCCAAGGTCCCGGTGTATATTGATTCAGTCAGGAATCACTGATTCTGCTAAGAGTTAGGAGGCCAGGTTCCTCATGGTACCCAGAGGTGGGTGAATATCGGAAGACCCATCGAGCCACCCACTGCACAGAGCACCCAAACGTCAACTCACCCGCAGTCCAGTCATTTGTCCGTGTGGCCAAAGGCGTGGGAGAAGCACTGTGGAATGCTGGAATTGAATTTAAAGTCAGAAGTTCTGGGTTTGACTCCCAGTTTCACCATTTCCTGGCTCTGTGCCTTTGGACTAAACTCTGAGACTCCGTATGCTTAGCTGTAAAATGGGAAATTCATACAAAGTGTTCTGAAAACCATGACACACAGACAAGTGTTAAGTATCATTGCTGTTCGGGGTGAAGCAAAGACATTCCTTTTCCTTTCTCCCCTGGCGTGTTCCTCTCTCTTCTGATGGCCGTGACCCGGCGCTGCTCAGAGCAGCTACAGAACCAGGATTTCTCAGATCCTAGGACACAGTTAGCGTAAAATAATGTAAAAAACAGAAGCTTTGAGTGTAAGTCCCAGTTTCACTGTATTTTAATTAAATGGCCTTGGATTACTCACGATCTTCTTTGGGCCTCAGTTTCCTCCTCTGTAAAGAGTGAAGGATGAGAAGAATATGACTGTTGTAAAAACAGAACAAGACCATAAGCCCACAGGCTACGCGCGGTTCCCGGTTAGGAGCAGAATCCACCAAGTGCTGCTCACCCTCTCCCACCCCTCCCCCGAGTCTCCAACCCTGTGTCCTAACTCCTCGGCCCAGGCGGCATGAGGGTGAAGACCAGGACCTAGCTGTTCAGGATGTTTGATTTGCAAGACGAGAATGCTGAAGGAGGCAAATCTCTGTGTCGCCTTGATTTTTTTTCCCAGTCTGGCCTACATAATCATAATCATGCTAACAAATCATAAAGCTAATGCTGTAGAAAGAGCCTCAAGCCAAAGTCAAATGTGTTGTTATCTGCGACTATCTGAACAACACCCTAGTCACCCATTACTCCTCCACACGGTGCTGAGGCCACCCCAGGTACGGGGGGGTCCTGGTCCCTCCGTGAAAAAAAGACATGAATATTTATTGAGCATCTCCCGTGCCCAGGCTTGTGCTGGGCACACAGTATGCATGCTTTACTCTCCACAATTCTACTTGCATACGGAGTCTTCTTCCCATTCTCTCCTCTGGGCACCTTGCCTTTCTAGACCCATTCGCCAGATTTTAAAGTCAAATTGAAGAGAGACAAACGTCTTTTTCTCTTGAAATGTGGAGGGCAGAATTAACGCGACTCAGATATTATATAACATTTTACTTCCTTATTTTTTTAACTTTGCCTTTTACATAATTTCCATGTGCTTGTCTCGATAACACGGTCTGCATTCATTAAAGGAGTCAAATGTGAGTCAAGACTCTTGGTTCTGGCTAGGACTTCATGGCTGACTTCCACTGTAGTCCTCCATTTCTTCATCTAAAATATGGGAACATTTATCCTGTCCCAGAGGATATTGGTCTGTTGCACAAATGGGTTTTAAGCTTTGCTGTCTCTGAGAACAGAACAGGGATCCAGCAGGAAAAAATCCTTCTTTCAGCAAGCTTCTGGCAAGCCCAGGCCCCTAAAGGATTTTCCTCTAAAGTTTTCAAAAGCACTTCCCTTGGCCAGAGCAGAAAACCAAGCCCCAGTGTCGATCAGACAGGGCCTGACTGACTAGCCAGTGGGACAGAGATGTGAACGTTGACACCAGGCTCTGCTGGTAGGAACTCGTTTCCCCTCCCCCACAGTCTCCTAGCTGGGCGTCCCCCTCTCTTCTGACCTCATCCCAGCCCTCCTTGTGGTACAATGAGCTGTGGCCCTGGTCTTCTACACAGCACAGCCAGGGTCATGTTTATCTTTACCCCAAACCTCAGTCCCCAAGGCACAGGGCAGTCACTCAGGGAATAAGCCCAAGATCCAACAAGCATTGCCAGGGTTTGGTGTTTGGAACTGCATGTTTCCTCTGACATGAAAGGTGATGTTAGCAATGCTGAGTCTCCACAGCCTTCCATCCGCTTACTCCCTGAAGATCCCACCTGGACGTCCTCTCAGGTCTCTGTCCCACCCACCATCAGCACTTCCCTCCACAGGCCAGCCAGGTTAGTCTCTTTGTCCCCAAAACTGAAAGCATCGACTGAACTGAGCTATTGGCCAAGCCCTGAGCCCTCTGGTGCACACTGCCCTGGAATGCAAACCACATGTTTACATTTCAAAAACGAAACAAAACAAACAACAAACTTTGCTCTTCCGGGCCCTGCTGCTGAGTTCAGGCTGCTTGAGGGACCAACACTCAGAGTCCAATAACCTTGAGTGAGAAGCTCAGAAACCGTAGAGGTGGGCAACAGCAGCCTGGAGACAGCAGCAACCTGGCCAGGGCATGATGCCCGCACCGCGCACCACCTGCGAAGCCTGTGCATCCCATAGGGCAGGTCTCTGCTGCTCCAAGAGCTCCAGCTCAGCGGCTCTGAGGGAGGTGGGACAGGAGCCTCGCAGGCTCCCAGCAGCAGGCCCTTGCTCAATAGCTCCTCTGAGGCTTCCCTCTGTAAGCCATTGTTCGAAAACTGCTCACTCAGGCTGCAGTGCCAGCCCCTGGCCCAGCTCTCCCTCAACCCCGGGCCTCCCTTCCTTTCTTACCCAACAGGGCCTTGGTAGCTTTTTTCTCAGTCAACCCCTTTTCTTACCGCAAACTCCATGGCTTTTGATTTTCAGGTGCCCCGGGCAAACTGGAGTTACCTGCGAAGCCAGGATGGCGGGCAGCCAGGCCCACCCACAGCATGAAGTGCCCAGTGCCCCACAGTGCAGAACTCCATCGGGAATGCAGAGAGTCCCGGACACACACGCCAGCTGTGTCAGGATAGCAGGGTCTGCCCACTGCTTGGAAACCATGCACACCCCAGGAACAGAGCAAGAATGAGGGCAGGGACGCTGCCCAGGACGCAGCACGGGCTCATACCATGATGGAGAAACTAAGGAAGCAATCCAGCAATCAACCAAGGAAGCCTCCAGCATAGAGCCTGGCACACAGTAGGTGCCCACAAATGTTACTTCCTTCCCCACCACTGTGGCCAAATTCCCACACATAGTTCTAATTTTCTAACTGGGCCCCAGAAGATCAGACCCAGACATTGGGAAGTCACGGATCCCAGCTTTGTTCTCCATAGATCCATCCACAACTCAATGAGCTCAGTTCTTCCCATCATGGCTACAACGTACCTACAACTCACTGGGGTGTGCGCCTGGCTTGCTGATGTGCTGTCCAGCTAATGGTATTGCTCTGACATGTGCACCTGTGTGTTCTCACCTGCAACATGTCTTCATTCGCACAGCGAGAGCCGAAAAAGAGTCTTCCATGAAAGGTTCTTGCAGTTCCTGGCCCACATTCCAGCCAAACTGTCTTTCCAGACCGGGTTCTACTCCCACTCCGGCTTCAAAATCCTCACTCTCGCCCTTTACCCAATAGCCACCCCAACATGGAAGGACAAGACGGCCCCCAACATTCCATTCTACCCCGTTAGTGACTTCAGAAAAATGGGGTTATTGTAGTCAGACCACTCACGCCTTCCTCGAAGTCCAGAGACTCCTGCCGGTGTCCCCGGATTGGATGCTGCCCTCTTCTTCCCCAGCCCCTCCTGTGGGGAGCCTTCCGGCTAGTTCTGCATGGCACTGCAGCCCTTCAGAGCCACTGCTCACCTCCAGTGCCTCTACCCGGACACCTGCCATTCCTGCCGCCGCGCGCCCACGGAGATCCAGCAGATGCTTCCCGTCCACGCGTCTCCCCCACCCTCAGCCCCACCTCACCCTCCCCACCGCTTAAAGCTGCTCCCCTCCCATGGGACCTCTTCTGTTTCTTTCAAGGCTTCCTGTGTTGAGTTGGCTAGAAACAAAGACAGGACAGGGCTGGTGGAGAAACTCCCACCCCCGAAAATAAAATGAGAAAGAGAGGAAAGGGTGAAAACAAATAGAATTGTAAAGACCAAATAAACACACTCTTATTTCAAGAGACTCCTGCTCCTCAGTCTATCGGCAATGCTCTTCAAGATGCCTTCAGAGCCGTGTGCCCTGGAACACCCCGTTTTGGAAGGGATGGCCACAGAGCTTGATTATCAATGAGCTGCTTGCTCCAGGGTTTTTTATTAGGAAAAAAAAGAAAAGAACTCTCTGGACTGCTTTTTC